ACACTCGTCGATCGGTTGACGTTGCTATTGGTGAGTCATTTGCCAGGGCTACCTGTCTTAAATTCACCTGCAAAATTATTTGTGGTGACTTCAACCTCCCTGGAATCAACTGGCGGACACATTCCGGTCCACTACGATTTGATAGCTTACTTGGTCCCCTAGACACACATGGTTGGCAACAACATGTGCACCTGCCTACTAGGAACCACAACATTCTCGATTTGGTATTTTGTCACGATGTGACCCCAACATCTGTGTCTGTCTGCGAAACGTTTCACAACAGTGACCATAAAATTTTTTTCTCCGCACCCTTCCGTTTTTTGCTAAATGTGACAAATCTAAAACAGTAAACCGTTTTCAATACAGAGACTATAAACATGCTGACTGGGACAGCTTTCGGTTTCTAATTCAGCACTCCGACTGGACTGAGTTTTTTTCTTGTCTTGAACTTCCTGATGCATTACATATATTCAACGTCACCATCAAATCTGCTCTAGACACGACTATCCCACTCAAAACGTCTTTCAAAACAGTTACTCCTTATATTACCTACAAAGCTAGGGCTAAACTACGTCAACTAAGACGGGCGTATTGCAAATCTAAGGACTTCAGCATCCTGTACCAAATTTACGCTATACTTGAAGGTGTGAAATATCAACATGAAGTGCGTAGGCAAATCGAAGAAAATAATGCTCTCGCTGACCAGCATTCATGACGGTGGGGCGATAACCTCAATCTACCCATGTCTGTGTGGCAGAACATTTTGTTTGCTTACGGCTCCTTACGATATAGCAGGATGTAACAAATCAGTGATATTGATGTTACTTTTCCTAGTTAACCTCGTCTACAACCCATGTCTGTAACCTTGCGCTGGTTTTTACTTCCTACCGAGAAATCCTATTACAAGCTGGTCTGGACAACTATACTAAAAAAGAGCTCATTCATAACTTCTTGAGCCTCAGATTTAAAAATAAAAAGAATAAATAAAACCAAAAAATTATATCACTGAGCCTCTTTATTATATTTTGTAAATCAACTTTATTACTAACAACTTGGTTCTTCTAAATTTCCTCGATTCTTTCGACTAACTTCTCATTAGTTATCTCACTACTACTACCTACATAAGCGCAGGTGTAAAGTGTTCTGATATTAAAAATGTTTGGGTAAACATACCCTCGTTTTATCCATAAACGTATGTGCGAAGCCGTTGTTCGGCTTTGAACATGAATATTTTCTGTTCTGCTCCTCGTCCCGTTTTCTTTATTCCTTTGTTCAGAACCTTATTCCAATCCACATATATTAGTCTGGATATTTGCAGTAGACTTGGTTACTCTAGCCAAGAACATGTGAAATCATTAGCTGACGAATATCAACCAGACCTTTGTACATTTACCGCATCAATTCTTGTTATATGAAAACCTGTCTGTACCATGAATCATTTCTCAGCCCATAAGATGATTGTCGTAACGCAACCTTCGTAACTTGCGCCAATTACTCGCTTTGTACATTCCATCTTTAAGAAAACAATGAATCTTGTGAAATGTTTCAGTAACTTTATACCGTTTAAAAAAAATATGTTGCTAATCTTAACATTTTGATCTTGCCTGTAAATTGGCATGTCTCTTGTAACATGTTTGTTATTTGAGAATAAATAATAATTATTATTAATTACTGTTTGTAAGTCCCAAAACCTCTGTCGTTTGCTTAACAAACGCATAAAAAAGGACTAAGATCGCAAAATTCATTATATACTACAAGATGGACAGACTTATTATGACGAAGCTGTTATTTGCGAACTGTTTAGTACATGGTTCTCCTTCAATATGAACACATCTCCCACCCCCGATACAAACACTAACTGTAGCAGTATGCATAATCTTTGTACCATCAAATTTGATCTTAACAATATTCAAGCGGCAATTAAAACCCTTAAACCCAATGGCAGCTGTGGTGCGGATGAGATACCTTCCATACTTTTTAAAATGGCAGGGCCGAACCTTTCAGCGCTCTTGCTCTTGCTCGATCGATTATGGAAAAGAAGGCTTAAGTCCAATCTGATCCTTTACTTTAAACTCCTGCACAAGCTCACATATTCCTCCTGCAGTTTAGTCCTTATCCATGGCCCTTGTACACATAACCTTCGAGATAAAGTGTCTACGGTCAAACTTGAGAAGTATAGATCCGAAACTCGAGAAAACTTGTTCCTCTCGAAGTATGCACTTATATGAAATAGGCTTCCCTCAAAAATACGCATGGCAAGTGGGTTACATGAGTTTGTTCAACTTCTTAATGATGATCTCAGTTGCACTGACTCTTCTGCGCTCGTGAACTCACTCTCACCTTGCTTTCATATTAATAGCTCTGCATACACTTTAAACACAATGAACTCAGTGCTGCGTCTTATTTAGTTATTTTTACACTCCCAAGTTGCACTAATTTTTCTAGTTGAATATAAATCTCTTTAGTTTTATTTGAAATAGACAGGTTACTCTATTCACTGGGTCGATCGACATTGTTCAACTGTAAACTGGTTGATTAGAATGCACTCTACTCTCCTGGGCGAAAGCTTATCAACACTTACGACTGTGTGAGTTCCACACTGCCTATTATCAATTATACTGTTCTCACTTACACGCTATTGACTTACCTTGGCCCCTTAATGTTATCTATTGCTCAACTTTTAACCGTGATACTCTTTATATCTCCTGCTTAGCTAGTTAAGTACATCTTCCCCACTACATTCAAAATGCTTATATCTTGTTTGAAAATTCTTACCATTTCTCCATAACTGTTAACTGTATAGCATTGATGCCTAACCAATAGTTCATAAGTTGTAACAGCCAGACGGGTTTGTGAAAGGAACTTGCAGAAATAGTATTTCTCAACAGGATGCGAGACATAGAACACCAAGCAGAACTCAATAGCTTCTTTTAAACATTTAACATGAGCCTAACAACACAAAAGGAGGGAGGGTGGAGTTACTGACCAGCAAACATTGATGGTATGGGCGATAACTTCAAACAACCCATGTTTGTGGGGCAGAACATTTTGTTTGCTTTCGGCTCTTTAGATTGATGAGACGATTAATCAGTAACACTGAGGTTGCTTTTATACGCTTGCTACTTCTGTGGTTCATGTTTCCAAAACTATGCTGAGGTCGCTATTCTGTCGAGACACCTGCAACATTCTTACTCAGGCGCTAACAGTATGACTTAGAGGTTGGCATTCAACAATAATAATAAAAAAACAGTTAGACAGTGCGAAATTTTATTCATCATTTTTTTATTTTCACGAACTCTACTCTTTCGATTCCAATGTACATAAATCCAGCTTCTTACTTCGACTTCTCTTCTATCCACCTGACACTGCAAAACTCTTCTTTCCTTTTTGCTGTACTCCTTTATCTGTGTGTTATATTCTTATATTCCCATAATTTACTTTAATTTAAGTGGTCAGTATGAGTTTGGTCTTGACTTACTACTGTATTGACTACTTCAACATGACAGGTTAAGTAGTGCTCTCGTTATATATATACACTTGCCACACTACTGCCTTTTTCTCTCTCTCTTTTCTCCTTTTCAGGACAGCATTCACGGTGGGAAATCCTTGGCGACTCCAGGGAACATGCACCCTATGTACATGACTGTCTGGATCACAGCTCGTATCAAGCGCGTTCCATTTGACCTTTCCCAACAAATTCACTATTGATCTCGGCAAATCGCCAATAGAACCTATTGTGCACCTTCCTTATTTGTACTCTACAATTGAAAATGTGGCTGTATAATACCGTTTTCTGTCAGTGACATGGTGTAAATATGCAATCAGAAACTGACTCTTATACTTAATGTAACTGCTATAACTTTACAGTAATTGTGAAAGCATTTGTGACAATTTGATCTAGCCTGTAAACTGGCGTGACTCTTGTACCGTAGTTATTTGAGAATAAAGATATTATTATTATTAGTGCTTATTTTTATGTAGGTCGGAAACGTACATTTATTCATTCACATCTTGAAACGTGTACAAAATCCTTCTAATTTTGTTGACCCATTACAATATTTCCACTGCATAAAATTAATAAATCCTCTTTAAGACCGGTTCAATTTCTGGCTTTGTTGGGGGTGTTGTATCCACGTACTTCAGTAAGGGCATTCTACCACTACGCGGCCATCTTAAGACAACTTCGTGATATCGAAAGAAAAGCGATTTCGTGCCAGAAAAAAAGGGCGAAAATGTACAGAATGGAGAAATCAAAATGACTCCCGCGTAAAAAGAAAGCTGCAGCCCAAAAGTGTCAAGAAACAAGAACTTCAGTAAAAAAACCACTAGTACAAGTGGTTATAATAACGAATGTTTCTACTTCACGAATGTTGTTTTCTTCTTAAAACTTGAGTCACTACAGTAGAATACACACGTAGTTGCTTTTATTAAGTAGTTTTCTTTAACAGAATCTGATGGAATACAATAAATTTCTCGAAAATGATTTAGATCAAAGATCTATCATTCTGAAAAGGGTAAACAACCATTACCCAGCAATATCCTTTCTTATGATACCTCAGGTTTAGTAGTTGTTTCGTGCTTAGCCATAAAAGCCTTGTTCGTATTTTAACAACACTCACAATAAGGCGTTAGTGACAGTAAATTATTATTGCTTTGATATTTAGATAACTGGAAAAACGTATCGTCGATTAAGGGAAAAAATGGAAACTGAAAATTATTTATATATTATGAATATTAGGCTGGTTAATATGCAAGATTTTACTCGAGACAACTTATGTTGCTCTCCATAGTCGTAATACATTCCTTGAAAAAGCTCAAGTACACAGTTAAATGCTGTCAAACCTCATACTTGACTTTGCGCCCATATATCTTACTCTTGTACTTTAAATATGGAATGTTAGCCGAGAGAAGTGTATTCAAGGTCGTGAATCCGGCGAGCGGCTATTCTGAAATCGGGTTGAATCTTCGTCTACCAATCGTTCATAAAACAGCTCTTGTAAATGGTGTTTCGTAGAGATGTGAAGTACCAAATCGCTAAAAAAATCATTGAAAATGTCCCTAATGACCACTTTCTTCCACTGCCCTATCAGGTATTTTCAGTTTTTCTATATATATTATTTTTAACTTCCAAATCTTGAATGTTAACTCAGAATACGCCAGGATGTTCATGAAAATTTTCAACAGTAATATTATCCAATAAATTTTCCAGTCTAGTGTGTTATTATAGTCAATATTCTTTGATGCTTTTGGCTCGATTATACTCTGCTTTGGGACACAGCTATTCAGAAGAGTACTTTGAACATATCAGTTGGGAAATCGCACTTAACCATAATCGTTAGTTACAAAGTCTGACTTCAAATATTGGCTACTAAAATGTGTTTTGACCTTAAAATTTCAGTAGCTTGAAACTATAAATAGGATGTTGAGTTTTTTTCTGTGCAATACTTGTCAGCTGGTATATTGTGCTCTTTAAAATTTTCATTTATGTCTCATGACGTAACATTTCAACCAGGTAGTATCCCTTAATAAATCTGTCGGTATTTTCAGATTTTTTCAGTTCGCAATCTACGTTTCGCATGTTAGCTCAATTTGAGACACTTATCTCTTATCACTGTAGGTGTAGTTCTGTAGCTCCTTTTCTGATATCAGTCCATTTTTTTTATGAGGAAAGTCAAATAACTTAAATTTGGTGACTTATTATAGTCTAAGATGTTGGATTTTCATTTGGGTCAAATCTGTGTAAGTTAAAAATACTCCAAAAACGAGGCTTTGAGAACCTCAACTTTAAACTAAGAAACCAAAGAAATAGGCTCATTGATATTATTTCCACTACGATTAAAGCTGACTATCAAGACGATTAATACCCATCATGAGACCAACCCGTATGCTCGTAGTAACCTAAAAGGCAACCGGTCGAGAGGTTATTTCTGTAAACTTCTTATTAACATAGGTTTCTCCTAATTGCTATTTTTGGCGTGCAGTAATAAACATACCGTTTAGTGCATCAATAATCTCTGTTGGTTTCAAACTAAAGGACTGTAATCCGTCTCCAGAAATCTATAATTTACCATATATTTTTCCTGTGTTCTGTTTCTTAGGCAATTCATTTTCACTTAATGTAGCTCTGAGGTGTGATCTTTTGTGATTCAGTTTTAGTAATACCTAATGTCTGTCAGTAATCTTTGACTTTCTTCGTGTGTTTACTTCCAGCGACCTGTTAAACTTTAGAGCAATTACTGTTTTTGGACATTAACTGATTAAAATCCATGTTCTTAGAACTTGCTGATTATAGGGACAAATGTGGTTATTATCTACAAAAAGGGTCTTTATTGGTGATCTTGTTACGTCCAGGATTTTTTAAAAAGTGTTGTGTGTAAAATAATACTAAAGATGGTACTGATTAAAGCATCGCTTTTTTTAATTTACACCATCTTTTGAAAATAATTACCAGGAGTTTCTCTTTTAAATAATTTTTTAGATGTTAATAATATCATTCTTTTGAATTTTGTCTGTTTATATATATCGACTTGATAAGTGGAAACTTGTTTGTTCCTACATTGCTGTCAGTCGCTACACTAGTTTTGGCTGTCTCGAATTTATTCTTTCTAGATTTCAATCGTTGTTGTTTTCCAGATTGTGGGTTAGTGAAAATCCCCATCGGTACAACTCTACATTATGTATTGTCGATTGTGACCCTAAGGCAAAGAATAATAAGACCCATCGTATTCATATTTCCAATAAAAAGTGAAATAGTTAGTTCTGTCTAGTCACGTGACATAAACTCACCGATTTTGCACTGTTCATAATACTTTTGGCTTTAAAACGAAGTCTCCGATAATATACACTAGTTTGTTACGTGTTTTTGTTTTCGAATTTTACTTTCGTTACTTGTTATAGCTAGACCTACTGGATGCTGCATACGAAAGGAATACAATCATATGCTCATCAAATGAACTGAATAAAATGTTTTTTGTCGTAAATCTAATCCGTGAAATGCGCTTTGATAATCTGGGCAAGCAAGTGATTTACTTCGTTGATGGTTAGTTCCATATTGTAAAATGTACATAATTTTCTTTTAGACACTAAAATAAACTCATTAGACAATTTTTTCACGCATCATACTGGATTATCTTGTTATGGTTTCAAATATGATGAACAGAACAGTATGGAAAAAGATTTCATGGATCGGCTTACTTCCGTTGTGCGTGAATATGATATTGTCTTATTATCACCTTGGCTAATTCCATTCATTGTCATGCTATCCTCAGTTAACTTCTTCATAAAGCTTGTTCACCAGGTAAGCCATTTAACTTCTTAGTACATGTGAAACATGCAAATCGGTTCTCGATGCCAAACTAAAGTTTATTCGACTGGATAAACTTTGTTACCCTTAAAAACTCATACTATAATTACCTCTAACTACCAAATCCACTTTACTTTTTTCTAAAAAATCATGCATTAAAATGAAGCTCATAGATATGTGCTGTAGCGATTATTTAGCCTACTTTCATTTGAATACTTCGATCACAAGTTTGGTTTGTGTAATGAACAATATCTAGGAATACTTTAGTTCTATTAATGACTCATACTAACAATATGATAGGCTTCATATATTGGTATAACTATACTCAAATGTATTTAATTTAAATAGCGTGGCACTCTAACAAATATATCCGCTATAAGTGTCATTCAGTCAGCTACAACGTAGGATTTCGTATGTACGTACACAAGTTCAAGTTGCCATACCACACTAGCACAGAGAAGTAATTACCAATTCAAATCCCATAGTGGTAGATGTTGTAGAAGTATTAGCGGCATTGGAAAAGATCAGAGATCGAAGGTATGATCCGAGAAGTATAATCCAGTGGAATAAATTTCGGAAAGTAAAAGATAAAGCTGATCAGGAATTCAGAAGACTAGGATTTGAGAGAACACAAAGAGTAAATGCACTTGCGCCATTGCAACCGATTTTGAGCCATTTCATTCAAAGTCTCAAACTATCGGTTACTATCATCTCGCGGACCCCAACCAAGTAGTCTACACTTATCAGCATGTATCAAACCAGTTGTTAGTGACTTCATGGATTTGTTCCATGTTTTGGTTTGGCCACCATTAGCTTTCTTCCAACCTACTCCTACAACTTAAAACATCGCTCTTCGAGGCAGTTGGTGGTTGGGCATTCGTAACACATCCAAACCATCTCAACTGATGAAATTTCACTACTTCACCCATTGGTTTGTCGTCCGTAATTAGTACACTAGCATTGCTTACTCGGTTTTTCCAGGATACACGAGCAATTCTTCGGAGGCACCTATGATCGAGAACCAGTAACCTACAAATATCCTCTACTCTCACTGGCGATGTTTCGCAGCCATATTGTTAGCGTCTTCACCAAATAGAACTATGTCATCTTTACATTCTAAGTCAGCAAGCGAATCTCCTGGTAGTATGTCAACTCCTGAAGAGTCAGATGATGAAAGTGTCGTCTGTAAAAGAAATTTAATAAGAATGGGCAAAGTGAACAATCTTAACGAAACACCACTTGAAGTGTGAACATGTTGTTTATACGCTGAAGTCCAGGTCTGAAACCAGCCTGGTTTTCTCAAGTCTGCACTTCACGAGCACTAGTTAGGCGTTGAAGTCTTATTGAAGCTAATATTTTAGACAGTGTATTAGTTATACTGAATCCTCTGGGTTTACCACAAGAAGACTTTTATCCATTTTTAAAGACTGGGACAATCAGGGATTGAGACTAGTCGAAAGATATTACTCCCAGTTTCCAGATTCTAACTAAAATCTTTGTTAATATAACTGTTAACACTGAACCACCATCCCTAAAAATCTTAGGAGTTAGCCTATGAAGACTCGCTGCCTTCCCTCGTTTCAGATTTCTTATAGCTTTCTCAACTTCAATAAGAGTTGTAGACTTGCCATTCAGGCTGATTGGAGATGGTGAGTAACGGAAGTATGGTTGAAGGCCAGCTGAAATAATCCCTAACGTGTCCTGCCCATCGTTTCAATCTCCTGGATTAAAAATAAATACTAGTCCTATGCTTTTCCGAGATAGTCTCACTAACAGTCGGATTCCTAATATCGATTTACTGGATGAGTCTGGATGGTTGTCTACTGTTACCTGTTGCCGCTGCCTTTCCCGTCGCTCTTGCTTTCGCTACCCACCACTGTTTGCGATCACTGTGTAGGCTTTTCATCAGCCTCCGCCTAAGCATACTCCGCTCTCCGTCATGTTCATAGCCAAATGGGATGAGTTTCCAAGCATCTATCAGTTCGGTAGATGCTACTGAAATCAACAGCTTTTCCTTACAAGCAGATATCGCTGTTGTTTTCACAGCTTTTTGGATTTAATTCCAAGCTGCTTCGTAAATGTTTCTCTTCGCTTTGTTATCAATGAAAACCCTAAGAGGTTTCCTTGCTGTGTCTTGCATATGTCTTGTAATACGCGGACAAATACGCGCTCTCACTACAGCATGATCTGAATCTAAATATATGCTCTAGAACGAGAAAAAGTTTCCTATCAAACCACTCCATCGGTGGCTGATAGCGATCTAGTGATCTAGTTGTGTCCAACATTGGGACGAATTTGGGGTCGCTATGTCAAAAAATGTTTTTCCTTGTGGGTGAAGTTAGTAATTGCAAGAAATAGTCGGTTATCTGAGCATAGCTGCAGCAGACAGTCGCCATCATCTGTTCTTTGGGTCGCGAAACCATAAGACCCACCCAGATGTCGTTGATTATCCCTTAGTCTACCTAATTAAACATTGAAGTAACCAGCCATAATTACTATATCAAAGCACCTACCTTTTTGGAGGAGGTTGGAAAGCTTCCTGTAAAACTCATCTTTTACAGTATCTGAACTGCAGTCAATGGGAGCGTAGGCAGATACAACAAAGAGGCAACGGCGAGTGTCCCTATCTTCCCAAATCCTCAGTGTCCCGTTTAGTCGGAGAGCGCTTAAGCGACTGTCTACTGAGACCCAGTCTGAGAGAGCTAATTCTGCCCTAGGAATCAATGTTTACCTACGCCAGCGAGGCCATGAAAAGCAGCATCAGGGCTTCCAGATACACAAAGAGTAAATTGAGATGGTTCTTTATTTGAACGTGATGAGGTCAAATGAATGAATATACTCGAATCCTGTATGCGCGTTTCGTTGACGCAGCATACATCGATGGCGCGAGATTCTAGAGTCTTATCTAAGGAAGCCTGTTGTCCTATTTGGCACAAGGTTCGAACATTGAAAGCTCTATTATGTAGTTTGGAGCGATGTTTCCGGAGACCAGACATTATGTTTCGTGAACTTGAAACGTTTGCATCAGCGGCATGAAGTGACAAAGGAATGAAAGAAGAGCTGGTCGTGGAGATAAGGGAGTTAATTAGAGGTATAGGAAGGTTGTGACTGTGACTTGTGTGGTCTTGTGTGCTGTTACTGGTATGAGGGCGAATGGCACTTCCTGGTCGCCCACATCGTGGAAGGGTATTTATTGAGAAACCTGAAAAACAAACTTGATTAGTGTTGGTCTTAGTGATGTGGGTGCCTGACCACAGAATCCAAGGTATAACTGCTTTAGGCCGGTCACACGCGGTCTATTTATGGGATGTTTCGGAAGTATTAGTCCAGGTCTTCAAATGACCTTACTGTCGGAAACGGAAATCCGTAGTGTGAGGTGAGGTGTGACCATTTCTGTGGTCGGTCCTTTCTAACTCCTTCCTCCCGTTGTAAGAAGACAGCATCGCTACAGATGTTGGTTGTCCGATGGAAACACGTTACCGCCGTCACATTCCTCTGCAGTCAGCAGTACGACTTTGCCCTCAGACATTGAGTAGCTGCTTTCAGTCTCATCGTTCTCCAATCGACCTGTCTGGCCTTGTAGGACCTAAAGGAACAGGTGTTCCAGCCAGTAGAACTCGGTCGGGTCATCACGATAGGCAAGCCCGACTACTGTGTCTAGGTTGCAGCTACGGTCGACATCAGTTATGAATAAGCAAGAATCGAAATAGTTAATAAGCTCCTCCACTCATTTCGTGCAATTCATCTCTTGTAAAGTTAGACGATGCCTAGTCAGTCAGTCAGATGTAACGTAGAACTTTGTACATAAGTACATCAGTTTATGTTGCCATACCACATTAGCACAGAGAAGTAATCGTCAATTCAAATCCAATAGTAGAAGAGGTAGTAAGGGAATTAGAAGTAATCGGAGAGGTTAGGATTGGAAGATACTATTCAAGAAGTATGATTCAGTGAGAAAAGTTTAGAGAGTCGAAACTAGAGGGGTTGAAGAATCCAGAAGATTAGCATTTGAGAGAACACAAAGAATAAATGCACTGGCGCCATTGCGAACGATTTTGAGCCATGTCGTTCAAGGTCTCTAACCATCGATTATTATCATCTCGCGGACCCCAACCAGGTAGTCGACAATTACCGACATGGCTCAGTCCACTAGTCAATGACTTCATGGATTTGTGCCATGTTTTGGTTTGTCCGCCCCTAACTTTCTTCCAACCTATTCCTACACTACAAAACAAGGCTCGTCGAGGCAGTCGGTGGTTGGGCATACGCAACACATGTCCCAACCACCTCAACTGGTGAAGTTTCAATACTTCATCGATTCATCTGCCATTCTTACCTAGCACCCGATTCCTAATAACAGCATTGCTCACTCGGGTGTCCCACGATATACGAGCAATGCTTCGAAGACACCTATGGTCGAAAACCAATAACCGACGAGTACCTTCTACTCTCATTGGCCATGTTTCACAGCCATAAAGTAAGACGGAGCGAAGCACTGCGCAGCACACTCGTCCTTTAGTCAGCAAACGGATATCTCGCCTACGCCATAAGTGACGCAGGTTGGCAAAAGCCAATCGAGCCTTCTGTATCCGAGCTGAGATTTCGTCAGTCACCAGGCCATCAGCACTGATGAGACTTCCAAGATAAGTGAAGCGGTCTACACGTTCGACCACTTCACTCCCTATCACTAGTTCAGGTGCCGATGCAACCAAGTCTTGAAGCAACATTTTGCATTTCGAGGGGGAAAACCGCATCCCGAACATGCTTGCATTGTTGCTTATGGTAGTCAGAAGACTCTGCATTTTGTCAGCATCTTCACCAAGTAGGACAATGTCATCGGCATATTCTTAGTCAATAAGCGAGCCACCTGGTAGAAGGTCTACTCCAGAAAATTCAGACGAGGATAAGGTTATTTCTAGGAGCATGTCAATGATAAAATCAAACAAAAATGTAGAAAGTGGACATCCCTGACGGACCCCACTTGATGTAGAGAATTCCGGTGACAGTTCGCCATAAGCACTCACTCGACCAGTGGTGTTCGAGTAAAAAGCTTGTATGAGGTTAATGTACTTATTTGGTACACCTTTCAATGACAGACACTGCCACAGAACCTCACGATCCACTGAGTCGAACGCAGCCTTAAGGTCCAGGAAAACAACTATTGTAGGACGCCTAAATGTGTGTCTATGTTCCAGGACCTGTCTGAGTGTGAAGACGTGGTCTACACAGCCACGTCCAGGTCGAAAACCAGCCTGGTTTTCTCGAGTCTGCTCTTCACGAGCTTTCGTTAAGCGTCGAAGTATTATTGAGGCCAGTATTTTAGATACTATATTAGTTAGACTTATCCCCCTGTGATTGTCACAAGAAGACTTTTTTCCTTTCTTACAGATTGGGACAATCAGTGATTGAGACCAGTCAGATGGGATTGCGTCCAGTTCCCAGATCCTACCTAAGATCTCAGTCAACCTAGCTGCTAAAACTGGACCACCATCCTTAAATATCTCAGCGGTCAGTCTATCAGGACCTGCAGCTCGTCCTCGCTTCAGATTTCCTAAAGCTTTCTCAACGTCATTAAAACTAGAGGGACTTAGGTCGATTTGCCATTCAGGATGACTGGAGATCGTGGGTAACCGAAGATTGGCTCGTGGCCAGTTGAACTGATCCCTAAAGTGTTCTGCCCATCGATCCAGTCTCCTGGATTGAGAATAAATGAGAGTCCCGTCATTTTCTGAGATAGTCTCACTTACACTAGGATTCCTAATGCCAGTTTCTTTAATAAGGCGGAAAAGTTGTCTAGTGTTGCCTATCGCCGCTGCCTTTTCCATCGCTTTTGCTTTCGCCACCCACCACTGTTCGCGGTCGTTACGCAGACTTTTTATAAGTGTGCGCCTAAGCTGACTACGCTCTTCATCATGCTCAGAGTCAGGTGGGATGCGTTTTCGAGCATCCATCAGTTCAGTGGATGCGACTGAAATCCACGGCTTCATCCTAACCTCATGGTTTACCTTCCTAGCAGATATCACTGCTGTTTCCACAGCCTTTTTGATATCATACCAACCTGCTTCTGGATGGGAATCACTTGCATGGTTGCTTAACTCTCTTTCTAGTTGCTCCTGAAATATTTTCTTGGTTTGATTATCATTAAGTAAAACCCTAAGAGGCTTTCTTACGGTGTCTTTCCTACGTCCAGTAAGCCTTAAACAGATACGAGCTCGCACTAGAGCATGATCTGAATCCAAACAAGTGCCCCAGAACGAGCGACAGTCTTCTATTGAACCCCTCCATCGGTGGCTGATGGCGATGTGATCTAGTTGAGTCCAACGTTGAGACGACTTCGGGGGTCGCCAGGTCAACAAATGCTTTTCCTTATGCCTAAAGTTGGTGTTCGCTAAGAATAGGCGGTTATCTGAGCATAGTTGCAACAGACGGTCGCCATTGTCTGTTCTCTCAGTCGCTACACCATAACATCCACCTAGATGTCTTTCCTTGTCACCTAGTCTACCTACTTGAGCATTAAAGTCACCAGCCAATATTACTATATCAGAGCGCCTAGCTTTTTGGAGGAGGTCCGAAAGCTTTCTGTAAAACTCATCCTTAACCTCGTCTGCACTGCAGTCAGTGGGGGCATAGGCAGGTATGACGAAGAGGCAACGGTGAGTGTCGCTATCCTTCCGAGTCCTTACTGTCCCGTTTAGTCGGACAGCGCACAAACGACTATCTACTGGGATCCAGTCTAGGAGAGATAATTCTGCTCTAGGACTCAACGCTATGCCTACGCCAGCAAGACCCCTGGAAGCAGCATCAGGGCTACCGGATACACGAAGAGTAAATCGAGCTGATTCTTCGTTTTGAAAAGGTGGAATTAGGTTAATGACTTTACTAGGATCCTGTATGCGCGTTTCCGAGACGCAGCATACATCGATGGCACGAGTTTCTAAAGTCCTAGCTAATGATGCCTGTTGCTCTATTTGACACAATGTCCGTACATTAAAATCTCCAACATGTAGTCTAGAGCGTGGTTTAAGGAGACCAGGAACGACTTTTCGTGATCTCGCTTCGTCTGCATTAGCGGTGCAGTGAGAAAAGGGAGTGTGAGTAGAGTTAGTCTTAGAGATAAGAGAGGTATTAGGGGGTGTAGGAAGGATTTGATTTTGACCAATTTGGTCTCGCGTGCTGTTACTGGTATGAGGGCGGTTGTCACTTCCCGGCTGCCCACACCGTGGAAGGTTGTTTCTTGAGGGACCTGAAAAGGAAGATGGATTAGTGTTGGTGCGTGACCGCAGGGTCCAAGGGACAACTGCTTGAGGCCAGTCACGCACGGCCTCTTTATGAAAGGTTCCGTTCTTAAAGGCCCTTAGTGGGCACCCTTACCCAGGGAGACGGAAATCCGTGAGTCAGGGGAGGTGTGACATTTTTAGGGCCGACCTTTTCTAACCCTTCCTTCCTTGTGAGAAGGCAGCATCGCTGCACATGCTATTTGTCCGAGGGAAACACCTTACTGCTGTCACACCCCTCTACAGTCAGCAGTACAACTTCGCCCTCAGACCTTGGGTAGCTGCTTTTACTCTCATCGCTCTCCAATCGACCAGCCTGGCATGGTAGGATATGGCAGCCAGTATAGCTCGGTTGGGTCATCACGATAGGCAAGCCCGACCACCACGTCAAGGTAGCAGCTTCGGTCGGACGATGCCTAGTATGATTATAGTATCTGTGTTTTGGAGTTATTCTAACACTGGCGATAAGGTCTTCATAATTCTCCAGTGTTGTCATTACTTTAGGATTTTATTGGTCACGGATTTCCTCCTACTCGGTGCGGTTTCGTAAAGGCTGAATGAAATCTCTCACGTTAATAGTCGAAATCACAGTCGGAGTTGAGTATATTTGGAGCAGTCTTACATATATTGGATTATTTAAAATTAATTAACACCAGGGTTTCCTTCCATATTTTTTTTATCTTTCAGTGTTCTTATCTGCTGGTAGTTGATGAGTGTCATATGGTTTTGGATTCAAGTCATCCATTATCAATAGTGTTCGGGCCAAATGGTCCAGTGTTTCGAAACATAGAAGACGTTGAACAAACAGTTACCGGACAAAATACAAGTGATTGTTACATATCAGTAGCGGAAAAAGTCAGAATCTTATGCTTTACATCTGCTTTATTACCCAGAGAAATAACAGATCCGGAAAAGGTAATTAAAACCTAAAGATTTATCTCTATGATTTCTCAGGCATTTATCTTAATAAACTTGAATTTATTTTACAGTCTCATTTTTCTATTTCCCCTGAGTTTGTAGATCACATCATCGTGTGGAAAAGACTGGTTTTAAAATAATAGTCAAATTAATATCCCAGTAGTCTCGATAGAAGTATCCTTATTCGATATGGCCATGTAGCCCTTAACTTTAATGATCAAATATTTATACAGTATACCCGATATTTAATGTAAATTAAAATACTGATATGTTTCACGCTCTTACATGCTCTGTTATGGTTGAGAGTGGGGAGATAGCCACTGTCACGAAAGGGCTACCCACTGCTTCCTCGCAGCAGGCGTGTTGTTTACGAAACCTAAGGGACAAAAACCTAGTTTCCAGGGCTTTGATCGGTTTGATTGGTATGGAGGATCCACCTATGGCGTTGGAAAACTCTGGTTCCAAACCAGTGGTGTGATATAAGCTCACTTTTCCACTCTACTAGAAATTGAAATGATTTTTTTACTCATTATGAAAATAAATAAAATACAGAAACACCTACGACTCAATGTAGCATTGAGTGTATTTATAAAGTGGTTATTTAAATTCCAATGATTTATCTTAGAAGGATACATGAACCATCAAGCTATACTTAATTTCCAACTATACAACTTCTATTTTTATCCCACGTTTCTACGAATAATATGGTTTGTAAAATTAAAATGATAGTAAGTGTATAATGTTTGGTTCTAAAGGTATTTTACATCATGTATGGTAAACCATTAAAGACCATACAGTATTACGCAGTGGTTGCAAATGTGTATAGCACTAGTCATATCTCAACCATGTATTGAGCAAGATCAAGGATCGTTAGCACCCACACTAATTTTTACTGGATCACATGACTTATTTCTCCAATTCTGTTTGTTTACAAGCAGCACCTAACGTTATTAATGAGTACTTTCAACCTTGATTCACCACTAGATCTGAAATTCTTAAATTCAGTGCAACGCATTAGGCTAAGCTTTCACGTTTATAAAAAGTTGCAAACAAGAACACAGACTTTTCAATATTACTTCATTTTCATTGATTCTCCAGTTAATATGTGTTCGTGGTTGGAGCCTTCTAAGCCATCTTCTGCACAATGCTCAATTCAATTTTTTTTCTAAATTGTTAGTAAATTTGTAGAATTTAATGCATCAATAATACTTATCTCTGTACTTTTCTTTTTCAAAAGGCACGATTACGCTTACAAACACTTGAAAAAAGAACTAGCTGTCAACTCGAAACTGCTTCAGAGTTATTAACGATGCTTTCGTTAGGCGCAAGACCCCAAGAACGTGTTTTGCTCTGTTCCAAATCATCTCCAACTGCTGCAATACCTTTTCACCAGTTTATGTTAGGTGTTTTTCGAGAGATGAAAGAATTTACCAGTGATGTGGAATCAACTGTACCCTGTATAAAAAATTCATCAACAGATGATTCTACATCTGTGGTCGTTAATTCTGGAGGTTTTCGTGTTTGCGTACTTGACTATTGTAAACGTGCTATAACACAGTGTGAAGAAATACTAAATGAATTAGGCTTATGGTGTGCTGCACAAATTGTTCGTGTATTTGCTAAACACTTAATTGCATTGGATCGACAGCGTAGTGAAGTTTTTAAAAACTCTTCACTGATGAATAAGAATAAAAAAGAAGGCGAAGAAATAGAGAAAAACTCATGTGCTTCTTCTAAATCACCTTCATGTAATGTAGAACTAATTAAGGATAATGAATATCCAATTACTATACCTAAAATAAATGATGTTGAAAATCGTATATCTTATCTTTTACGTTACATTGTTACACAAATGTGTTTTCTTAGTCGTTTATTTCAAATGGAATTTGATTCGTAAGTTTACATTCTATTTTGTATTTTTTTTTCCCCATAAATGAGAAAAATGTATGTCCTTTATCCACTTTTTACATTGTACAAATTATTGTTGTTATCATATTAGAGATTTCCCCGTGACTAATGCCTTTGTCCAAACTAGTCATACAACAATGATCAAGTTAAAGGCAAAATACGTTGTTTAAAATCATAGCATCTGATTTCTGGATTATTTGTAATTTTTTAGCTTTATAAATCGTATAATTAATGTTCTGACTAAATATAGGGTAACATGAATTCAGAGAGATAATCATGTCATTACAAACCAGACTAAATGTTTGATGATGTAGAATAATATAAATTGAGTAAGAATTCATAATTCGTAGTGAATGCTAGATAAATTTCTCAAAACATTTGCAAGATTTATAAGAATTGTAAAAATAATGAACATACAAAGAGGTAGGTTGTATAAACATTGATCAAATTATATCATCATGCCATTGAAATAATTATCAACTGATTGGGCGAAAAGTTGGTCCAAATAAAAGAAGCAGTTAAACATATTTCTTCTGGACGTAAAGCTCCGGTTTTCAATCTGAATAGCCATTATCTTAGCCATTTAAAAGATTCTGAGTCTGACGAATTTAGATAGATTGCTGTGAACATTATATATTATTAAAAATTATCACTCTATATTGTCTATATGGCCCGTTTGTACTAAATGAGCTGGAATTAAGCTGTTAACAGTTTTAACGATGACAGTATAGCTTGCTTCACAAAATACAGAAAGAAGTGCCATTCTTGGTAATTGATCTTTAAGAGTATTAACCAATATATTTAGCTCTTCTGCAACTGCATCTGCGGAGTATAAATTATTGACTTTATATTGAAATGTCTTAATCAGGATTTCTTTTATATTGTAAAGGAACAAAATTAGAAAAATCAGTTCTCTTGTGTAAGTTTTGTTTTAGTGACCTATCCACTAGTGACCTTGTAAGCAGAACATCTAGAAATGCTATTCTACCACAGTTATCCTTCTCACATGTGGATTTAATGATCGGATGAACTTTATTAAAACACTTGATTATCTCTACCCGGTCAGTATGGTTTTTTTTAAAAAAGATGCACATATGGTTCATATATCAACAGTAAAAGGAAGACTAATCAGAATGTTTTGCCAATGGATTTTTTTCTAATTAAACGAAAAAAAATATGTAATTGAATATAGGATCTAATAATAAACCAATCCATCGCTTACACTATTATCTATTTTCTCTTTATAATTTTCCCATTGAATATGAGGTTTATGCTCATACTATATGTTAGTAATAACTCCTTCAATCAATCAGTCAATCAATAGCAACATGAAACTACGTACGTATGCACGTACATCAGTTCGTGTTGCCATACCACACTAGCAGAGAGATGTAATTGTCAATTCAAATCCAACAGTAGTAGAGGTAGTAAGGGAATTAGAAGTAATCGGATAGATTAGGGTTAGAAGATATTATTCAAGAAGTATGATTCAATGAGAAAAGTTTAGAGAGTCGAAACTAAAGGTGTTGAAGAATCCAGAAGATTAGGGTTTGAGAGAACACAAAGAATAAATGCACTGGCGCCATTGCGAACGATTTTGAGCCATGTCATTCAAGGTCTCTAACCATCGATTATTATCATCTCGCGGACCCCAACCAGGTAGTCGACAACCACCGACATGGCTCAGTCCACTAGTCAATGACTTCATGGATTTCTGCCATGTTTTGGTTTGTCCGCCCCTAACTTTCTTCCAACCTATTCCTACACCGCAAAATATAGCTCAACGAGGTAGTCAGTGGAGAGAAAATGATGTCAAAAGGAATTGTAGTCTCGATTTCCTGTTCTCCTGATTGTTCATAGACATATTCGACAGTCTCCGTGAGTGGAAAAATCTGTAAACGAAGATATTATATCTAAGGACATAATCATTTCTCAGTGTCTACTTTCGCGATCTTGTCAACGAACTAGAATGCATCAATAATACTATACTTCACTAGGTGTTTGTGGAGTGGTTTTAAAACGGTTACTGACCACTTTTCTACAGTATAATAAAAAAGTTGTGCATTTCTAATGTTGGCTTCAATGGAATATCCGCTTTTTGTATCTTTGGTAATCCGTTTAACCTTGGCAAACGAGTACCTACCGGCTCAATTGATTCGTATATATTTGGTGAAATTACCTGTTGATCTCTAAGCTTCTTTAAATATCTAGTCAGTTTATTCCTTAGCTTATTACTGCTAACTTTCTGATTATTCAGTTTTTGACATTTTAAATGATCAGTCAATATGTTATTCGTCCTGTCAATATAATCTTTTTAGTTGAAGAGAACAATTCCTGTTCTATCCAATTTCATCATAATCAAATTTTCGTCCTTAATAAGTTCATTAATATCTTCCTTATGTTTTTTTGGTAAAATGCTTCCGTAGTTATGTCTACTGATAGCAGCAATCAACCAGATATGATTTGAAACGCTCAAGCTCAAAATCAAAGGTTGGAACTAGATCTGACATGTGATGAATTAGGTTTTCGAATTGGGTGTCTGCATCTATATGATCTATGTCGTTGCTCGTTTCACAGAATTTTATATCTGGTGCTAACACTTCAATTTTTCCTCTAATTGATTCAGTACAAGAAAAAAAAAATTATAAACGTAGATTTTAGGTTCATTCGGAAATTTATTTTCAGTTGGTTGATGTTTTAGAATTTTGAAAAGTTGGATACATTTTTTTCTGACCTTTGTTTATTTGTCTTTGCAACGCCAATCCGTAAACTGCGACCTAACGTCTTGCACTGGGTTTTTAACAGCGAATTGCTTACTAACAATATTTGCTTCATTCTCGTTCAAGTGCTTAATAAGTATATCAATTTGATCCACTACCTAACATTTTAATGTTTCTCTGTTCGGGTCTACTTGATTACGGCGTAATGACGCAGAATATTTTTGCACAATGACCTAAAGAGTATATTCTTCAATTATTTATGCGTTTTAACATGATGAGAAATTCTCAGAGATTAAAATGCATTCGTTTGAATTGTGATACTCTTCTCTCTTGAATTGTGTCTATTGTAAGTCTAAGTATACTTTTATCGTGTTATTTGCAATCTTTCTAGGGATACGTTTTAACCTTGTCTGACCAGTCTTTCGATAGTTTCGAATAGATTTTTAGGATGTAAAGCTTTTTGTTAAGTTAATTATCCAGTTGCATGTGAAAGTGAACATACTCAACAAAACAAGGATTCTGTGTTCTATCACTGATACCATTGTCGTTGCAAAATTGTAAGCTAAGATATGACACATGTTAATGAAGTCATTGACAGTTGTACTGAACCATGGTAATGTCTGCAGACTACTTGGTTGGCGTAACAATTGTTTCACGACTCTGGGTCACATGACTCATAATTTTTCTCGATGGAGAAGGTCTATTCAGTCGTCTTTTTGAAAACATAAGTCTTGAAATATCTCAATATCTTTTTGTTTATTTTCCCTACACCTAATCTTTCCTACTGCTACTGTTACTGTTACTACTTTTACTATTCAAGGATTTCTCTTCAGATAGGTTTGTCTCGTCGTGTTGTGTTTATGTAATTCAACCAATGCGCATATATATCAGGCTTCGTTTCACATGACCAACCGCACGAAACACTCATCATTATTCTGGATTTATTGATTTTATCTGGTTAACAAAACGGGAATAGGTAGTGATTTGTTTTTGATCCCACGAGTTCATTAGTTGACAGTCGCGTATTTAGACTACTGGTATGGATTTTACATCTTACTCGGTTTACAATTTGACAAATGGATTGAGGAGTAGTGATTGAAACATCCTGAGGTGGTGGAGAAAATTTGTAGTTCAAGTGGGCGATTATTGTGGTGTTTCGTTTTCTGAGCTGGATGTTTTGGTTATGGAGCTTTCATAGTTCTTATGAACAGCATCATCAGCACAAACTTCAGATAGAAGTTTGAACGAAGCACTACCACATTGAAACATCCTTTTTAGCCACCGAATCACCGGTTAGAATTTCATCTACTTTAAATAACTCGATAGTCCAGCTATTCCCCCCCCCCCAAATAAAAGATCTAGTCAGTAACTAAATGCACAAATGTTTACTGGATTATTGATGTAAGTAAACTGAAAATATGACATTTCGCAGAAAACAAATCTCATACTAACAGTATATTCTCATTGACCTTATTTGTGAAATCTCGAAGTTTAAATGAGGAACGAAATCCTGCGATTTTTCTACTACTCCAATATCTGATCTTCATCTGTCAAGCATCAACTTTAATTCCAAGTTTATGCTTTTAAAAGAACTTAAAAGGTGTTGCTTATTTCTTTTTCCTATTCTTTGTCAAACACTTGTTTCTTATGTTTTATTCATTTAAAATCTCTACATAAACTGTCATTAGTCAGACTTTTTTTGTTGTTGATGAATTTCACTGTACAAATATCTACTTTTAATATTACACTAAAATCAATAGCTTAATTTAAATTCATCATCTATGTGTGTAAATCACTTAAATTTCACATGTAATTATTGTTATTTTTTAATAGAATATTAACAATAGAAGAATTTCAACGTATGATATCACCTAAGGTTTTAAATCTTATTGAACAGTTGAAACTATACAAGCCAAATATGAATTTTCGAATAGAAGTAGCTGAATTGCCTAATCTTAAAAATTCACCATTCATTACAACAAACAATAAGAAATATCAAAAAGGTGGAAGTCATCGACGTAGTGGTCGTAGTCGAACATTTAAAATATCAAATTCATCCTCAATGTTGTCGATGGGTCTGCTCTCGTGTGATATGGATTCATTGTCTGATAGTATGTCAGATACAATGAGTAGCTTATCAGATGATGATGACATTGATGATACACGAAGTGTTCGTAGTTTAAACTCTGCGAAGTAAGTGTGCCCTCTTAAATGTGTTTTGTTTTTTTTTACATTTTCTCAAATAGGTAGAGAGGTATAAGACTAGTCGATTTCATTTATTAACTCGTTTACCGGATGCAGATTCTCGTCCTTCGCTTTGAATCATAATCCAAATATATATGCGCCAGTGGATAGGTGAAGCCCGGTTCAAATGTGCAACTTAGCATTTGGTAGCCAAACACTAATCAAACACTGCTCAGTTGCTGCATCGCATACATGCGATGCAAGTCAATAAGCTCAAACCAGACTTTACTTAAATTAGGCGATTATTATTTGTTGGTAAGACTTAGTAGACAACATTTAAACATTTGAATAATGCTGTCAGGTATTTCTTTCTTGATTTAATCTCTTTACTTTTTCCACTCTTAGAGTGATTCTTGGAGCTGTTTGTTTTTCATTTTAAACGGAAAAATTAATAATGCAATTATAGACCAAATAAACTGACTTGCAGTTCCATGAAACTGTATTACATCACCACCATCTTTTCCTACCTCAATGGAAAATAGCTCGGAAATATCATTTCCGTACGAAGTATTCAGAAAACATTCTATTTTAGTGATTAAGCGGTTTTGTCCGATATGATTTCTACACTGCAAGTAAAAAAAAGTTACAGGATTTTCGGACCCTTGAATTATTTTATAGTGGCAGCTACATGGTTAAGCCATAGTTGACTTTAACTAGTAGGTTTCAGGTTCAAACTCTATTAGATTTACTTCGATCTGATCAGTTGGATAGTATCACTAGCCCTCACTGAAAATGTTTGGCTTAAAACCAAATGATTTAACTGTATATGAGTTAATTCCAAACTTTAATTTAGACCATCTATAGCTTGGGTGAACTGTACAAATATGTTTAGGATGAATTCATATATCCTGACAGCCTTCAGTGACCCTAAAACCACCTCAAAAAGAATGAAGCCAATACTTAGATAATTTAAATGCTGATGATTGTTGGGATAGAATTAAGACTTATGGTTGCGGTTGAGTTTCTGTTTAAATTTAGGTTTAGGTTTATGGATGAATACAAAGAATAGGATTTAAAAATGCTCTGTAGACATATCCGGTTCTTCAAATCTAGATATCAGAGCCTTGAATTTGCATTCATGATCCTTATTTTGTCTAGTCTTTCTGTGCTTATCACTTCTAAATGTATCAGTAAGTAAGTTTTGATAGTTTTCACTTATCTCTCTTACTTATCGCTAAACAAAATTTTATACATTTATCATATTTTTAATTTCACAAAAGATCCAATAGCAACCTCATCCACTATCTTCGATGAGCACTGCTTCACTCCGGCACAGGTTTGAACTCCAATGATCACAACTTCTCTCTAGAACTTGGAGAAACTTACTGTCGTATCTAGTTGCCAGTGAGCACATGATAATTTTCATTGTATGGTTGCAGAGATTGTTGAGTGCTTCTAGGTTTCTAATGGTGGTCTAACATTAATCAAATTATTGTCAAACTTCATAGCATGAATTGTGTGAAGCTGATCAAACAAAGCTGAGGAGGCGTTCATTGTCTTATTATCATACCAATGAGGACACTTCCCTAACGCTGTCAGATTAACCAGATGTAGACAATATTCAGACTCTCTTTTGTATTAATTTCATGGATCTTTTTATTGATTCGTTTATTTAGTACAGCCGAGCACCATCAGAAACATTTACTGCGCAACCAAAGAGATGATAAGGCGTAAAGAAGAGAAGAAGAGTAAAATAGGAAGAACGAAGTAAAATAGAACAGCATATTATTGGTGATACAGTTCAGGCTTAAAATACAATCGAGAAATTTTTTAAGTTAAGAGAATGCCTCTCAGTTCTTTTGAAGAATGCTAAAGAAAACTACAATAAAATCTTTGTTGACTTGTATTTTTAGCCATATCTGTAATAATGTCCCAAGCTTTCGTTTTCATCCGTCATTTCTCATAACTATATTACTATTTGCTTCACCAACTACATTTATTCCTCATAAGCTTATCATATTTTTTGTTTTTTTTTCTCTACACAGATCTCGGCCTTATACACACTCCATGAAAAATCTGAATCGTTCATCTAAAGGTCATAAACGTAAAAGTATGTTAATATTTCTTTGTGATTCACGTAAACCTTACTGAACTACAAATCACTTAAATGAAAACTGAGAAATTTCGCTAAATTTAGACATATAGTGTGACATGTTGAGTCAGACGAATGTAGGCCAAAAGAAGGATGCACACTACTGATCATTCCATTTTAAGAAGGCACTCGCAGTTGTTTGAAATGTGACTTTAATTCCTGAAGCAAAAAGATGTTCATTTATGAATGGGTCTACGTATATTCTTGATCTCGTGTTTAGGTCAATAAGGCTTAACCTTCTCACTCAGTTGATTTAGGACCCGCGTACATATAACAAGGTTATCTGTCAGTATCAAACACGGACGACCGGACAACATAAATCCTTAGATTTTTTTTCAAATGCTTACACAAGAATTTCTGTAACGATGCTGGTATATCTGAAATAAGATTAAAGCATTAACTTACTATCACTGTATAATTATTAAATAACTATATTGTAACATACTTATATTCCTTTTGTCATGTGCCCTTGATTAACACACTAACTAGTTTCGTATGATATACTATTCTTAATCTTTTGTCACTTTACCATTCAGAGACTCATTTGTCCACAGCCACTTTTAGGTTACTCATGCTTAAATATATTTCCTCATTCCATGGTGTGATGCGTTGTGGTGTGTTGTGCGAAAGTGGATTGTTCACATCCTCAGATGCATACGTTATTTTTGGTGCACAGCTCTATTAAATTCCGTAGTTACTAAATAAACAAAAGAAATTCGTTAACTTTTTTTTTAATTCTCAGATCGATCAAATTCTTCAGTAAATTCATTCAATTTACGAGATCTTCATTTTGTTCCCGCGTCCACATTAAACAATGGTGGTATTAGACCAGATATTGACCCTTCTACATTAGTTTATCGTGCTGTTTTGAATACTGACAATCCACACAATAATAGTAATAATAATCGTTCAAAATTCACAGGCCAAGGGTCGTCTGGTATAACTGCTTGCACGAACAACAACAACAACATCTCATCTAATCGTCTGTGTGGCTTGATATTAGTTCCATGTCAATTCTCAGCTTATGCATTATCTCGCCTCATTGATGAATTGTGCATATGGGATGTTGATTTGTATTTCATTAAAATTGGTCATTTATTCTGTCGTCAAACTCTATTAAAAGATGAAAATGATCTGTCAACAACAACAACAACATGTCAATTAATAAATAAAACAAAACATAGTACAGATTTCAATTCATATAAAACACTTGCAAATTTTGGTAATGAGCCTGTAAATAATGGTAAGACATTTTGTTGAATGTTTTATGTGTATGCAATAAAGAATTCATAAAAGTGATTTTCCTTCAGTTTAAGAAATAATTTAAAAGTTGCTTCTTATTACAGACATTCAGCGGTACTTATGTTGAATTGCGAAAATTTGAGGCTATTGCTCTTCATGAATTTTCTTTTACCATTATATACATGCATAAATTCTGTGATCGTGAAGATTTGTTGCTCAGATGAATGATTATTGTAGAGTTTCATTCTCTAAACTGAAGTTTGTGCTGATGATCTTATTCAGAAGAACAATGTAAGCTTTGTAACCAAAGCATCCAGCTTAGAGTAAAAACCACCACCGAAATTCATGAATTCTACTGCCAATCAATCACAAAAAACCTAAAAAAGCGGCACAGAAATACGACCATTCAAATTGTCACAATATACCAATCAACACAGTGATATTAAAATAACAAGTTGAATATGAAAAAGACAATCGAAATAGTGGTAATATCAGTGATGGTAAAAAAGACTGGACATTACAGTATATGATATGAAGAGATACGACGAGTTCATAGAATAAGAAAAATGGTAGAATATTGATAAGTGAAGGTGGTAAGTGAATACATCTGTATCACAACAACTAACTCCCAACCGTAGCTGAAACCTAGACACAGTAGTCGGGCTTGCCTATCGTGATGACCCGACCGAGTTATATTGGCTGGAACACCTGTTCCTTTAGGTCCTACCAGGACAGTTAGGTCGATTGGAGAACGATGAGACTGAAAGCAGCTACTCAATGTCTGAGGGCGAAGTCGTACTGCTGACTGCAGAAGGGTGTGACGGCGGTATCGTGTTTCCATCGGACAACCAACATCTGCAGCGATGCTGTCTTCTTACAACGGGAGGAAGGAGTTAGAAAGGACCAACCACAGAAATTGTCACACCTCACCTCACACCACGGATTTCCGTCTCCGACAGTAAGGTCATTTGAAGACCTGGACTAATACTTCCGAAACATCCCATAAATAGACCGCGTGTGACCGGCCTAAAGCAGTTATACCTTGGATTCGGCGGTCAGGCACCCATATCACTAAGACCAACACTAAGCAAGTTTCTTTTTCAGGTTTCTCAATAAATACCCTTCCACGATGTGGGCGACCAGGCAGTGCCATTCGCCCTCATACCAGTAACAGCACACAAGACCACACAAGTCACAGTCACAACCTTCCTATACCTCTAATTAACTCCCTTATCTCCACGACCAGCTCTTCTTTCATTCCTTTGTCACTTCATGCCGCTGATGCAAACGTTTCAAGTTCACGAAACATAATGTCTGATCTCCGGAAACATCGCTCTAAACTACATAATAGAGCTTTCAATGTTCGAACCTTGTGCCAAATAGGACAACAGGCTTCCTTAGATAAGACTCTAGAATCTCGCGCAATCGATGTATGATGCGTCAACGAAACGCGCATACAGGATTCGAGTGTATTCATTCATTTGACCTCGTCACGTTCAAATAAAGAACCATCTCGATTTACTCTTTGTGTATCTGGAAGCCCTGATGCTGCTCTCCGTGGCCTCGCTGGCGTAGGTATAACATTGATTCCTAGGTCAGAATTAGCTCTCTCAGACTGGGTCTCAGTAGACAGTCGATTAAGCGCTCTCCGACTAAACGGGACACTGAGGATTTGGGAAGATAGGGACACTCGCCGTTGCCTCTTTGTTGTATCTGCCTACGCTCCCATTGACTGCAGTTCAGATACTGTAAAAGATGAGTTTTACAGGAAGCTTTCCAACCTCCTCCAAAAAGGTAGGTGCTCTGATGTAGTAATTATGGCTGGTTACTTCAATGCTTAATTAGGTAGACTAAGGGATAATCAACGACATCTGGGTGGATCTCATGGTTTCGCGACCCGAAGAACAGATGATGGCGACCGTCTGCTGCAGCTATGCTCAGATAACCGACTATTTCTTGCAATTACTAACTTCACCCACAAGGAAAAACATATTTTGACATAGCGACCCCGAATTCGTCCCAATGTTGGACACAACTAGATCACTAGATCGCTATCAGCCACCGATGGAGTGGTTTGATAGAAAACTTTTTCTCGTTCTAGAGCATATATTTAGATTCAGATCATGCTGCAGTGAGAGCGCGTATTTGTCCGCATATTACTAGACATATGCAAGACACAGAAAGGAAACCTCTTAGAGTTTTCATTGATAGCAAAGCGAAGAAAAACATTTAGTTAGAGATGTAGGTTATTTACACTCCGAAGCAGCTTGGAATTAAATCCAAAAAGCTGTGAAAACAACAGTGATATCTGCTTTTAAGGAGAAGCTGTTGATTTCAATAGCATCTACCGAACTGATAGATGCTCGGAAACTCATCCCATCTGGCTATGAACATGACGGAGAGCGGAGTATGCTTAGGCGGAGGCTGATGAAAAGCCTACACAGTGATCGCAAACAGTGGTGGGTAGCGAAAGCAAGAGCGACGGGAAAGGCAGCAGCAATAGGTAACAGTAGACAACCATCCAGACTCATGAAGTAAATCGATATTAGGAATCCGACTGTTAGTGAGACTATCTCGGAAAAGCATAGGACTAGTACTTATTTTTAATCCAGGAGATTGAAACGATGGGCAGGACACGTTAGAAAAAATTTCAGCTGGCCTTCAACCATACTTCCGTTACTCACCATCTCCCATCAGCCTGAATGGTAAGTCTCCAACTCTTACTGAAGTTGAGAAAGCTATAATAAATCTGAAACTAGGGAAGGCAGCGGGTCCGCCTTCGTAAGGAAACCGGTATTAGAAATCCATTTGTTAGAGAAACTGTATCAGTAATGGATGATCATACTATTCGTTTATAATCCAGGAGATCGGATCGATGGGCGACGCACTTCAGAGATCAGTCCAACCGGCCTTCATTTACTCTTCGGTTACCCACATTCTTCAGTCAACCGGAATCGCTAATTGATATACATCTTGAACAATATTTTCGAACCCCAATCTTCTTCATTACCAGTAATACTTCTACTATCTCAACCACTTTAGGGTTTAAACTGACTGTTGGATCTCTTCGCTATTGTGGTGTGACAATTTGAACTGATGTACTTACGTACTCAGTTCTACGTTGTAACTGACTGTCTGACTGCATCTTACTTTAAACCATGTCACCTATGGTGATCAATGACGACTTATCATGATTACCACCCAAACCTTAATTACATCGTATGCTCCTATCAAAGCAACTGAAGTCTGTATTCAGTATATTCATGGACTGATGTTTTGATTCTCCAAACTCCACCTTTCATTCAATACACTTTGAATATGCTTGTCTCTTTTTATCTTTTGGACAAGAAGGCAAGCTTTAAACAAAGCATATGGTTTGAATGTGATAAAATTACAGTAGCTATTCTTCACTTCAGGGTTTTAAGTCACCCAGCGGTAAATATCTCATTATTACAGGAACCAAGCCGTTGCCGAATAGCATTTTGATTATATCTCACACTGTGAATCTGGACCACGTGCCTGAAAATCCTGGTGGAGGGCGTTAGTTCCCTCAAGATCTCAGGTGCTTTTGATAACGAGTTCCAACCGGAACGAAACTTAGGTCAGTCAGAATTTTCTTACAATTATCTCCAACCCCTCAACATCTAAACTTAGTGCACGTAATGTCAAGCTATTTAGAATAGTGCTCACATTACACATAACCAATAAAATTCGATCCACACTGAGAAGCAAATAAATATAACATTGGTAAACACAGTGATTAATCAATTGTATTTATCGTATAAAATTTCATTTCAATTGACAGTTAACTTTGATGTTTCAATTTATAGATTCTTTAACCAGTAATAATAATAATAATTGCAACAATGCTACTCCATTCTCCGTTAATCAAGAAGAAACAATAAGTAATTTTCGTCGTGGTGCTATCAATTTACTGGTAGCTACTCAGGCAGCGATTTCAACTGTAGCCACTAGTGGTACTGAATTGCCACGATGTAATTTAGTCATTGCATTACGTTTACCAAATAGTTTAGCTGAATACTTGTCAAGTAAAGCCAGATCAAGATTAGTTGATTATGGTGCAAAAGTTATCTATCTTATGGATCATGATTCGATCGAGAAAACCAATAATAGTAATGATAATAATAATGATACAAATGACATCACTGATATACAAAACAAAACAAAACTGAAGGATGATAATTCTACTGTTAATTCAATGTATAGCAAGCATATAAATGATCAATTTTTGGGCAAGTAAGTTTGTGCTTTTCTTCTTTTATTAACGATGCTTTTATTGATTTTCAGAATTATTTGTAAGAGTTTGAGTTATCCTTGTTGATATTCGGGATTAAATTTTCATTACCATTTGGTGATATCGGTGTACACTTTTCCAGTTGCTTGAATAAAACCATTTAGTCATAAGTTATTCGGAACCGAAGGTACTAACAACTCACGACCAAACATAACAAACATATATATTTAGAGAAAACACAGATTGTTTACGAATATGTACGCATAGTCTTCAGTCATTTATTAGCATATTCAGAAGTCCAAGCAGGTTTTTAACTGTCTCCTTTCACTCTTCTTCTGGTCTTCAAATATTCAGATGACGTCGTACACTTTAATTTCTTAATACTCTTCTCTCTGGCAGAACTTGTTGGTGACACTTCGATGCCTACTACTTATGAGTCATCTTGTGATTAGTATCTACCACGTAGGTGCGAGTTCCAATTTAATCATCAACACATACTGGGATGTCACAGATATATCTGACCGATGAGTCCCTAACAAGACAAAAGACTTTTCCTGTATTCCACTGCTAGCCACAATCTATTTTTCTATCGCTTATCATTTTAGAATGATTTTGTTTTATGTATATAATTGTCTTGCAATGCGTTCTGTCAAAAAAATAATTTTCCGTTTTTGTTTTGACAAACAACCTTCCAGTTTTCAACAACTTGAACAACTATTACTTCAACGATGTAGAGGTTATAGTGTCTTTTCAGATGAACATGCTGTTGATCCAACCGTCGTTGACAAAGTTTTACCGCCAATTTTTCCTCGTGGCCCGCATGGTCCAAAGGTAAGTTTTTTTGTTTTCAAGCCTATGAATGGACTAATTTTCGATCTTTAATACATATACACCTATTTTGCTGTACTATTCGTGCTATCAGTAATATACTTAGATCCTAATTTCAATAAAAATTAATGTTCCATTGTGTCCTAAACAGTATTTGACACTGATCCATCAAGTTACTGATCGTTAATAATGATACCTGTAACGAAATATTTTTTTGATTTGTCCCCCAAGAAATATTACATCATAACCAACGCTGCTTGAAAATGATCATAATCATTCAAATGTATTCACACTCTTTACTTTCTCGTAAATGATGAGAATTTCACCGACTCACATCTAACTGCTCTGCATCCACCTATTTCCCTTATTTTAATCATTTTGGTACTTCTATCTACCTCTAGCTGGTCTTCTGGTTTCTGTAGTGTGTACCACAGAAAATGACTACGTAAACCAGTGTATATTTATCCATAGCTTTTCTGTATATCATTTCAGTCTGTCTATATTATCTCAAGAAAATCCTTTACCTTCTCGTTGCGATTTACTTTTTTGTCTAGCTCCACTATCCTTTACACTAGTCTTAACTACCTTCTGTGTGGTCGGTGTATAATCTTTGATGCCTATTGACACCGGACCTTGACGTTAAAAAGACAGCTCGATAGGCATGACAAATCATTCTTGAGTCCTAAATTTGCAAATGTGTGAGCTTCACCGAAATCCAAACCCGTGACTTCAGTGTGGATGGAACCGAGGACCTTAAGCTCTCGTGCTGAATGCATTGTCTCTAAGCTATCAAATGAAATAGTTCCAATAGATTCCTGTGTATTTGATAAGTCTATCGAATGAACGCAAGATATGGTTTCCTAATTGCTTTTAAGGTTATTACCTTAGACTAAATCTGCACTGAAATTTGAACAGAAGAGAAAAGGTGCAAAGTATAAGAATGCTTTACTCCAAGATTAGTTTATGTCCAGAAAAATGAAGGTATTTATAAAGTTTCTCATAACCTCGGCTTTCTAGAAGGTTCTGGAACCGCACCTCATGTAGTAGCAACATAGCCAAATATCCAATCAAGATTGTGGCATATGATTTTAAGTCTTCACTCACTTCTGATTGTATGAAACGTTTCTTGGCGTTTCTGGGCCTATAGAGGCTTTTTGGAAGAATATTTTGGAGTTACTGAACAGAATTCACTAATGAAAAACCTTATACTAGCACGATAGGTGCCTAGCAATTTCTGGATTTTAATGTTGCCTAGTTAATACTGATATGTCCTAGCAACCAACTTCAACTATCGTAACAATGCTCTGAATATTATTATTTATCCCTGATACTCGAATTTTTGCTTTTCCATTACTAGTAGCTTCAAGTTTTATGATATCAATGCATGAGATAATCAAAAATAGACAGTAAGCACATATTTTTAGGATAAAACAATCGTTTTAATGCTTTTATCATCATTATTTTTTTTTCCAGCTAATTCTTCAATGTACATTCATGTGTGAGAAAGTATACCATCTACTAGATGACAGAATATGCTCGATTGTATGACTGAAAACCATTAAGATGAAGAAAAGTATTATGAATAAAATTGAAAGTTATGATGCTTGATGTTAAACAAACTTTATGCGCAAATATTTATGTGCAACTAGTCAGTGACAATAGTCAACTGTTGTTTTAAATTAAAAATAAACTACAACAAGTGAACAATGATTGGGTTAACTAACTGTAATATGTTCTCTGTGAATAGGAAATCTGATTTACACTGATATCATAAAGTGCGAAGTGATGCATATGCATCAATATTTCAATATGTACGTTGTTTAACTAATAGAAAGTGAGATTATATTATACTTCATAGTAAAGAAATAACGAATATAAGTTGACAAAAACAACTGAAAAAAGTACATCATTTCTTACATTATTGCTGACTGACTGATTCTGAATTCGCAATCATATCATCTAATCGGTTTGTACATAAGTGTAATCCTCATGATTGAAAAGTTACTGTGGCTTATTTTTAATGTTCTTTTTCTTTTTTCTTCTGTAATCTGTTCAGTTCTGTTTGTCCACTGCAATCAGCATGATCAATCAATATTGTGCACGTCTTCCTAGTGATTATGTTACAAATTTAACCCCGAAATGGTATTGGAAAATATTTCCTCAACCTCAAGGTTTCGCTCCTTCATCAACAGGTCCAGGATCAACATGTGGTTCACCTAAAGATTTACAACCCAACGGAACATTTAATTTATATCAATGTGTTTTACGACTGCCAATCAATAGTTCAGTAAAGCAAACAATATTTGTAAGTTGAACATTTTATTTCCTGATCATTTTATTTATCTGTATTTATACTATAATTAAGGTGTTGTAATAGTTTGCTTAAATGATTACCAGCTAAATCCTATTGCTTAGTATTCTCTGACCACAATACACTGGACAAGTTCCCAAGAATCAAAAACACGGTTGAACAGGAAAAGATAGCAAGGTTAGGTGGAAATAAGAAGCCAAAGGTGATGGCGAAGGCAAAAATAGATACAACGTTAGTCTATTTATAGCATTTACATGAGAAGCTTTTGGATAGAAATTCACGTGATCGACTGGATTAGATTTAACCAATCAGCACGCAGCTAACAATACGAGAATTTTCTACCCTGTTCTCCAAGAATCGATCAGGCGCTGATTGGATAGGAAATTAGCCAATCAGCGCGTAGCAACGTAGCCATGCTTTAATTCCATCTATGTCCCACTACATAAGGTATTTTGTTCGTGTGGTTTTCCAAATGTTAGTTTTGTTTTTTGCTGGTATTCATCATAAACTGACCTGAAGGTCTATTGGGAGTTTATGACAGGTGAAAATCATCAATTTTATGAGTAAAACAGTCGTCATCTCGTCGACATGTGATGGTTATAATGCTACATCACTAACTGGTTGGATTTGGAAATTTGTACTATTGGATCCAAACTCAATGGTCTAATGAGTTCTGTTATTTAATTTTGATGTACAACTAATTAATGATTGCTATCTTAAATGGGCGAATTTCCTCCTAGATTTGTTATACATTAAAAAAAGTCAATTGCGTACGGATAGTTATTCATTGCTCCATATCACAAATAACTATATTCGTACTCTTAGGAAATCTAAACAGTAAGCTGTTGATAGTAGTAAATTTCATGATTTCAGGTACACCTTACTGATAAGTGTCATCTAACATGAATGACGCAGGCCTAAGGTCTCGTATTTGCCACCTCCAATCACCTGACGAAGAATTTCAAAGAACGCTTTTTCTGTAAGGATCACATCTTAGATTAAAACATTCACTTTAATTTAGTGATAAAACAACATGTTACCAGTATCCAATCAGTAGAAAAATTTAAGCTTTCTAACTTTTCCTGTCTCAGATTTGTATTTATTCTCTAAAGAGTTGGGCCTACACTGAGTCGCGAAATGTCAAAATTTCTCCGTTTTTCTACTGAGTAACAATCTACCTCAATTTTCATGTTATTTAAATTTATCAAACCAAACCATGGTAATGATACCCATAAATATATCGTAGGTTTAAGCGTGTTCAATTTTCAACAAAGTCCTTTATTCTAATATCTATTTGTTATCCAGTAATTTCATTTATCTGAATTTGTTACTCACCTACTACATTTCCTAGAGTGAACCAATGGCGTGTAAGAAATTAGCTAAGTATTCAGCTGCCTTCAATGCCATTCAACTTTTATATTTGAGTGGTGAAATGGATTCTAAATGGGAGTTATCTAATCGTAAAACTAATCCTATACATCATCATTCAACATGCAAAAATCATGATAATTTGAAATTACCTTATCAACGATCACCAATGAAATGTCAATCATTCTCTTCTTTAAATGATTCCGCTAGTGTAGACGGTGAATCGGATTATGGAGATTATGCATCGTCAGTTAGTTGTTATGAAACAGCTGATGATGAAAGTGAAATGAAATCCAATATACAAAATATTGTTAAACGAAGACAATATTATTATCGTAAAGTATGTAATGTTGTTATTGTAGTTTTTATTGTATTAAAATTATATCTTTATCTGTATATGCTTTCATTTGTTTTTTTTTAAATATTATTTTTCCTAAATCAGAATTAAGATTTAACCAGAAAGGAGTATTTACATCTTTCTAATATGGAAATTTTTATTAACCATTTGTTAGAATGGAATTGCATTTCATTGAATTCACGATCACTAGATCAAAATACTTGATCACATCGGGATACACTAAACACCTAAATCATGCGATCAACGACCATGAGCCAGATTAAGACCAAAGCAACAGTTCATCAATACACAATATATGAATTCAACTAATGGAACACTTTTTACATATTAGATAGTCATTGATAAAGTTATACTATAGCAGCAACCTTATGATAAATGCATAATTTCAACACTATATAAAGAAACAAATAAAAATTCAAACTAAGGATTAGAAGTTCAGTTAGAGTTAGATGTTGGCGTTAGGAGGCAAATGTTTGGAGTGTTAAAGTAAGAAGTACTACTAGGTTTAGGAGTGTCAGGATTGAAAAATCTGATTAGCATTCGACAATGCGTTTTAGTCAATAAAACGTCTTTGATTATGCTCTGAATCACATTATACACTTTCAAGTAAATTTGCATATAGAATATGTATTTCTGTTATGGATCATGTCAAACATTTTATAGATTATTGGAAACAGTTTTACTAAGATGAACGCTATCTTCAACTTTCGTGATTTACACTCACCAAATAAATTAAAATTATAATCTCTTACTTTACCAATCTTGCAGATTCCAACCAACAAACTAATAGCTTTCTACCTTACTTCTGATTACAATACATTGTATATGTGTTTCAACAACTCTAGTATCACTTATTTTCTACCTTCAATCACCCAGTAATATTAATCTGTGAAATACTTCTAATCTACTTTCCTTCAGAGGTTGTTAGTTGAAAACTTGAACATTTTGACTAAACTTTTATTGCCTTCCCTCTCTATTTGATTTCCATGTCTACTTCTCCCTTATCAGTCGTCAGCTGTTCATTTTTATATTTAAAATATATGAATCCTAATCATATTTTATATTTGACTTTTCTTTCTACATTTATTTTAAACATAGTTAGTCGATAAAGTAAATAAATTTACAGTTAAATAAAATCTACATTTCAACCTTTCATTCTCATTAAACTGGAGTGAACATGCGAGCTAACAAAACTTAGGAGTTGTGAAGATTTTCTATGTATAACAATCAATTAATCTTCATAAAATTGTTATGGTATTCACCTACTTCTCCTAATATCATATATTTTCATTTACTCAATTTAGAACTATTTAATTTTTTTTGTTTTTTTTGGGGGCGGGGGGGGGGAGAATTTACACAATTTAACGTTTCTTTCATGCCTTTTTGTTTTATTAGTTTCCTACTCAATTGTCCAATTGTTTACCTCGACCCGATGAACCTTCATCAAATTATCTTTATTATATTGATATGCGTTTGGTTAAGCCTTTTCAAGAACAACAAAATTTACGTGGTCGTATATGTCATCGTCCTGAAGATGAACCGTTAGGTTTTGGTTTACTCACTACCAAACCATTACATCATGTAAGTATGATAAGATTTATTTATTTTGTTTTGTTACCACACTTTTGTCCCTATTCTTCTAAACACCAAATTACTTCAAGTATTTTTAATGCAATGAGTTGATGAATCTAAACTAGGTAAATTCATGATTGTAACAATATTCATTCATGCATTACTTCAACCCCTCGGCCCCATCATACTAATAATTATCATGTATTGACTAATAACTAGCATAGAGAGGAAATTTTCAGAGTTCTAGTGAGTTGCTGTAATCAGTAGAGTTCAAATGTATCGGATATGAAACTGTATTCCTAATTTTATTGAGCTCTACATTCTCAATTGATAATTTCCTCATCCCATTGAATTCGTTTTTTTTTAGCTAATTCAATTTGAGTGGTTAACTGGTATCACTTATCATTGAATCTATAAAATCTTTCAAGACAACTCACACTTGATTGCTTAGATATTATTATACAATCAGCTGTAATACGTAGTAGGGGAAAATTTTGTCGGTGTAGTCGTATATTGGAAGAATACTAAGGGTAGCCAAATCAAGAAATGGATTCATCCGAGCTTTGTTCATTGATACTGACTATCTGATTGGGATCCTCGCGATAGCTATGAACAGTGGTCGAAGATGCTGAATGATATGGCTAATAGTCGTTTGTAGTAGCACTGATAAGCTCACATTTTATATTCTGCTCAATTTTGAATCCTATCATTTCTTAAAATATATCTGTCTGCTCTATTTTTCGATTCACATTCCCAATGTTTCCCAATCTTTCTCATTATCATCCCCACTAATATATTTCAATTACTTTACTATTTATCATCATATCACCTCATCATGTTGGCATATAACATCTTGGGCTAACATACATATGCGCCAGTTTCTAAGTTGACACTGGTAGACTGAGTATTCAACCTTGTATAACTGCTGAATATACATTTTTTTTTCACTTCTAACCACTATTGAATTCATTGTAAGTTTTGAGTTCCTGAAAACATGAATATATTTAGATGATCTGCACACTCATATTCAGAGTTGCTTGGTAAATTTATAAGTTTATAGTAACATAGAAAAGATTGCATCATAAAAATGTTCTGAGCATTACCTTCTATCTTTCTATTGACTCATATATTTATCAAGCAACAATGAATACGGAATTTACAGCTTAAGTAAATAATTTAATCGATAAGAAAATCTACTCTTCAATAATATACTTTTCCAAAAAACTACTTAACTTCTGTTATTACATTTTTGTTTTTTTTTTCATTCCAGATACCTATATTTCCAATATTTAGTAGGTCTGGTGAAGAGAAAATTCATTTTGTTGAATTATGGTCACCAAAATCTAATTTCCAATTCAATGACCAATATTTACCTATTCAAAGTCCAATTTTAACACAGGAACAAATTGATCAATTAATTACATTTCATCGTACACTATTTCAGGTATTCAAGTTTTTTTGTTCTTTAAAACTTGGCCATAATATTCTAACAAGACTCATAAACGAGATTGTATTTAAACATTTTGTAAAGATTTTTCCATTTACTAACCTCAAACATGACTTTGTTAGTGATATTCTTTAAGAGTTCTACTCAGGTTGTATTTAGAATGTATAAACTATTGTTTAATGACTAAGTACACCGAGCAATGACATTGCAACTATTGTGATGGCTATCCAATTGATTTGTTATGACATACAAATAATATCGATAACTATCTCGATGGCTAACATTTTATCCTATTTTCTATTCTAACAATTACCAAACAAACAAAATAGTTCCTGAGTGATTCCAACTGTCATACAACACATGTCCGCAAATATTTACGTTCTCACATTATTATATGATTCCATCTTGTGTGAAATTACATCCATGAGTATATAATGTTGTAAACGACATTGTCCTGTAGTACCAACCAAAAGGCATAAATCAGCAGTGTAAAGAAAAGAATAGGGAAGTATAATCCAGTGGAATAAATTTAAAAAAGAGTAAGATAAAGCTGATCAGGAATTCAGAAGACTAGAATATGAGAGAACACAAAGAGTGGATGTATCTGCACAATTGCAAACGATTTTGAACCATTTAATTTATTCTCTAACCATCAGCTCGCGGACCCAACCAGGTAGCCTGCATCTACAAACATGACTCAGTCCACCTGTCAGTAACTTCGCGGATTTCTGCCATGCTTTGGTTTGGCCGTCCTTAGCCTTTTTTCAGCCTCCTTCGAAACAGTCGGTGGTTGGAAATTCGTAACACATGTCCCAACCACCTCAACTGATGAAGTTGCAATACTTCATCTATTGATTTGACATCCTTAGCTAGTACCCTTTTCCTAACAGTAGCATTGCTTACTCGGTTTCCCCACGATATACGAGCAACGCTTCGAAGATACTTATGATCGAATCCTAATAGCCTTCGAATATCCTCTATCCTTAGTGGCCGGCTATCTTTTATACCTGTAAAGTAGGATAGAGTGAACTGTTACGCAGTATACCCGTCTTTTGGTTGGTAGATGGATATCTATCCTAAGCCGCAAATGACGCAAGTTGACAAAAGCTAGTCGAACCTTCTTTATCCGTGCTAATATTTCGTCAGCACTGATGAGACCCGCAAGATAAGTGGAGCGGTCAACGCACTAGAATACTTCACTCCCTTTTACTAGTTCGGGTGTCCGATTCTGAAGCGAAATTTGTCAATTTGACTGGAATAATCGCATCTCGAATATGCTTGTATTGTTGCTTATGGTGGTCAGAAGACTCTGCATTTTGTCAGCGTCTTCACCGAATAGAACTATGTCATCGCCATATTCTAAGTCAACTAGTGAATCTCTCGGTAAAATTTCAACTCCTGAAAACTCGGACGAAGATAGTATTATACCTCAAAGCAGATCTGTGACAAGAATGGGTGAAGTAAACATCCAAGATGGACACCAATTGAAGTAAAGAATTCCGACTTTTAGTGTTCGAGTAGAGAGCCTGTATAAAGTTAGTGTACTTCTTTGGTACACCTTTCAATGACAGACAGAGCCACAGAACCTCACGATCAACGGAGTCGAACGCCGCCTTTAGGTTAACGAATAGAACTATCATCGGATGTTGAAAAATACATCTTCGTTCTAGGACCTGACAAAGTGTGACTATATCGTCTATAAACCGACGTCCATGCAGGAAACCAGACTAGTTTTCTCTAGTCTGCCCTTCACGAGCATCGCTCTTGCTTTCTCTACCTACCACTGTTATCGATCATCGCATAGGCTTTTCATCAGCCTGTTTTAGTTGCCTCTATTCTACATCATATTCAAAACCGGACAGGATGAGATTCCGAGCATTTATTTGTTTGGTAGTCACCACTGAAATCCACTGACTTTTCCTAAATTTTAGGTTTCCCGTACTAATAGATATCACTGCTGTTTCCACAGTTTTTGGATATCAAACCAAGCTGTTTCGGGGTTGGCATCACTTATATAACCAGGAATGACGTTTCATGTACTCAGATCGTCAGCACTAGCGTAGGTAGGTGATGAAGGTATCCGCGACTGGTTAGTCAAGAATACAGCAGAGTTAGCGTTTGTTTTAGTGGCCTTCGAGCATGACCTCTGAACCCAGGGGAAAAAGACCTAAGGCTGGTCATGCTCCGTCTTTTTATGGGAATTTTTTAAAGTGTTAGCTCCGGTCTTTAAAACTGCTTACCGCCGGAGACGGAAATCCGTGGTGCGTAGTGAGATGTGATAATTTTAGGCCCGTCATTTGCTTACTTATTCATTCCTTGTGAGTAAGCAGCATCGCTTCAGATGCTGTTTGTTCGAGGGAAACTGTCACACCTCTCCACAGTTATCAGTACGACCTCGCCCTCAGACCTTGAGTTGCTGCTTTTAGTTATACTGTCCTACAATCGACGAGTGTGGCATAGTAAGACCTAGAGGAAAATATGTTTCATCCAATATAGCTCTGTTGGGTCATCACGATAGACAAACTTGACCACTACGTCAAGCAGCCACGGTCAGGCAGTTTGATATACTTTGAGTTTTTAAATTTTTCACAATCAGCGAACTGCGTTGCGACACTAGTTCCAGGAAATTAGATATCTTTCACACACTTACATTATTAGCCTGAAGTCATGATGAATTATTGAATATGTGGTCTCCTCAAACGTATGAACCAACTGTGTTCTAACTTCCTAAATATTGCAGTAAACCTTCCTGTCTTAGATTCGTTTAAACTGAAAAGTTATGATTAGTGGTTTATGTACTAATGATTGCAGTGTGAAATACTAGCAAAACCAAACAGAATCACTACAGATGTTGCAATATTTCCCTTTTTTGTTTATTCTTTGAAGAAATGAAAGATACTTTACTATTCATCCATTTTGTAATAGATGGAAATAAATGTTGTAATGGCCTAACTAGTAAAAAACGTCTTCGATTAATTCATGAAATATATTTTTGAATAATTGGAAAATTAAATGTATTCTGAATAGAAATGTGTTGCATTATTGCTTAACTCTGTGTTGAAATATCATTACTGCAACAAGATTTGTGGTATTGAGTAAACCTTTTATCATTATGTGATATAGGTAATCGAGTTCTGTGAAATGAGAATTAGTTACACTCAACTAGTATCTCTCAGTATACTAAAAATAGTGATAATACGGCTATAGTGATCAATGGAACTTTTGGAAAATTTATCCGATAGTTGAAATCGTACATAATGCTGTCAATATCTTTATGTTGGTCGTTTTCATAAACGATTCAGAGGTAACAAAAATTCCAAACCAAGACGTGCCGTCAGTCCACCAAATCCTATACTGTTGGTAGGTCCAGATTACCTGGCTTGGGGTCCACGTGATTATCGTAACCAATGGTTGCAGATTTCTAGTAACACATTTCATTGTCGAATCCTATGGTGCAGATGTATTCATTATTTATCTTATCTAGTATCTTCAGTTTTAAAATTATCTTATACCTCTCTGCCCCACACATTTACTCATTCTTCTACAATCATATTGTGTCTATGCTTAATATCTCCTGTTACCAGTGATATTGTTGCTGCTTCTACTATGCCGACATCTCGCTATCCCAGTTTAGTGTGACAACTCAAATCTTTTGGTCATATATGCGTTAAGTTGTACGTTGACTGACTGAAACAAGACTTAGTGTAATAAATTCTGCGTTGACTGTTCTCATTGTTATAATAATTCTTGATTTTTCTTTCATATTTTCATTATAATATTGTCAGCTTATTGTATATAAAACAACTATAATAATAATAATAGTAATAATAATGGTGTTATTTGATTTGTATTGATTTTGTTCCAGGAAGTTCTACGCTTTGAAAAAGATTCTGTTCTGGAATTTAATTTTCAAAAAGCATATATGCAGGTCCTTGTGGTTCCTACTAGACGAGGTATGTCTTTATTGATGTAGGAATAATAATAATAACAATTATTATTATTACTACCGATTTATTTATTTCTATTTCGATTGATAAAATGTTATACCAATGAATCCTTGAATTACCTAATTTTCATCTAATTTCGTTTATACACTTATTACTTGTAGTGTAAATATCAAATAAGTTATTTCATCATTTTTTTTCCCTGAAATAACTATCATTTTAAAAAGCTTTTTGTTTGATTCATTATTTCTTGTGGCATCTTTCATCGCTTGTAAATTATAGTTTATTTACTAGAAATTTGTTACTCCGATATGTCATCCTATAGAGGTTGTGATCAAGCTCCCTTTGAGATCTGATATATATATGGTACGTGCGTTAAGATCTTCTCTCTTATGTACACAACGGCGTTAGTTCTTTGAGTGCAAAATAATACAAGATACTTGGCTAGCTCTTTTGCTGCTATTCTAATCATTGATTTGGGAAAAATTGAAACTTATGTGAGCTATCACTGTTATTAACAGTTCTTATAACTAAGTTGATGTGTGATAGTGAATAAAGACTACATACAATAACTATCATCTGTTTTTTTATGATAAACTATACTTTGATTATGCAATTTTATATTAACTATTCAATTGATTAATAGCATAATATTTATTGAAGTATTATTTATGAATGAATATCTTGTAATGATGAGTAAAGACACTCACTATAACTATCAATGAACTAACTCATCTATAGATGTTTATTATAATCTAACTTTAATGATTCATTCATTCATTCCTTCTATTGTTTCAATGTTTAATTTTCTTTTTGGGGGGTGTAACATTTGATTTCAATCACTTTCATGAATTAGACACATGTTCAATTGATTGGGATTTCGTTGATTTGGTGCTTACATCATCTTGTGATAATAAATCTATGTGCCATCTATTACCACGTAGAATGAATGATATATCTCAAGAAGAATGGAAAGAAAATATTGATCAAATTAAATTACAAGCTGGTATTGTTACTGGTAGTAGTAGTAGTAGTAGTGGATCAGCTAAAACATTCAACACTACCAATACTCATCATCATAATCGAATACATAGTGGTCGTGACAGTGTTTCATCAGTGCTAATGAATCGTTTACAAAAATCAGGTATTATTGACTCTAATGCAGATAAAAATAAACCTAGTATATTTGAGTTTCGTATGGAAGAATTTCTCAATGCTGTAATTACACCTGGTTATCGAAATTTAGATCAACCACAATATTATTATGTTGCTGCAATAAGGTATGTACATTACGTTTTATTGTGTTATCGTTTATCAATTTAGAAACAAATATTGATCAGTGAAATGTACGTATGAGTTATTTTGATACCATACTCTATATTGTCAGACTGTAGCTACTATCGTTACGTGGTTGGGCTTGCGAGTCACCATGGCATTGTTTGGAAACAGTAAAACTTAAGGTCCAAAGGCGAAGTAATACTGCTGAATTTATATGAGTGTGACGACGGTAAATTGTTTCTTATTAATAATAAGCATCTACAATGATGTTATCTTCACACATCGAAAGGTAAGGATTAGAAAAGGTTTTCCCTAAAATTCATCTTATGATTTTCATCGCCACAGCTAAGACCCATAGTGTTGAGAAAAACAGTTACATGATCAACCGCAAGCAGCTGTTCGGCATTCTCTGCAGTCATGTTCTCGTACCTCCGAAAACACTATAAACATGGTTTCCTTCTTAAATATCTCGATAAGAAGTATCCTTTCACAGTGATGACAAACCTAATAGCACTCGAGTTCAAGTCACTCACCGACATTGAATTTCTGCTATTTAAGACTCATCATTAAGATGTATTTGTAATATTTTGAACTTTGCCTGGAGCCTTCCTAGAGTAACTACTGCTTTCAAGGATAGAGAACGAGGTTTCGAGATCAGGTAAGCAAACCCATTCTGTAGAATACAACCTTGCTAAAAACGTTGACCATAAAATATCATTAGAAAAAGCTTAAACTCTGCTATCAGAGTTTAAAGGTCCTCATTTAGAAGAGTTATGGCACTTAGGAGTGGAGACCGAGTTTATTCAGAAGTCACGAAGCCAATGCATCTTCTGACATCCACAGCAACAATTAACATAGGCACAGTAAATGTTCGCACAATGTGGGAGACCAGAAGAGTCATTCAAATGGATGCGGAGATTAAAAGATACCGGTTGGTGGTGTTTGGAATAAGGGAAGCCTATTGAATGCAAGCTGGCTAGAAAAGGTTAACTTCGACAGAGATACTGTTGTATTTTAGTCATGAAGATAATGTCTCTTGCACGCATGCAGTTGCACTGGTGATGTCCAAAGATACATGGTAAGCATTCATAGGATGAGAATCTCATGGACCTACGATCATCAAAGTATTCTCCAAAACAGAGAAGGAGAGCATTTCAACTAATTCCATCCAGTACTATACGTCCACCGATGACTGAAGTGAAGAGGATGAAGATCAGGCTACAATCGATCGTTGAGAAATGTCTAGGAACAGACCTGACCATCCTGACAAGAGACCTAAACGTCAAGGATCGAATGTACAGCATCGAATAGAAAGATATCATGGGACAAAACGGACTGGATGGAAGGGACGAGAGACTTGAGAAATCAACCAACTTTTGACAATATAGTTATATATATGGTACCATTCTTCTCCACAAACACATACAGAAAGCTACATGGGTTTCCGCGGACCCCACTACAGAGAACTAGATCGATCATATCTACATCAGTAAACAGTTCACAAGATGTATGGAAAATATAAGAATAGAAAGTGGAAATGATATCGATGAAGATCTATGTTTGCTTTTATTTTGAACGTCTTTAAATTGCAATGTATTTTCGTTCTTATTTCTTACTATCATTTGTGTTTTATTATTTATTTACTAACCTAGAAATGATATGAGTCCATTATCACCATTTCCATCGGAAAATTATCGTAATTTTGCTGCCTATTATATTAATAAATATAATGCTATAATTACAACAAATAATCAACCATTATTGGATGTTGATTTAACAGTGTTACGATTAAATCTATTAATACCACGTTATATGAATATACATGGACATAACCAATCAATCAACAATAATCATAATCATCAACAACAAAAACATCATCATTATGATCAAAGTGAAGATCTTGCACATAAACAATTATTAATTCCTGAATTATGCTTTCGACATTCATTTCCTGCTTCAGGTTAGTACTTTTTAATCTCTTTGTTCAATTTTAAATAAACATTACAAAATCTGTCCAATGAATATCTATATCTATCTATAGCTATCTACATCTATACATGCAAACCAGACATTGATTTTGTCATCTTCAAATCACTTTACATTTCTGTTAGTCCATGTGTGTTTCATCTTCAATATCCCATAAAAGAAAGTTTTTCAACTATTAAATTATAAAATTATGTTGTCGTTTCATTGTGTTAAAAAAGATTTCATGTGGTAAGTTTATTATTAATCGGAGAGGAATACAAAATCATGCATTATTAGTGTATGAGAAAAAACAAACAAACAAACACCAAATTGCCGATTCTAGAATAAGTAATAAATAGTCCATACGAAAATGAATTATTCTCTTTTTCGGGAATATACATTTATGTTTCATTCAATTAAACTACCTAAAACAAGCTGATTTAAGACAGCGGGTCCTATGTAGTCTATATATATATATCACACAACAGCTCTATATTAGAATGGAAAAAAAATCATTTCTATGAGCATTTTAAATGTGATTTCTTTCAATTTTATTTTTCTTTCAAATATCAATCAAATATATATTGGTTCTCTGTTTGCTTTTCATTCATTCTACTATTATTATTATTATTATCTCTTATCTAGTATGGCGTAAAGCTGTGTGTATACCAAGTGTATTATATCGTTTGGAACAGTTATTATTAGCTGAAGAATTACGTCATCGTATTGCTGTGGAAACGAATTTAGGTTGTGCATATTTACCAGAAATTAATAAAATCAATAAACATGATTTTATCAATTTCACTACACATTATCAAAATGTCAATGATGATGATGTGGCTAATGAAAATTTGTGTATATTTGAATCATTAAATCTCCATCTGCCTATGATAACAACTGATCATATCACCAATGATGTTGTCAATAATCAATTGACTAATCAATGTAACACTTATCCTACGAATTATAATGAACAAAAATCTACAAAATCTAATTCAAAATTACTGACTCCTGTTTGTGGTGGCAAGAATGGGAATGTTGTTCGACGAAAACAAAGTCATTATATGAAAAAAACGAAAAACCACAATTCTAATATGAAACAACTGAAATCACTTGAAAATGGTCAAAATCATCAATCAGGTATTCATGTTTCTGATAATTCTTACTATTATTGTCATGATTAGAAATAGAGTTGTTTTGTGGAAACATTTTCTACTAATTCCACTCCTCCTCCTCCTCCTCCTACTACTACTACTACTACTGCAGCTGCTGCTGGAATTGAATTATTTTCCTTTCGTCATTATGATATGTTGAAATAATTAAAACTAAGATATTTTTGTTCTGTGTTTTACTAAGAAGAACAAACGTATTTTTATATCTGTAACTTATTTTAATCTTTCTTTGCATAACTAACTATTTATGCTTTAACTCAATAATTTCTCCATTTCTACATCAACACATCTGTTAGTTCCTTTTCAGGTCCCTCAAGATGCACCCTTACACGGTGCTTCTTATACCCCCTAACATCTATCTTATCTCCACGACTAACTCTTAGCATATTCCTTTATCACCCCGTACTGCTGATGCAAACGATTCGAGTTCACGAAACGTTATTCGTGGTCCCCTGAAACCCCGTCCTAAATTACATGTTGGAGATTTTAATTTATGGACATTGTGTCAGACAGGGCAACAGGCTTCCTTAGCTAGGACTTTAGAATCTCGCATCATCGATGTATGCTGCGTCTCGGAAACGCGCATACAGGATCCTAGTAAAGTCATTAACTTGATTTCACCCTGTTCAGATAGAGATAGCATCCATCGAACCGACAGACGCTCGTAAACCCATCCCACCTGGCTCTGAATATGACGAAGATCGAAGTCAGCTAAAGTGAAGGCTGATAAAAAGCCTATGCAATGATCGATAACAGTGGTGCGTAGCGAAACCAAGAACGATGGAAAAGGCGACGGCGATAGGCAACAATAGACAACTATTCAGAATTATAAAGGAAACCGGTGTTGGGAATCCGAATGTAAGTTAGACTATTTCGGAAAAAGATGGTCTTATTATTGATTCTCAACTTTGGAGATTGGATCGATAGGCAGAATACTTTAGGAATCAGTTCAATTAGCCTTCAGCCACACTTCAGTTGCCGACAATCCCCGGTCAACAGGAATGGATAACTGATATAAGTTCTCCGACTCTTTATGAACTTGAGAAAGCTATAGGAAATCTAAAACGCGGGAGAGCAGCAGGTGCTGATATATTGACTCTTGAGACTTCTAAGGATGGTGGACCAATTTTAGCAGTTAGGCTGACTGAGATCTTAGGTAGAATCTGGGAAATGTGCATGATCCCATCTGATTGGTCTCTGAGACTTTTAGGGCATGATGCAGTCTGACTGGTCTCAATCACTGATTGTCCCTGTCTATAAGAAAGGACAAAGGTCCTCCCGTGACAATCACAGTGGAATAAGTCTAACTAATATAATGTCGAAAATATTGGCCTCAATAATACTCCGACGCCTAACAAAAGGTCGTGAAGAGCAAACTATAAAAAACCATTCTGGTTTCCTACCTGGACGTTCGTTTATAGACGATATAGTCAAACTTTGTCAGGTCCTAGAACGAAGATGTATTTTTCAACGTTCGATGATAGTTCTATTCGTTGACTTAGGGGTGGCGTTCTACTCCGTTGATCGTGAGGTTCTGTGGCTCTGTCTGTCATTGAAAGGTGTACCAATGAAGTACATTCACCTTATACAGGCTCTCTACTCGAACACTACAAATCATCCTCTATTTGTGTTCTCAAGTTTTAATCTTCAGAATTCCCCATTGTCTTTTTTTATCTTTCTGAAGTTATCTTAGTGAACTACACTTCTTTAATAATTTCTTCGATCCCTAATATTCTCCATTACCAGTAATTCTTCTACTGTCTTCACCACTGTGGTTTTGAAACTGACAGTGGAGTGTTAGTTCTAATGCGGTATGGCAACCTGAACTGACGTATGTACGTACGAAGTTCTACGTTGTGGTTGAGTGACTGACTGAATCATTGTAACCGATAGATCAATATATATATATATATATATATATATATATATATATATATATATATCTTTATTATTGACGGAACGTCATCTGATAGAAAAGTTTTCAACATAAAAACATAATATCGCAATATCATTTTAGACTGGTCGTTTTGCTCATTGAACCTTTTCTTATAGATAAATGTGGATTGAACAAGAAAATGAATTCAATTGAATTGGATAGTAACAATCATAATACTATTCAAGCAAACAATGTACGAGACAATGTAAGCATTTACAGTGACAACGACGATGGTGTTGAATGTAAAAGTAATGAATATGCTGATGATAATATTAATAATCTTAATCATAATAATGGTAATGTTGCTGAGAAGCCAACTCTTTTAAAACTTCATGCTTCTACATCAGCATCAATGGTTCATAATAAGAAATATTCTTACCAGTCTACAACGCCTAGGTCTGCAATGAGCACCAACACCACTGAATTGTCATCATCCTATGGTCACTTTGGTTTAGTAAATGGAAGTTTAGAATCATTATTACAAGAAACAAAAGTTATTGAATTAAATTCCAATGGTAGGTTATTAATTGTTCATCCTTATTATTACTCTTATTATTATTATTGCTATTTAAAGCTGAAAGTTTCCAATAAGACCCTAGGTTTGTTGTGAACATTGTGGATGGTTTGGCATTACTTTGGCAAGTTTTGTTAGTTGTCGATATACAAATTCAGTTTGCAGGTTGACCGATTTCAATGCGACATTCCTGAGCGAGAGTTAGTCATTGAGATACTGTATTGCACATCACCATTGATGGTAATAATGAATTTGACAGTCATGTTAGCAGGATGGATCGGATAGGTCTTTTCGTGCTGTGCTTAATGATTGACGCGATTATGGATCGGAAATAATCACTGTATGCATTAGTGTATACTAATCGTGTGAGAATGGTCCAGCAGGGTGTCGGTTACCTGTGTGCTTCCGTCACAGGGTTGAGCTGTACTGTCCAGGTTGTAATGTGAACACATGAATAGTGTCTGATTCTCCTGAAAACCAATGCAAAACTACCCTTGATCATTGAGCGTAAATTTATGAAATTTATGCTCTATTATCATTATTATTTAATTGTTATTGACTAGTATTTCCTATCATCATAAGCTAATCATTTGCTCGTCGAACTTATTGTATGAAGCCTATGATTAATTATTCGAACACATTTGAGTTATTGAGTTTTTATTATTTTTAACTAAAGTTGGATCTGTCTGTTGGAATATGTGTATTCTGAATAAATTTCCTCGATTTAGAGCCATTTTGTGATATATTTTTAGAATGCATTGATTATATCTGACATCGAATCCAGTGTGCATATTTCATCCTGATAATTACTGGATATACAAATTAGTATCCGTCTTAGCACAATGTATATTGCATTGGTGTTTCATGTGAAAATTACTAAGTTCAGATGTCAGTGTAAACATCAGCCCTAGAATTCAAGTAAAGTCATCTGCAGAGTTTTGTCTTCGCCAGAAATAAATTGATTTGAAAAGTATAATAATGATAATGTATCGATTAGTTGTCTGAAAATGCGGTCGTCCAGTGCTTCCAAATTTCTAATGGTGGTTTCACATTGATCGATTCATGATTTCAGTGAAGTTCAACAATCTACACAACCATATAATAAAAATATAGTACTGTACCATGTAATTTGAGATTCATTTGTTAAACCGTGTATGTATCCTTAAGATGTATAGTCATGAAGAGTCTCAAACTGAAATAAAAGTAACCAAACTAACAGAGCTACTTTGTCTTCAACAGTCTTACGTCTAATATCAGTTTTTTAGGAAGTTCATTTAGTGCCGAACAAAACTTAGACAAATCTAAGCTTTTAAGTTGTCAGGGATTTCAGCATTAACAGTGTTCTGTCTAGTTCTAAAGTCAGTCAGTCAGTTGCAACGTAGAACTTCGTACGTATGTACATAAGTTCATGTTGCCATACCACATTATTAGCACAGAGACGCAAATGTCAAATCAAATCCCATAGTGATAAAGATAGTAGAGGTATTAATGTTATAATAAAGAAGACTAGGGTTCGAAGATATTATTCAAAAAATATAATTCAGTGAGATAAGGTTAGAAAGACAAAGGTAGAGGTGCTGGCTAATCCAGAAGATTAGGATTTGAGAGAGCTCAAAGAGTGGATGCACCTGCGCCATTGCAAACGATTTTGAGCCATGTCGTTCAAGGTCTCTAACCATTGATGACTTTCGTCTCGCGGACCCCAACCAGGTAGTCTACATCTACCAACATGACTCAGTCCACTTGTCAGTGACTTCATGGATTTGTGCCATGTTTTGGTCTGACCGCCCCTAACTTTCTTCCAACCTACTCCTACACCACAAAACATAGCTCAGTTCTAAAGAATAACATTAATTCTTTTTTTCCATATTATTGAATAGTATTTGTTATTCATTGTTTCTTTCCATTGATTCTAATTATGATTTGGTGTAGATACTAATCCGTTGAATGACAGTGACGGTGAAGATGAACTCAGGTTGGTGAATCAGTCTATTCTGTGTTTATTAATGTCTCATTCACTTGCACACTTTTATCAAACCAACGTACGAATAGATCAGGTGCATAAAGTAGACTCTAACTGTTTTCTAAATGTCTGGTGCTAACATTTTAAATCTGTTGCATAATTAATCACCATTGATTTTTGTTCAGAACACTACGTATTATCTTCACGAGATCTATATTGTACTTCTTCAATGGATTTACTACACTTTAAAGATTAGTTTTATAATTAATTGAATAAGTATTAAAATCCGGTTGCCAATCCCTTTTGAACTTATATAAATAGATATATGTTAAATATTACGATTCTCAACTATTTCAATACCATGTATTATGATCTGTAACGTCCTAGATCATGTGGCTCAGTAAGATGTGGCCTGATCATCAGGGTTTGCCTATACTTTCTGTTTGTCTCCTCACTTATTCACATGTTTGGCGACTGTAGCCGCAACACAGGTATCAAACCAGCTTTTCTTTTGTGTTAACATGACGGTTCACAATGCATTGCTTATCGAATATTTATCAAATACCAATTTGATACCAAATAGTAGTAGAAAATGAATTCGTCATTCATTTGATAATAATTGATAATTTCAGTTATTATGATATTTAACTGTGTAATATTGTGTTAGCTTAGATTTTTCTCAATGAACGTAGGTGAGTATCGATTTTTCATCAATACTGATTGAATCCCTAGTACACATATTAGTCTAGTTGTCGTGCAGACAGAATGAATAAGTTTTCTTTTTTATTTCTCTGTTGATTCATTCCTGTGTGTACTTTAATTTCAGAGATTATTTTCAAAAATGTGTATTGCTGTTTTTTCCTTGATATTTTAAATCAATTTAGGAATTAGAAAAGCAAGTTGCTTTTCTTTTTTTCAATACTAATTTTATGATTGCGAATAAACAGTTTTTAATATTAGAAATGATAATTATTGCTTCTTTTGTTTTCAAACAATTTCCTGTTTTCAGAGTTGTTGAAAATTATACCAATATGGATAAAGAATACTTTGAAACTGAATCGGATGTAGAGAGTGTTGACAGTTTTGAAGGGAATGTTCATTTCTTTCCACCTGAAGATGATGACAACGATAATTGTTTTAATGAATTGCATATTTCAAACCAATCAGTAAGTGAAAAACCATAAGTTACTATGGTTTCAGTAGTCTGTTCTTATTTTCCCATTTACATCTGAATAGATAAGCAGTCGTTCGATAGACAATAACGCGTTATGCCTGTGACTAATTTTTGTTAGAAAAACGAATTACTAACCTGCTAGTAAATCTTACATTGAGCGGTGAAACTATTTTAATGATTCATAGTTCTCAGAAGTACTTACAATGATGTGTATGATTAGTGTAAACATTGTCAACTCGAATTTGTAGTACTTCTTATGTCGTTCAGTAGTTGGAACTAGTGTTTTTGGCACTCTAGACCTCACTTTTATTCTGGTCAGCGCTTGTTACCAACCATCACCTGCAATATTAAGGTTGATAATGCTCCTAGTAGGGTTAGAACCTAAATCTGAAACGTTATGACTGACCTCCTATGAGAGTGAACTTTCCATTAGTTGATAACTTTGTAGTGAACCATGTCTTGTTTGTCTGGCTTGTCAGTATTGATCGGGTTCTATCGATCAAGTTGCAATACGCTCAGTTGTCTAAGTGGTCTAAAATTGTGTTCCTTATTTGAAGATATTGATTCGTTTGAGGTAGTTGGCGGAAAACCCAGTATCTAGGTATCATACAAGTTAACTCTTCGTTGTGTTTCATAGTTCCGTTTTAAGACTACCATGTCGTAAACTTTTTTTACAACAGGATTCAGAAAAACCTTCAAACAGCGTTCGTAAGCGTGCTTATCAACCTGGACCGACGACTATTTTACAGGCTCTAACAATGTCATGCTCTAATGATTTTATTAATTTAGAGCGTATGGAAACAGTTGGTGATAGTTTCCTGAAATTCGTTGTTACGGTACATCTCTATCTTACTTATCCGGCAGCACATGAAGGCAAATTAAGTCATTTACGCAGTCGAATTGTAAGTTCTTTTATGTTTATTTTGGGATTTTACAAAGTGTGTATGCTTTTCATGTGTATAAACATGCTCTGTTACGTATTTCGCTTCACTGACAGTAATCCTTGCTGCTCAAATGTCGCTGTAAAATGTGTTTCCAGACACTATAATTTTACTCCTCATACTTTCAAAGCTTCATTCCTTCGTCCCCCCGTTCTGCTCGCTTTTTGTACTACACAACTCTAACCTCAATACCCTCCAAGCATTTCAGTCTAGTAAGAAAAGGTGACTCTTAATAAGAATGCTTCATTCGCCAAGTCTAAAATGTTACACTGCAATTATTTAACAGCAATGACCTTGAAAATATATGATAAAATAGCGAACTAAAATAGAAAACAACCAACAAAACAATAATTTATGCCAGTCGTTTATCACAAAGCTACCAAACTACACTATTAAGAAAGTGAGGAAGATAGATGATTCCAGACCTTTCTAGCATCAGTGCAACTCGCTTGATTTTCTCCACATAGCTTATTCTTGTGCAATAAACAGAAGTACACATTACTCTTTTATTAATCCATTTTTTTCAACATATAACTGTGATAATAAGTGACTAAATTTTTAAAAAATTGGCATTTTTAATTGTCGGTTAATAAATAAAACTGTGAATTTCTCAACTTCACATTTAATCATATTGATTAACATGTTCTCTACTATTGGGCCACTCGACACAAATCATACAGTTATATTTTTTGTGCAATTCTTTCCAGTTTGTTAATAAAAATGTATTTTAAAAAGTTTTGTACTTCTTACAAAGCATGAATTCTTCAGTTATAGTCCTTATTGTATCATCTTAATTGTTGGTTCATATAATAATTGGAGCATATCAATTTTTTTTTAATTTGAACTTTTTTGTTCACCATTAGAAAATAGCAATGTCCTTTTTGGTCAACTTGGAATGTATCATGTAACTAGTAAATTTATTGCCTAATTGACTTATAACAGTGCGAACATTTAATTACTATGATGAATAATTTCAATTACATTTGGGTGCTTTACACTTCAATATGATCTGGTTTAAAAGTTTTTAATAGTATTCAATGTCTTCAATGGATCTAATATCAATGTGTTTATATATCATAGAATCAGAACGTTTAAAAGAAAATCGTAAACATTGATATATACTTTTTTCAAAAATATACTTAAAGTAATATAACTTATCTATCAAGTGCATATTTAAACAATCAATCTTGTATCGTTTCGATTAATTGTCTAACTGACACCCAGTGATACTATCTAGATGCCTGAACCGATATATGTAATATTTGTTCTGGGACTTGAGATCTTTAGTTGTGAAACAAGTGACTTGTACCATTGAGTCATCATTTTATTGATAATCATAATAATAATAATAATAGTGCACTATTCATAAATGCCATTTGATGTTTGCAACTAATTACTATTCCCATGGGCTTTTGATAGAAATGGACACATTGAACAAAGCACATACAAAACAAAAAACAATCATGTATCCCCCAACTTGTAAATTTTCATCACATTAGTTTGCATCATTTGTATATAATGCTTAATATTACACTGTAGTAAGCAATTATTATATGTAAATGAAGTAAGAAAAACAACAACAACAACTTGAGAATAAACAATTTCAATATGTGTACATTTCTATGATTTTTCATTGGATAATGAAATGTTTCTATAATGCGCATAGTTGTGACAATTTTAACGGCGAATTTCTCACATATCCAACAGGAAAAAAAAACATCATCACATTGTATCTTAAACCTTATCAAACAATGATCATGATTTATACTTGACCAATTGAAAAAGTGAAACAGCTACACAAGAACATTCCATCTATTTTACTCAATTTTTAACTGGCTAACAAAAAGAATTGAAGATTATATTTTTTTTTTGAAAAAATACATCAATTATAGATTCTAATTATGTTTTTCTAAATCTGTTCTTTTTTCTTTTAAATTTAGGTATGTAATTCAAATTTATATCGTTTAGGTAAAGCTAAAAATTTACAAAGTCAAATGATTGGTGGTAAATTTGAACCACATGAAAATTGGGTCCCACCTGGATATTATGTACGTCAAGATAAACGTCTTCATACTGAAGCAATTAAAAAAAAACCTCAATCAAATCGTAATTTAGTAATTTGGTCAACTGACACATTAATGGATGATGAAGTTTTACGTAATATTGAATTTATTGATGAAAACAAAATTCAACCAATTGAAAATTTCACAATCTCTGAATGGGATCCAAATGATCCAAAAGTGTTAGATGCACAACATATGTAAGTTGATGTTGTAGTTTTCAGTATTTGCTTTTATGTTATAAGATTAATTGTTATTGCTCTATGTAAAGATTATTTCCATTATGTGTGATATTAAACTTTTTTAATGAATGTTTTAAGATAGAATTCTTTAAAGAAAACTTTTTGTGCCACCAAGCTTCCCATTCGTCGATAAGTCAAGCACGAAACATCTCATTGGCGCACACATTAATGTGTATTTATAAGTTTACTAGCTCTTGTGGAGCAGGTTATATCGGTTGCTCAAAGCCGAGCGATTTCCAAACACATCTACGATTATTCTCCTACGTGTTTTTCGAATGATGTAAATCAGTCAACAGTTCAATATAAGAACATTTTGTGAACTCTGGTCGCATAGTTCCATCTGATAAAATCTTTTAAAATCATTTATACAGTCCAGAAAATTTGGTCCGAAAAGAGTGCAAATTAATAACGCATGCACCGCAGATGCTCTAACAGTCCATCTTCTCAAAAAGTCATTTGCAGGTCATCATTCTTCCATGTGTACAGATTAATTTTCATTAACGGTATTTGGTTTTATTCAATCCTTCTAAGATTTTTAATCATAAATCATTATTATCTTCACACAATGTAATTTATTCTTCAACCTTCTCATACTTGTTAAGTGAACAGTTATCCTTCACACATTATATTTTTCAATAAAGTTTTTGATATTTAGAGTAATTATAAATGCAATCGTACAATTTAAGCAAGTAATATCGTCGAAAATAAAATTTCCTTCGAATTGTGTTAAACTCTTTTTTACTAACTCCATGAGTTACTTTCGTTGACTTTACATTAATTTTGTAAGTTAGTGGTGATAAAAGACTAACGCTTTTACATTTTTTGGGTCGACTTTTTCTAACCTCTTCCTTCCTTGTGAGAAGGCAGCATTGCTGCAGATGTTGATTGTGCAAAAGAAACACACTGCTGTTACACCTCTCCACAGTCAATCAGAAATACGACCTCGCACTCAGACTTGAGTTGCTACCTTTAGTCTTACTGTTCTGCAAGCGACCTGCCTGGCATGGTAGAACCTACAGCAACATATGAGGAGAGTTAGTCGTGGATATAAGAATGTCGTTACGGGGTGTAGGAAGATTTGTTTGTGACCGATTTGATCTCGTGTGCTGTGATGGGTATCAGGGCGGATGTCTCTTCCCTGTTGCCCACACCTTGGAAGGATATTTGTTCCAGAAAATGCAGCTCAGTTGGGTCATCACGATAGGCATGCTCGATTACCACGTCAAGGTAGCAGCTACGGTCGTGTCTGTGATCTTTATATCGGTTTTCAAACTTCAATTTCAAAAATGTTCTTACAAATTTATACATTTATTTAGTTAAAGGTCTTTCATATTCTCAGGCTGTGTTAATCGCAGATTAATTTTAGCTGACACCGATCTGCCACCCAATATCACTGGGGATAAGCATTTAACTCTTGACATGACTGAATGTCACCAGTCTAATTTTATGCTTGAACCTCAAAAATGTCTTGAAGTTACTATTGAGCCATTTTGTTTTCAGCTCTTCCTCAACTACGATTAATCTGTGACAAAAAACAACTCACATTATTTTTGATCCTCATTTTCTAATTTTTTTTACTTCATCAAATAATTTTAATTGCCTATTATTACTATTATATTGCAGAAATAATCACTATTTAGTTGCTATACAACAAGCTATACCAGATAAGTCAATTGCAGACTGTGTTGAAGCATTAATTGGTTGTTATTTAACAACTCGTGGAGAACGCTCTGCATTGCGTTTAATGCAATGGTTTGGAATTGATTGTCTTCATATATCAGGTAATGCTATAATATATATATTGCTTGAAAAGTTACTTTACTTTTTTCAACAGTGAGTGATGCTGATTTTAACTGCTAAGTTATTAATATCTTGTTATATGTCGAATTATATTTAGCTAATGCATCCTGAATTCTAGTGCTAGCCACATTCCACTTATTCTATAATAAAGTTGAATTTTCGAAAGTTAATTGATAAGGTTTCCTACGCTCTGATTTCTCCCCATACTAAACACCCAGCCGACACTATTCTACACTAGACTACAACAGCACTCAGGTCAAGAACACTTGATTGAAATGACCATAATGTGGACACATTTGTCAACAATCAACAGACAAAGAGTAGAGGAATATATATGTGATCTCATATACCTGTCAGTCTAAGTAAATAACCAAACATATTTTTCCTTAGCTCGCACAGCAATCGGAAAATTAGTTTGTATTGTACACCGACTCAAGTTAAAAACGAGTTTTAAAAAATCTAAAATCTTCTGTTAGTCACTTCATCGTAGTTTTCATAACGTTCAAGTATTTCACTGTCATAAGTCGTCAAGTCGAATCGTTGCTTCACTTAGATTTTGGCTTTTTAATCGATTCATTTCATGGGATGGTCGCCCTACATTGTTACTTATTTTAACTATCATTCTCATTGATTTTATGCATCTTCCATTTATTTCTCACTCTTAAAACAATAACGTTTGTAAAATGGAATTGACTTTTTCGTTTAAACGATCATTTTGTTGAGTTGTGACTTTTTGTCTGGAAATTATTCATTAAAAATTATCTTTTCATTATCGTGGACATTACTGAAAACTCCTAAGCAATATATAGATACATACTTTGTTAGTAATCGAACCCAAAGAATTCTGGATTCGCTATTAGCACAATATCATGGACACTTTTCCTGATCTTCCATTGTATATTATTTGACTATCTAAATGTATATTGGTAGTAATTAAGATTAAAGATTATAATAAAAGAGAACTTGTTGACTTTTAATCGTTTTAAGATTAATTCATCATTTGACTCATGATAAAATTTCATCAACTAAGTTAGATTATATCTATTGATGCATTTATTCTCCAATTGACAAACCCCCAATGGCGCTTCATCTGTAACGTGACAGTTAATGTTTACAAAATAAAGCTTTTTTTTCTATATCCTAATTAATCATGTATAGTATGCTCGTGATTGTTGCAGTTAGTAAATTTAATATCATTCATCTACTGTGATCGATTGTTTATTTGTCTTCCCTATGAAAAAAATGTGAGATTGTTTTCAGTCAAGAAATAGACTGCTGAACTTACTTATCGAGATTCTATTTATAAAAGCTCAATAATAAGTATGCATCAACATTGACTGAATGTGTTCAATACAAAAATCTACATTTAATGAAAGAAAGTTTTAATCACTCACATCTAATAAACACTATAATTTACAAGCTTAAGATACCATTTTCTAAAATAATAACGTTACAATAAACCCTTTCATTAAAAAAAATATATCTGTAAATTAGTTGATGATTCTGTAACTGTGGTTTCTGAAACTTACCTAATTAGTTCGGTTTATCAAGTTCATATTACAATTTATCGATGCTAATCAATATTTGTAATCAGCTAGTAAATACTTTTAAAATGTAACTCGCTGTTTGTGTATACATGCTGACTCACAAATTATTTGCCTTTTTACTTTGTTAAATGTTAAAACTTTTATGTCAGTTATATATTAAGATTTTGATCAGATAGAACAAGATACTCATTCAGCTAGTTATATGTAGCCTATAGCCTAGCATATGTGTGCCCTGGTTCATACATTAGTACACTGAAATAAAATTGTTAAGATAAACCTCAGAGTTATAAAATACTCAGTCCTACTGCCAGTAACTTCACTGACTGAAATGATGTTCCGGTTTTTTGCATTCGTTGCTTTATTCCAGCCTACATGGACAAATATCATTCGTTAAGGTAGATAGTGGTTTAGCATATGTATTAATTGTTCCAACCAATTCGGTCAATAAAAATTCACTTTCTCGTCAATTGATTTGCTATCCTTATCCAGTTCGTATTCGTGAATCCACCAGTGACTCAAATGCCAGCATCCAAGTCAATCTTCATTGATTCGTACTTTTTTTCCTCCTAATATATTGCTCTGCAAATTTTTTCCCTAATGACTATTTATTTCTTAAAACACAACATTTTCTTACAGATAATAGTCAACCAACTACTTCAGCTCCATGGTCTTTACTAAAGTCCAACTATTTGAATACTGATGCAAATAAAGCACATTTAGCTGAAGCACGTTTAGTTTGGAGATTCGATGAATTGGAATCTTCATTAAATTATACTTTTAAAGATCCTAGTTTGTTGCTTCAGGTAAGTAGTGGTAAATTGAGTTGAGGCTAAAGGTTATTAAGTTATTACTTTGACTTGTTTTCTCTTTTTTTTTCATTGACATTTTATGAATTATTTCTCTCACTTGACAAACTACTAAGTTTATTCATTTCAGTCTGACCAGTGAAACCTGACTATTGTTGTATATGTGTTTATGGTCAGTATTTAACTATTTATTTTATCCATGTTTCAATAAATAATGCTGTTGGAGAATAAAAACAAACTATCGCTGACTGGAAAAATTAACTACGTTATTATTTACACAAGTGATACTACCCCTAACTCAGGTCTCATATGGCCGAAAAATGGAAATTTCGCTATTGCGAAAAAATCATTACCCGACATGAGACAAAGGGTAATAAGAGTGTTTGAGCCCATTTGCATTAAACTGGTCTGCATCTCTTGCTATCCTATACCATACTATGTGTATACCATATGCTATTCTGCTATATACAGCTGAAGGTTTCCTATGAGACCAGAGGTTCGCTGTAAACATTGTGGATGGCTTGGCATTGCTTTGGCTAGTATTGCTAACAGTCCATATACAAAATTGGTTAGCAAGGTGGTGGTTGCTTTGCAATATTCCCAAGGGCCATTTCCATTGGAGTGCTGTATTTGCATATTACCATTGCTAATAATAATGAGTTTGACAGTCATGTAAGCAGGATATATATATGTATATTGATTAACCTTGATCAAAACTAATATCGACGATAGTCATGATTTCTGTAAGTTCTCTTTATCTCCAACCTGCTCCGTTGAAAGATGACGAAAGCAAGGCGATTTATCTTCTATTATTTACCTTCATTGACTCAAAAACTCAAGACCATCAATACAAGGTCATGATGTTTACAGAACTAGGTCCTTTGTGATATGAAACCTGAATAAAAATGTGTTAACCATTAGGAAGTTGAATAAAATCTTACAATGAAGATGTTTCTCATACAACAAATCATGTATTTAATCAAGGCATTAAGATGAGATACCAAGTTCAACTGGTGTATTGTTATATCTACTAACTATTTGTCTCTGTCTCTCTCTTTCTTATTTTCTTAAGGCTTTCACACATCCATCTTATCATCAACTAAGACGTGCTGCTTTATCAACATCCAATAATTCATTGGATCAAAATAACACATTCATATTTTCAACTGATCTAGATTGTTATCAACGTTTAGAATTTTTAGGTGATGCCGTGTTAGATTATGTAATAACACGATTTCTTTATGAAGATTCAAAACAACATTCACCTGGTGTATTAACTGATTTAAGATCAGCTTTAGTAAACAATAATATATTTGCTGCACTAGCTGTACGAATCGGTCTACATAGATATTTTCGTGCTTCATCACCACAATTATTGCATACAATTGATGTGTTTGTACGTTATCAAAAAGATATAGCTAAAGATGATTTAGATTTTATTACAAATGAGGTGGGTTATTATTATTATTATTATGATTATTATTGTCTTGATTAATAGATACATAAATGTTCATTACTTTATTTTTGATTTATTTTATATCTATCATGATTGTAATACTTCAAAGAAATATTCTATATAATGTTTTTATTCACAGTTGATCAATCAGTTAAGGGCAATAGTCAATTTTGTATCTGTCTATTGCTTCATTTTCGATTGAATTATTTCATCACTTATGTCCAAATGTGGACACTGGCATAAGTAACTAACTGATCATCACATACACTTTTCAAGATGTTTCGTGGTTGGAAGTTAGACCGTAAGGAATATATGAACTTATGTTTGTCATCATCAAGGCATAGCTGCAATCCTGAGGGAAATAATGCTCCCTGTAGGATTGAAACCCAGGTCAATCAACCTTTAAGCTATTGAGGCCAAAACTCACCTGTAGTACTGAAATGTTTACAACCAACGAAACAATGAGTAGAGACCAATGTTAACTTTAATTAATCCTGCAGTTCCGGTCGAAGTCTTTCTGTATGAATTACACAGAGAACATCACTTCTTGCATTATTGGATGACAAATGTTAAGTTGGAAAACCCTGGTTCAAGCCTTCCTGAATACATCTTCCAACCATCTAACACTCTAATTACCTTTCAAACATTTGAAATCGGTAATTTTATAACTCGTTCTTACTTGACCACATGTACGTTTCTTGAGATATTTCGAGTTGGACACAGAATATGGTGCATGCTAGGGTTTTTCAAATTTCTTATTTGATTTTTTTATACTAATATGCTTTAAACAAGAAGTTTTCTTTTCTCTGACCCTCACTAAACCGGGACACTCAGACGAGATGATTCTCTTTGGTGAAATTTTCACATGATTTCTAGTCTACTGAGCAGTAATATTTGAGAAATTTTTTCTCTCTGCATGCAAACGTTTTGATTAAGGACTGTTGTGTCATTCCCCAGTTTGACTACGTAGTTCAGAATGTACGCTACTTTACTTATCCAACAAACCTTAATAGTGTAAATCACATAATGATTGTCAGAATTTCAGTAGGAATACAAGTCAACTTGTTAAACTTTACTACCGACCGTCCGCTATTTCTGAAACACATGCACATGTTTAACCTTATATCTTCGAATCACTGTTGGTATATGTTGAAACTGCGACACACCTGGTTAATGAGTTGCATTCCTTTTACATATAATACAAATTGCATATATATATATATATATATATATATATATATACTCATGCTTAATACTTACCTTTTCTCCTACTATTTTCTCGCATTTTCACTTGTATATAAATCAATACGTAAAAAGGAAATCGAAATTCGACAACCTGAATTAGTTGATACATTTAATGAAGAAACTACAAACAATTTATCAAGTTCCAACGTATCTTTACCGAATGCTCGCTCAATGATGAGAAAACAAAATACTTCATCCACTGCCAATACCAATAAGCAACCTTGTCGTCAAGGTCATGGTGATGATAATGAAGAAGAGAGAGTAAAAGAAAAAGACCTCGATAATAATGTGAATAATGCTGATGACGAAGTAGGTGAATTGGATGATGATGATGACAATGTTGAAGATGCTGATGAAGATGACGAAAAACATGCATCATTATTAAGTCATGCTAAAGAATATGAATCTAAATGGCAAGCAAAAGATACTCAAGAGTTGACTGGTTTATTTGTACAAAATTCTGTAAGTGATACATAAATTTTATGAACTGAAAACGAAGAATATAATTTCTAAAATAATCAGTTTGTTTTATATCTCACATAGTTTTGTTCTTTTCTCAAATTTACTTTGATTAAATTATGAAGTTTTAGCATTTGATAGACATTTGATAGACTTCATAGAACTTCTATTGCTGTTCAATTTACATTTAGTTACTTCTATATGTATTCACCTTTGTTAGTGAAACTTTGATATACTTAACTACCAAATTAATGCTCACAGGTTCTCCGAGTCATCTAGTGAATATACTTTCCGGTCTACTAATACTGACAGTCTTTACAATCTTTCTAGCTTATCAAATTTAAACATACGTCCAACTGCCTATAAGACTGATGCTTTTATCACTTAAACATATTGCCGCATTGATTTCTCTTATCTAAATTGAAAACAGTCATTACGTTGCCATAAAATCTTTGATTCGATCTCTGAAGGGAATATAAATGTGATCACTTACAAAGAGCTCCTATACTTCGGTGAAATGCAAATTTTTTATTAGATATTATTATTTATTAATAAGAGTTAACAATACTGGATATTTTTGTTTGGTTCTCTTGTTATTAACTTAATCCACTAAAATGTTGCCTTTATCATTTGGAATAATTTTTTTTTGTATTCATTTCATTTGATTTATTTCAACTAGTCTGAGAATCAATCTTCAAAACCTCAACAACAACAAGTGCATCATTCTTCAAAATCGTGTAACCCTACCAATGGTAATCACCTAACACCTAATCGATTATCAGATTATGTAGAAATACCTAAAGCATTAGGTGATATATTTGAATCTTTAGCTGGAGCAATATTTCTTGATTCGAATTTCAGTTTGGATACTGTTTGGCAAATATTCTATCCGATTATGAAAGAACGTATTGGTTAGTTAAATTAAATTATTGTACTGTTTAAAACAGTAGAGATTATTCATTATGGTGATGCATTATTAACTTACTAATTCTCTATACATCTAAAAATGTTGGGTGATTAAGAACTTTCTCTCTCTCTCTTAAAAGACACATCTTGATGGAAGTGATATTCCTCATAGGGTTCTAGTATAATATTCTAATGATTATATATATATATATATATATATATATATATATATATATATTCGTTATTAGATACGGAAGTTTACATTAGCACTGTGCCTTGTGTATGCAGAAAAAGAAGCTGTCGATGACGTTTTTAAGAATGAATATGAAAGCCTGATAATCAAATCATTCAGTTCAGAGTACGTAGCAGCAGTGAAAGCATCCTAGTTGTGAACCTACCCCATCTAATTCATGTACCGAAATCAAGATTACTTGCGTCGCATACATCTTTCTGTTGACTACTCTGTGGATCAGTTAAATAACATTAGTAGTAATCAGTTAGTTGATTTTGTTTTACTCTGACATAAATACAGTATAAATTGTACTGCAAATAGCCGAGCTTCGTAACCATCACGTTTGAGCGGTATGAGCGGTACTATAACCTTTACTGTTTCATTGCTTAAGCTGAAGTTGAATGTACTGGAAAGAATCTGATTCCACTGACCTATCTGTGGGATATTTGTTATTGTAATGTGAAAGATGAGTTTTTGGTCTTAAAATAAAGAGATTGTACCAAACATCCTGATTTAAAATTTGAAAATATTGCCCTGCATCTTCTATTTCGACGGCTCGGTTCTCCCCGTCGAAATGTAAAATGTTGCTTCATGATTGGGTTGCATCAGCACCTGAACTACTGATAGGGAGTAAAACTGTTGCGCGTGTTGACCGCTGCACTTATCCTGGGAGTCTCATCGGTGCTAATGGCCTAGTGACTGACGAAGTTTCAGCACGGACACGAAAAGTCTCGACTGGCTTTTGCTAACCTGTCACTTATGGCGTAGGCGAGATATCCGTCCGCTAAGTAAAGGACGAGTGTACTGCGCAGCAGTTCGTTTCGTCTAACTATATGGCTGTGAAACATGGCCGGTAAGAGTAAAGGATATTCGTAGTCTATTAGTCTCAGATAATAGGTTTCTTCGAAGCATCGCTCGTATATCCTTGAATAATCGAGTAAGCAATACTGTTGTTAGGAAACGGGCTCCACGTAAATGTGGCAGATCAATAAATGGAGTGTTGAAACTTCATCGGTTGAGGTGGTTGGGACACGTGTTGCATACGCCCAACCACCGACTGCCTCGTCGAGCTATGCTTTGCGATGCTGGAATAAGTTGGAAGAAAGCTAGGGGTGGTCAGACCTAAACATGGCATACATCCATGTAGTCACTAACAAGTGGACTAAGTCATGTCGGTAGGTGTCGACTTCTTGGTTGGGGCCTGCGTGATGCTAGTAATCGATGGTTAGAAACCCTGAATGATATGGCTCAAAACCATTTGCAATGGCGCAGGTGCATACATTCTTTGTGTTTTTTCAAATCCTAAACTTCCGACTTCCTCACCACCTTTATCTTGTTCTTTTTAAGTTTATTTCACTGAATTATGCTTCTTGAATAATATCTTCTAATCCTAATCTCTCTGATTACTGCTAATATCTTTACTACCTCTACTAGTATGGGATTTGAATTGACAATTGCATCTCTGTGCTAATGTGGTATGGCAACTTGAACTGATGTACATACGTACGGAGTTTCTTTGTTGTTTTTTGATCATTGACTGATTTTGTCTGTTGTCTGAGACCTGAAAATGAGATGCACTAATCCCGCTCTTCTAACTGATAAACTGAGCAGAAAGGCATAAATGGAAGAGAAAATCTATTTGGTACAAGCATTTCTGGAGGTCATCTAATGACTTTATCGTTTGACCACTTCTGGTTAGTTCACTATATCACATATTCGTCTACGATTTTACTTTCGTCAATTGATCAAATCACTAAAAATATGTCTGTGGTTTTCTGAAACTTTTCATTTCACTTCCTAATTATAGAAAGATATACTGCATGTATCCCGAAATCACCAGTCAGACAATTATTAGAACTGGAACCAGAAGGAACAAAATTCGAGTAAGTTACGAAATACATTAGATATTTTTTATGTGTGTAAAAGCAGCATACTTCGTATATAGTTAGTGTGTTAAATCATAAAACATTTGTTAGATTTTATCGTGGACTATTACGCTTTATGCGTAAATTCGTATAGAAAAGCATTTATATTTAACTTCTAGAGTTACTATAGATGGGATTTTTAAACACATCTCAGTAGCGGTGCACTTGCCTAACACGCAAGTTGATCGTTGTTATACTTTACTCATTGAAGGTTTCCAAAAAAGTTAAACTTCACACTGTTCTTAATTAGTTGGTTGCGTAGTAAATCGTAGCATAACCCATCATACGGTATCAAATATTTTATGCTAACTACCATTTATATCAGAAACGAGGCACTACATACAAGGTACTTGACAAATAATTTGATGTAAGACCTGGACTAAAAGCTTAATTCATCAGGTTGAAATACTGCAATAGATGATTCGATTTTTCTATAAGTATACAACTATACATCCACTGTTTCTGTTAGATGGTTAAATACATTTGACAAATCGCTCTGAAAGTGAGTTTCGTGCCGGTCGAATAAGTTCAACAAAGTTGATTTTTCTTAGAGAAAGTTTGTCTGCTCCAAGTAATATAGAACCTCTCAACTCACTTCATAAGGTTATGTACGATCCCGTCTTCCTTTTAGTAATAGTCACAATGATGTCATCAATAAGTGACCTCCTCGACTAAGCACTTAGCATCTAAATCTTTCTTCCACTACGTGACAATCATTTAACAACGAACAATGAAACTAGTTTTTAATATGAAATTTTTGCATTATGTTGACTAACAAAACTCTGATTTTCATCTATTTATGTAGACGACCTCGACGAATGGTTGACGGGAAAATTTCAGTTTGTGCCCATGTATTAGGTAAAGGTCGTTTTTATGGTGTTGGAAGAAATTATCGATTGGCCAAAAGCTTAGCTGCTAAACGAGCTTTAAGAGTACTGCATAGATTAAATCAACCATCTCAAACTGCGTCAGTAATTTCTAATGGAGACTGCAATCAATAAACATGACCTATTTATTTGAGAATAAACTGTTCATACAGAGTATTTTCCCCTATGTATGTATATTTTTACACTCCTTGTCTACGTGTGATTGAAGTATTGCTAAAAGTGACAAACTAATTTGACTTTTATTTGTAACTATACAGTGTAAAGTTCATTCTAAATTAGTCGGTAGTTGTTCACTTATTCTGTCTGTGCTGAAAGTCAGCAGATACTGGAAATCCGTTTTCAATCAAATATCCACAGATTACAGATACATTTATCATAGGTGAATGAACTGTTTGACCACCGCATCTTCCTGAATGCTTTTGCTGACTGGTTTGTTTAATTTAACATCTTTTTAAGAATTTAGTAACGACCATAAGTGTCAAAGATTATAGGCCCTGAGGTTCATTAGTTTATCGTTTATTAAAATGTAAACAGTTCGTGATAGCTTGTCACCCGAATTCTAGCGGTTATTATAGCCTGACTAGATGTCACAACAATGATAGTCATCCAATATATTTTTCACGAGCTAGTGTAAAGCAATTCGATTTCTTCGCGCTCGATTCTTGTTCTTTCTGTACGGTTCCAGGTGTTCGGTAATGTCCAATCAATGGAGGTCTAGCCACTCAACTGTCTAATTCTAGTCAGTTGGCAGTAGGTTGTGAGTCTGTATGTCTCGGGATTTTAATGGAAACGATTTTTTCAAGGCAGTAAAGTTTCTGGATACCAGAAGCCATCACATTACCAGACCGGAGATCAGTTACTTGCAATGCGGAGAGTAATAAGGATAAAATTCAAATGCCAATTTCAGAACTGAGTAATATATAGATGAATTTAGTTTGTAAATTGGTAGTGAAGATTGTGAGAGAGGACCGAAGTGTAAGCAAGCGAGAGGAAACAGAAATAGTAGGCGAGATAGATTAATTGAGTGATCTGAGGAGATGGCAATGGTAACAACTAGCAGGTCTCAAGATATGCATCAGGCACAGCTTGTCCAAGAGGGAGATGATAGTCCGCATGTGAGTACGTGATTATCAAGTCTCTTCTTAAAGCAGTCCACTGAGAAGTCCACTGATACACTTCTGCAGCAGCAGCTGTTGTCGGATTTTCAGACAAGTTATTCAAACCTAATCGGCCAGTTCTGTGGGAACTGGCCTTTGCAGGTTTTTTGCTCACGCGGTTGGTTGGGGTAGTTGACCGAGGTTAACTATCAGTATCGTGCGTTCATTTTGGCCTCCTTGCTGTTGTCTCATAGATGTGGCTAAGCAGATCATTCCTCGAACTGTACCAAGCTTGTAGTGTTTCGGTCAGGTCTTCCCGGTTCCTAAATGTCATAGACATCAGGCGTGGTGACTTGATGGACGTAAGGTGTGACGGGCGAGGCAACCTAGAAATGCAAACAGTCGTCGTGGTGTGGAAGGATGGGCTACGCGATAGCCATCGCCACTGTTGCACATCGTGCTCGTGTGTTTCGTCCGGGTTACCGCTAGCGAGTTCGGGTATACCGTGAACTACCATGATGGTGGTGTTCTTGGGTGCCTGGCGCAGTTCTGGCTGCTGCACGTTCCGACCACGGCTTGTCATGCCTAATGCGAATCGGCGAGGACAATTTGACCGATTGTCTTTGGGATGAAGTTTTCAGCAAGTCGTTCGGAGTCAAGAAATACCCTGATTGGGGGGGTTTTCCTTTCGAGACATTTTGGCCTTCGAAAAGGCGGCATATTTTGGCTGGGACGTTGCACATTCCGAGGGCTGTGCAGCGTTTACCTCACTGTTCTCTGTCAAAGGCAGCCCTAACTTCTAACTAGCTTCCTTCCGATACTGGGACATTAAATAAAATAAGTGAGTTTAATCTGTCGTCCCTGTTCTTGGTTGGTAGTCGCTTGTGAGTTGGGATGTTGCTATTTCCCTTCTTCAAGTTCACCCACTGTTTTGTATTGCTAACAGATACTGGAGGTTAACAACAACCGGCAGTTTTGTCGGTGTGTTAGTCAGGGTTATGGTAGCCTTGGTCACTTGTTTTACTGGCTTAGTGCCAGGCGATTTCAGTTTGGTTGTTTGGACTTCAGGGCTGATTTTAGGTGGGACCTTTGGCTTTGTCGGTGCTTCAGAAACTCTACACCGATAGCAAATATACCAGAACCATGGGAAGGGGTGACTCAGAATGAATCCGTTGTTTTCTTTAGGTACTCTGGTGTCGCAGTGACGATGTACTACGGAAGTTGCATTCAAATGCACAGTCACTGGTTTTGACTGGTAATGAGCAGGCGAATCAGTCATCCTTATGCGGTTTCTGGATGTCAGACTGCGTCGACTGAGACTTCGAAGCGTCTTTTTCTCCTATTCTTAACTAGCTTACCGGTCTTTTTAGAAATAGGAGTGGCGTCTTGCTTGCTCTGTGGTGTTTGCGTTGAGTGATCTAAAGTATGGACACTAAGAGGGATACTATCAACTGAGTGTTTGGGTTTTTAACAACCCGTTCGCACGATATTGGGACTTTTGATGCATTATTAACCGCGGGGTTCATGCCTCTACAGGTTTTCCTGGTTGTTATGGTGTAATGTGTACTATCGACCTTATTACTTAACATAATGCCAGGGAGGTTAGGAGGTGAAGACCGAGATAAATAAACTACAAGATACACAGAAAAGGGGTTTAAGAAAGAAATTTATTAGTATATAACAGAAACTACAAGGAACAGAGTCTGAGAGTACTCCAAAATTGCAACTATAGCTTAGACCGTATTAGTAAGTAACTTTGCGCGCGCTTCATGATTTACGACCATCAGTAACAGAGGTAGGTAGATCTCATTCCCAATAATATATCCGATTGTGTGTAGATATCAGGTTATCAGCAGTTTGGTAGTTCTAAATAACCAGAAAAATTGCTTCTTTCATCTTCATAATTTATGTGCACAAGAAGACGGTTTGACGAATATGAGAGAGAAGACCCCGGAGCCATCATGCTTTCCAGTTTTATGCAAGTGGCTCATAAATCAAACAGTACTACTAATGAAATTAGCCAGTGATAGCGTCTCATAGTCACGTAGAAGTTTGGTGGGTGGGCTGTTAATCTAAGTAATTTGATCACGAGCCACGAGTAGTATTATTAGTCCCCATGGACTGCTAAGTAGTGAGTCGCAAACTGCTAAGACCGAAATCCCAGATTTAAGACATTTTTTCCGTCCTAAACTAGGTAAGATCAAACTTGCTACCATCCTACATAGTACTGGAAAGTCAATAGGTCGCTTTCTTATTTGAGTTCCTAATTACCATATAACCGAGGTCTTACTTCTGCCTAGTTTCTAGGGATCTTCGTCGTAAGATGTCATTTTTCGAATAGATGGCCAGTGATGTGAATATCATTTACAGCATCACAACTGACCAGTCAGACACCAACATCAATAACACTGACTACGTGAGATTCACTTAAAAGCTAATCCTTGTGAGCGCCACTGTCTCCCCAAATAATTCAACTAGAGACTATCGGACTTTTGTTAATAAGTTTAAAAGGGCTCAGAGGTGCTCGTCGTAAACGTCAGACAACCTAGGTCTAATAATAAAGTCACCTATTGTTGTCTAACCGGTTAAAGAATTATGTGAGAATTCAAACAATAAGGCCTTTGTCTAGGAAACTGTACTACGAGCATTTCATTATGTTCAGTTATGGTAACATTCCGTTTTCGGGTGCCATCGTCTAAGTATTTCAGACTAGTTCGTGGTTTGATTTTTAAATCAATTAAAACATCCAAAGGAAGTACGGATTATATTTTTAAATATTTAGCATATTAGAACAGCTAGGATACTCCAACCGCAACAGTATTTGTTAATCGTTATTCTATTTGTTATAAGTAGTCTGCGACCAATGCACCATTTGTAGTAACAGGAGTAAGCAATTAACTGGATATAAGTGTTTTTGGATCAATGCCACAAGGACATATAGTGAAACAAGACGATATTTTAGAGATTCGGACGCTCTTTAATGATGGCGGGTAAAGATTTCTAAGCTAACAAAGACAACTATGCAGAATAATGAAAAAACCAAGTGGTATGCTTGACTTCCTGGACAGTTTTGAAGGTTGGATGGAGTTTCAGATTTTGACAATGAGTTAAACTTATTTTAGAGGAGGACCTTTAATTATCAGGCTTCCATTATTTTACTGTGTTTGTATGCAACTACATCCTTAAGCTCTCTTATAGAGAGGGAAACTTGGCAAGGATAGTATAGTTGAGAACAGAGCTACTTAAAACATTCAGATAAACTAACAAATAATAACGAGAAGCGTAAAAATAAAATGTAGTTAGGCGAAGAAGGTGAACGAGTCAAGTCTATGCGAAAGGGTATTATTCATAGTCAATAAAAATAAGCTACACAGGTGCTAAGAGAAGTAACTAATGCACCTATCCAAAAAAACAACCTAGACCATAAACGAATAATTGACAGGATCAACGATGTGTGAATAACAAATCGAGTAGAATAATTAAATTGCTTTGTACAAAGGCTGAGACAAGCCAAGTAAGGTCACAGTACCATCATAAACAGACTTCAAGCCAGCTAGCTAATCTCAACATTTTACGTCTCATCAGAGCGCGATCTCAGTCTACTAACTGCAGCGAGGCTTTAGACCTGTTCAAACTAGATAAATGATGCAACGAAGGCTAGCATAACGACTAACTTTAAACAGCTTACGAACTGTTTCTAACTCTCCCTAATACTTATGTATGGCCCCATCTTGGAGTTTTTACTGTCATTATCCTGTATTTGAACTTTTCTACAAAGAAAACGAAATTTGTGAAAAGGCGACAGTTATTATTGTACTCCTTTTGTTTAACTGTATAAGAAACACTAACTTTCTCTGAAGGTTCTGTCTTGCGTTGCTGCCATAATTCGTTACATGGTGCTCCTATTTCGCCCTTTTTCTCCGAATATATTCTTCACCCTGGATTTACTGTATAAAAACTGTGACGGGCTAGTAATAAGAAATTAGTGGTGATCATATTCAATCTCGACTCGGTCACTACTAAATCGTTTAGACTGAGTGAGGAGATAAGGAACAAAGTAGGTGAGATGGCTAGGGAATATTACCTCGGTCAGCATTTCCATCCTCGTTGCATCCAAGGCAAATTATGAGGTAGTTAAAGGAAACTGAAAACCTTTCTGCCTCCAGACTAACAAACTCACCAAGATCATTGAATGTGTGAATTCATAATTTAATGTCAGCTGACTATCATTAATCCAGTCGACGGATCGAAAAAATACCGACTGAAAAATAAAAATCACCTGCAACTGTAACGAAACAGAAATAATCAAGCTTAAAGAAAACAGTCTCTTCATACATGTTCATGCGAAAATATTGTTTATTGAATATTGGTGCACCCATACAATCATCTGCGTTACTCAATGAAGCGACTGACATCCAATGAAACAAGTGGACCATGTAAACCTAAGATGTATGTTTAATTATCACCTCAAACGTTAGAAAACACATTCTCAGTGCAAACAAAAATCATATTTAGAATACAGTGTAGTTTACCTGTTTGCGTAAATAATACTACTTGGCCTGATCTCACAACTTAATTAATAGCTCGAAGAGTTTTTGATAGTCTACCATAGTTATTTTCAGGAGAATGCTTTTCATACCTCAAAATTTCTGGTATGGGTTTTTGTACATGACTACTCTACTATTAGTTAGTAAGCCAACTTAGTACTGTTTTGGAGAAAACCTTAATTTGGCTCAGTTGGGAAACTAGGTGATAATGCATACTTAACAAATAAGAAAATGTATATAAATGTGAGTGGTATCTAAATCGATCTTGTAGCACTGCTTGAAGTACGCCAAGCCCTCTTGTTGTGTCTGTGCACTCTGAACTGTCTGTTCCTAGCCCTAATTTGCGCTTAATTGATTATCAGTAAGCCAACCTTTGCAAACAAGTTATTAAGTTTACAAATACTTTGTAAATTTTCACCATAGCTCCAGAGACATCAACCTTAAATAATTTGGTAAAACACTTGGTTGTTAGAAGAACAATAATCCCAAGTTGAAATCTGGGAAAAAGTTTTCCGTTAGTGTGTTGTTTTTTAAAGTCGTGCGAAATTTCCTGTATTAAATCTACTCTTTCGACTGAGTTTATGCCTTTGTGAAAGTTTTTGCATGTACAGAAAGCAATTTATTAGAAAAGTATTATTTCAATATAAACTTTAGAAGGACCTACTGTGGAATCCAAAGTACGCTTTTATTGGAAACCATAATTGCCTTCTTTGAATTCTAAAACAGTCATAGTCAAGATTTGTAGAGGGATCTGCCTGAATGTGTGTTAATCTAATATGTAAAATCAAAATTGAACATGCAGTGATGTGTGATAAGTATGTACTTTTTTAGCACGTAAAGGAAAAATTGTTGACGAAACCCACTAAATTGCCCTTCGTTCCATGATAACGTGTACCGAGCGCATCGTACATATCGTGAAAATAATTTTCCATTGTGACAGTACAGTTATAAGATCTTTTTCATTGACATGAGGACAAAATCGTGGTGTTAATGCGTTAAATGAATAAGAGTAGTAAAATTGAAGTTTTACTTCCTATGATTTTATAAATCTCACACTTCTGAAGACCACTGTCGTTGATAGTTTCGATTAATGTAAACTTGGTATCTAGTTCAGGCTTTATGGGATGCGGCAGGATTCATTGCATCAATGTTTTCGACTTTCACTCACTAATCGTGCCACCAGTGCTATTTGAAACGATGTTTTCGTTTTGAAGCCAACGCGGTACACTTCGCAATCGGCTACCTGTTATCCAGATCAACGTTTTAAAAATAAGAAATTAGTTCTTTAATCTCAAAGTCCCAACATGCCAGTTAGATGAAAGGTTTTCTACACGGAAAAGTGTGTGTGACGAATCCATTCCTTCGTTATTTACACGGTTCAAGGAACGCAGGTGTCTGCTAATGGAAACTCGTGTATGTTAGTAGCTATATATTTATGTGATCAAACGGGGATGGTTCAGTGAAAAAAATTAACAGAGTCAACAAGAAATCTGAAATTAATCAATCCATTATTGCCTTTATCAATGATATATCCAGGTTTACTTTGTATGATTACTAAATTATTCGGCTTTAACAAAGTAAATCGAGTATCTCTGTTCAGGGAATCATAGGTAACCATATTTTCTGTCGTAGATGAATAGTCGACTGTAGGGTGTACGTTAAGGTCTTTTGCGTTTCTAGGAAGATATTTATGGGAAAAACTATTTTCTCATGATAAGCGATAATAAAACATTATATCGCGTTCCAGGCTGGTCAATTGGAGAACGATGAGACTAAAAGCGGCTACTCAGGACAAAGTCGTTTTTCTGATTCACTGTGGAGAGGTGCAACAGCAGTAAGGTATTTCCCTCAGACAACCAGCATCCGCAGCGATACTGCCTTCTTACGACGAAGGGAGGGGTCAGAAAAGGTTGACCCTAAAAAATGTCACACTTCACTTTACCTCATGGATTTCCGCCTCCCGCTGTAATGCTACTTGAAGTGCGGAGCTAAAACACCAAAAACTTCTCAGAAAACGGCTGGGGTTGACCGGCGTCAAGCAGTTGTCCGTTGGGATCTGTGGTCACGCCACAGGTCTGTCTGATCAACATTGTTCTACTTTCCTGTTCCGGTTCCTCAAGAATCAGCCTTCCACAGTGTGGGCACACGGGAAGTGACATCCGCCCTCATCTCCGTCACAATCAAATCCTTCCTACACCCCGTAACGTCTTTCTTATCTCCACAACTAACCCTTCTTTCATTCTTTTGTGACATCACGCTGCTGATGCGAACGATTCGAGTTCACGGAACATAATGTCTGATCTCCTGAAACCATACTCTAAACTACATGTTGGAGCTTTTAGTGTTCGAACCCTGTGCTAAACAGGGCAGAAAGCTTTCTTAGCTAGGACTTAAGAATCTCACGCCATCGATGTATGCTGCGTCTCCGAAACGCGCGTACGGGATCCGAGTAACCTCATTCAATTGACTTCACCGTGTCAAAAGAAAGAACCAGCTAGATTTACTCTTCGTGTATCTGAAAGCCCTGATACTGCTTCCCGTGGCTTCGCTGGTGTAGATATAGTAATAAGTCCTAGGGCAGAATGGGCTTTGTTACACTGGAGCCTGGTAGACAGTCACTTATGCACTGTCCGACTAGACGGGACGGTACGGACTCGGAAGGTAAACCTTAAGGTTAGGGAGAAGCCGTGGATTCCAGTGACATCTACTGAGCTGATATATGCTCTAAAACTCAGTCCATCCGGCCGTCAACATAATTAGCAGTATAATTAGCTTAGGCGCACGCTGATAAGAAGCCTACATAATGATCGCAATCAGTGGTAGGTAGCGAAAGCAAGATCTATGGAAATGGCTGTGGCAGTAGGTAACTGTAGACAACTATTCAGACTCATTGGGCAAATCGATATTAGGAATCTGTCTGTTAGCGAAACTGTCTCAGAAAAGGATGGTCTTATTATTCATTGTCAACCCAGGAGATTGGATACATGGTCAGTCAGTCAGTTGCAACGTAGAACTTCGTACGTAAGTACATCAGTTCATGTCGCCATACCACATCAGCACAGAGATATAATTGTCAATTCAAATCCAATAGTAGAAGAGGTAGTTAAGGTATTAGAAGTAATCGTAGACGTTAGAATTAGAAGATATTATTCACGAAGTATGATTCAATGAGATAAGTTTAGAAAGTAAAAGCTAGAGGTGTTGAAGAACCCAGAAGATTAGGATTTGAGAGAACACAAAGAATAAATGCACTGGCGCCATTGCGAACGATTTTGAGCCATGTCATTCAAGGTCTCTAGCCGTCGATTATTATCATCTCGCGGACCCCAACCAGGTAGTCGACAATTACCAACATGGCTAAGTCCACTCGTCAATGACTTCATGGATTTATGCCATGTTTTGGTTTGGCCGCCCCTAACTTTCTTCCAACGTATTCCTACACCACAAAACAAAGCTCGACGAGGCAGTCGGTGGTTAGGCATATGCAACACGTCCCAACCACCTCAACTGTTGAAGTTTCACCACTTCATCGATTGATCTGCCATTCTTACCTAGTACCCGTTTCCTAATAACAGCGTTGCTAACTCGGGTGTCCCACGATATACGAGCAATGCTTCGAAGACACCTATGATCGAAAACCAATAACCGACGAGTATCTTCTACTCTCATTGGCCATGTTTCACAGCCATAAAGTAAGACGGAGCGAACCACTGCGCAGTACACTCGTCCTTTAGTCAGCAAACGGATATCTCGCCTACGCCATAAGTGACGCAGGTTGGCAAAAGCCAATCGAGCCTTCTGTATCCGTGCCGAGATTTCGTCAGTCACCAGGCCATCAGCACTGATGAGACTCCCAAGATAAGTGAAGCGGTCTACACGTTCGACCACTTCACTCCCTATCACTAGTTCAGGTGCCGATGACACCCAATCTTGAAGCAACATTTTGCATTTCGAGGGTGAAAACCGCATCCCGAATATGCTTGCATTGTTGCTTAGGGTAGTCAGAAGACTCTGCATTTTTTCAGCGTCTTCACCAAGTAGGACAATGTCATCGGCATATTCTAAGTCAATAAGCGAGCCACCCGGTAAAAGGTCTACTCCAGAAAATCCAGACGAGGATAATGTTATTTCTAGGAGCATGTCTATGATAAAATTAAACAAGAATGGAGAAAGTGGATACATGGGCAGAACATTTTATGGATCAGTCCAACTGGCCTTCGGCAACGCGATACCCAGTCATCCTGAATGGCAAATAGATATAAGTCCTCCGAGTCTTTATGAAGTCGGAAAAGCTATAGGAAATCTGAAGTGAGGTAGAGCAGCGGGCTCTGATAGACTGACTCCTGAGATTTTTAAGGATGGTGGACCAATTTTAGCTGTTAGGCTGACTGGGGTCTCATGCTGAATTTAAGAAGTGGACGTAATCCCATCTAACTGGTCTCAGTATCTTATTGTCCCAATTTATGAGAAAGGACAGAAGTCCTCTTGTAACAATCACAGGGGAATCAGTCTATCTAATATAGTTTCTAAATTGTTAGCCTCGACTTTACTGAATCGCCTATCTAGAGCTCGTAAGGAGCAGGCTTGAGAAAAACAGGCTGTTTTCCTACTCGGACGTGGCTGTATAGACCACATTTTCACTCTACGACAGGTCCTAGAACAAAGACACTCGTTCAGATGTCCCACGATAGTAGTTTTTCTTGACCTTAGGGCGGCAATCGGCTCTGTGGATCGTGAGTTTCTGTGGCAGTATCTGTCGTTAAAATGTGTACCAAAAAACTACGTTAACCTTACACAAGCTCTCTATTCAAACGCCACTGATCGAGTGAGAGCCTACGGCGAACTGGCATCGGAATTCTTTACGTCAAGTGGTGTCCATCAGAGTTGTCCTCTTTCCCCATTCTTTTCTAATTTTGTCGTAGTTAATCAATCAATCAATAGCAACTTAAAACTAAGTACGTATATCAGTTCATGTTGCCATACCACATTAGCACATAGATGCTATTGTGGTAGTAAAGGTATTAGCAGTAATCAGAAAGATTACGATTAGAAGATATTATTCAAGAAGTATAATTCAGTGAGAAAAACTTACTACTATGGTATTTGAATTAACGATTGCGTCTCTGTGCTAATGTGGTACGGCAACCTGAACTGATGTACGTACATTCGAAGTTCTACGTTGTAACTGACTGGCTGACTGTCTGAACACCATCTTTACTCTTGATAATTACGGCTTTAATGACCGTTAAAATAAAATAAATCTCAAACACTTCTTTACTGATAAGTGCAACGATATTATCTTTAGTTACATCATCACCGACAAAATAAATGGTGAATCCTGTTTTGTTCTCATTTTGGTGCATGGTCCTGGTTCCGCTCTCAAAGCGAAGAAGTTTCTTCCTTTATATCTCTCAATTGTTAGATTGTTGACTAAACGTAATAAGCTGTCAAAAGTCCAACGCCATCAACCACTGTTGTTTTACGGCCATGTGTTTATCTGTCAGTAGTCAATGTTTGTGAGTCAGTTCATCTAAGACCACTCAGTTGTAAACGTTTTTCTATTTGATTCTTCATAAAGTTAGACTGAAACAACAGCAAGTAGTCAAAAAACTTTTGAGGTTGTTTCAAGAGTATTTTGCACTTAAGTCTTCTCAACTTTTGTTTTTCTTACTATCTGCTGTAGCTCTGGCAGTAGTTGTATTCCTGCATACTGTGACTAATTCTTCGCTAAAAGAGTGTGGTTATGTGTCCTGGAACTAATAATATACTTTGACCAGTTATTTGAGCTTACACTAATTATTTTCTTATGCGTCAATCTTCCATCATTTAGGCGTCAAATGACCTTGGTCTCTATCGAGAAGCCTTCACAGTCAATAAATGAAGAATTGTGGGAAACTACCGTTTCTTTATTAGTGTACACACATCCAAAGTGTGAACCCAGTAGCAAAGTACCTAGAGATCAATCCTTATTGCAATCAGATTCTAGGCTTAGATATGGATGGAACAGTTATTGTCACATCTTCAGGAAAAGTTTTCCCAAAAGACTATACAGATTGGAAGTAAGGTTCATATTATTCACCAAATTGTCATTTTAGATTGATTAACGACAATGTTGTACCGAAACTCAAAGAATATTTTGACAAAGGATATAAAGTTGTTTTGCTGTCTAATCAAGTACATGCTTTTTGTATGACGTAACTTTCTAAAATTACTTCTACAGAGAGGTATAACAAAAGGATACCAAGATATCTCTAGTTTCAAGATAAAAATACAAAATATTGTGGACAAATTAAACATACCAATCCAGGTAATAAAACATATTTTTTGGTTATATCTAATCCAATATAGGGTTTATTTTCTATCTTAGATGATAAGAATCGTAAACCTCTTACTGGAATGTGGGATTACCTTAATGATAAAGGTAATGCTGGAATCCCTATTGATTTGTCCTCATCCGTGTACTGTGGCGGTAAGTTATTATTCCTATTTGCTTACCATTTGTAATATCAGAAAAATACTTTCATCTTAATTTTATCGAAAAATTAGGAAACTAATCATTTTGTACTTCCTAGTATAAAAATGATCTTTTAAATTTTGTAAACGTGTTTAATAAAACGTTTGTCAACAACATTCTAAATGTTTGTAATAATTAGACTAATGTAATTTCGTATAACCCCGCACAAAAGTTTAATGGCTTACATTTTTCAAGGACGTATAAACTAATGAGGAATTTTCCGATGTTCATAAAAAGTGAATTAGTATTTATGTCATGTTTTGATAAGGTCGTAATTATGTCGTTAACAGTTTTCAGTCAATACGATCTAATGTGTTCAGGATCTATGTCTAGATACATATGTATTAATTTACATATCTCAAATTATAATCAGTAACTTTTTAGTTACGTATTATATCTCAGCACATGTAGCTTTTCTCTCAAAATCTTTTTTTTATATGTTTGAGTAAGTGGTTTAACGTATTTGTCAACTATAGGTCTTTTTATATGGCTTCAAGCTGCATTTCAAGTTTGAGCACTAGAGGTTTTACTCAGTTGGTCAAACTAAAGTAGGTTTTTCAAGATTCAAATCTGAGGCCTCAGTAGTTGAAATTTATGTGCATATATACTCTAGTTTTAGTCACTGCTTGAGGACTTGGTAGTAGTAACCTGCCGCTCAAACCAAATTGCATGAGATGAAATTCGAATTTTCGGCTTGACTAAAGCTCTTTTAACTACTTAACTACCACTCTACATGTTTAAACTATCAATCGAAAACCTAAACATTATTCATGTTGTTATTTTCAAATCTGAAACGATATTTCTTTTAATCTTTACTGAACCTAGTATTCTGTACTATTTGGTTTGTGGATTGTTTTGTCCTGACATCTTTTTCATGTCAATCTAGGTGATTAGTCATGAGAACAGTCGTCGACATTTAAACTAACAGCTTGACAGGAATCGGTCACCAAGAGCGTTAAAGATATGAAATGTAAAGATATTATTTTCACTAATCAAAATTTTAAAGTTTACTATCTTCCTGAAGAATTTTAAGTGAAACTGCTCGGCTAAAGGTTGGCATGATTCAAATTTTAATCGCCTTGAGATTCCGTTAACTAATCTAAGATGCATATCAACTGAAAGGTCGTAAAATTTAAACAAACCTTTCTACGTATTAGAATCACTTAGAGAAGCATGCTTTCATATCCATTTACTTTATGTTTCTTAATCGACGTATTTACCCTAATCAGAAGTATTGTTTTCTGTTAACCGATTTTAAAACTTCCAGCCATTCAAGTATGACTGAAAACTCTTCCTGGGATCGATCTTATAAGGGGTTGAATAACAAAGATCGTAAACTTATCGTCTGTTATTTCACTGACCATGATTCGGTCAACCGGATAGTATGAATTATTATCATACACAAAAGGGTAATCAAAACCCGAATACATAGTAAGCTTTACTTACTAAATGAGTCATACTAGTTAAATGGAAGTTTAAAACTGATCATCAAAAAACGCATTACATATTATGAACAACTTAAAATGAGAATAATAATGATAATAACTACAGTTTTAAATTCACTTGTGATTACTAAAAGTATTATGAACTGGTAAAAATTCACATTAGATGAAAGCGACCGCTTCTCAGTTGCAAACAAATTTACAAACCATACCATTGATTAAAAGTCAACCGAAACGCGGTTCATTCCATTTTCTCTTAATAGTTAGAACTAGAAGTATTCGTAATTCAATAATTTATTTCAGGCAGGTTTTGTAATTTTTTGAATTCCTCATACTTCTCGAATCACACCTTCGATCCCTAATCTTTTCGATTACCGCTAATACTGGTACAACTTCTACTGCCATAAGATTTGAATTGACAATTCGATCTCTGTGCTAATGTGGTACGGAAACTTGGACTAATGTATGTACGTACAACGCCCCAGGTTGTAGCTGACTTACTGTATTTTATGATGTATTCATCTATAATATGACTTTTTTTTCACTGTTTACCCTGTTGAAATTAATGATTCTATTAGCATTCTGTTTAGCTGATAAATAAAGTCCACGTTTCATTTGAGAAAATTAATCTATATTACTTTTTAGGGCTATGAGTAGTTTAGTTTTTTCTTATTGTTTGTCACAAGTCTTTGTTCAAATTCAATAAAAATTGTACTGATGATCATCAACAAGATGTTGAAACATCAAACTGATTTTTGTGAAACGATTGTTACAAAGCAACTTCTGTCTAATCTTACCAACTTGGGAAGTAATTTGATTTAAGACATTAGAAATGGCCGCATGGTCTCTGCCATTGAATCCAAATTTATTCTACGCAACAGATGTTTTTGAATTATATATGCTTGTAAATCCTACGTTTAGCAAATGTGTGGTATTGTAGTGAATGAGAACACAGGTGGGGGCAACCGAATTGTATTTAACGAAAATTACAGAGTTACTCGGTAAAATCGGAAAACCATATCGTAAATCGTTCATTTGCAAAAGATCAGTTCATCCTATGGAACTGGACTGTTCCTGTTGCCAAACATCAATCCATTGTCACTATTCATGCGTTTCATACAAATTCCATTGTTTTCTAACTCTTCCTTTCTTGATCTTCCCCCCATATTATGCTACCAGACTTTACGTTGACACTCACGTTATATACTACTTATAAGTAGTTCGCACCACAGCACCACAGTATAATTACACACTAAAATGTTGAATACCCAATGATGAACATGGCAATAACCAAAGAACTACATGATTCTAGTATAGGATACTCTTTATGTATGCAATTTGTTTTATGCACTTCACAGTACTAAAAAATCTACCTAAATAAATGAATTTAACAAATATATTCTTAGTTTCACAAATGAAAGTTACTTTTGGTACATGCATGTTATAATCTGAAATTACTCTACATCTTAAAGACCTGGGAGTGTGACCACAGATCCCAACGAACAACTACTTGACGCCGGTCACCCACAGCCGTTTTCTGAGTTTTTGGTGTTTTAGCTCCGCACTTCAAGTAGCATTACTGCGGGAGGCGGAAATCCATGAGGTAAAGTGAAGTGCGAAATTTTTTAGGGTCGACTTTTTCTGACCCCTTCTTCAATGTGAGAAAGCAGTATCGCTGCGGATGCTGGTTGTCTGAGGGAAATACCTTACTGCTGTCGCACCTCTCCACAGCGGCTTTTAGTCTCACCGTTCTCCAATCGACCAGCCTCTCATGGTATAACCTACAGGAACATATTAGAAGAGTTAGTCATGGAGATAAGAATGTCGTTACGGGGTGTAGGAAGGATTTGATTGTGACCGATTTGGTCTCATGTGCTGTGACAGGTATGAGGGCGGATGTCACTTCCCTGTTGCCCGCACCATGGAAGGGTGTTTCTTGAAGAACTTGAAAAGGAAGGTAGATTAGCCTTGATCTTAGAGACATGGGAGCGTGGCCACATAGCCCAACGAAAAATTGCTGGAAGGCGTTCCCACACTGCTTTTTATGAGAGGTTTTTGAAGTTATGGCTCCGTGATTTTTAGAAGGCCTAACCCCCGGAGACGGAAATCCGTTAGGTAAGGGTGGCACAACCAAAACCTGGCTCGAATCTATGAAGTCACTGATAAGTAAACAGAGTCATATTGCTAGATGCAGACTACCTGGTTGGTGTCCGCGAGCCGGCGGTAACCGATGGATAGATACCTCAAACAACATGGTCAAAGTCGCTTGCAATGGCGCAGATGCATCCACTGTTTGTGTTCTATGAAATTCTAATCTTCTAAATTCGTCATCACCTATACCTTTCTCTTTCTAGATTCATCTCACTGAATTATAGTTCTTGAATAATATCTTCTAACCCTAATCTTCTCCATTACTAATATTACTTCTACTATCTCTACCGCTATGGGATTTGAACTGACAATTGCTTCTCTGTGCTAATGTGGTATGGCGATTTGAATTGATGTACTTACGTACGAAGTTCTACGTTGTAACTGACTGACGGGAACATAAGTTCCAGCCAATGTAGTTCTGTTGGGTCATCACGATAAACAAGACCGACCATCACGTCAAGGTAGCAGCTATGGTTTGGTCCGAAAGATGTTTCACTGAATAACAGAACTACAACACTACCACACATTTTCTATAAAACTGTTCCCAAAAATATATCAACGACTAAAATCAGAATCATAAATATCGTTAACACATCAAAGCCTTGACTTGATTCCTTCTTCATATCTGTTTGTTATGAAATGTCAGAAATTCAGTTTTCCAAACTCCGGCGTTTTAAATCTATTTAATTGCATCTATGTTATGCTCGTCACTTGATATGCTTGCGAGTTTACCTTAGTCGATAAACGAGAACGAGACAATGACCCAGTGACACGGTAGGCTACTCTGATCCGTTGCCCCGAATAACTGAAGAAAAGGTCTTGATATGACGTAGAAAGTGTATTCTACAAATAGCCAGCAAATACAATGATCTCAAGCACACAAATCACTTTTATTTATACATCATAGTAACGTCCTTGGGAGAGTCACAAAAATAACATACTAAAATAATACATCAACTAACGACAGTAAGGATTTTCCGGGTGGGAAATGTAATCTCGAGGTCAACTGATCAGCCCATGAATAAAATCCGAAATTAAGACAGTTATCAAGCGAGTTCTGGGGATCCAACGTCCCCAACAATCTACCGTTTGCAAACTACTTATTTATTATTTATTACTTTGTGAACGTATTAAGAAATTATTAGTGTTCAGACTAACCATAATATTTACCTACCTCTAATGCTAAATGTTAACAGATGCTGCTGGTCGTTCGACTGTTGGTAAACGTAAGCACGATCATTCATGTGCCGATCGTTTAGTAAGTTTTTGGTCGTTTTTTACTATTTTCTTTGTTTTTAATTATACAATACCATATACATGTACGATTACTAACTACCTTAACCTTTAAGTGTTCGTTTTGTAAACATAGGTTCAACAAACTAATTTATCTGAAAATTCAGACCTTAAATGTTATGTGATCTCAGGTAGCCAGCATTAAACTTCGGATCTAATATCGTGCTAGTACAACATGACTTCAGTCTTGAGCGAATAAATGTTCTCACAGGATTCAAACTCGTATCACACAGCTTTGCGAAATGTGACACTATTATTAAGCTATTCAGATATTGGTTGACTTCATCCCGACCTTAGCTGCCGCCTTGACGTGATTGTAGGGCTTGCCTACATCGGCTGGAACATATGTTATTATAGGTTCTACCATGATAGGCTGGTCGATTGGAGAACGGTGAGACTAAAAGCAGCTACTCAAGGTCTGAGTGCGAAGTCGTACTTCTGATTAACTGTGGAGAGGTGCAACAGCAGTAAGGTATTTCCCTCAGACAACCAGCATCCGCAGCGATACTGCCTTCTCACAAGGAAGGTTGATAATGCTCCTAGTTGGGTTAGAACCTAACTCATCTAGCTTTATGGTGTGAGACGTAATCACTGAGTGTTTTGAGCTTATGTACATACGTAAGAAGCTCTGCGTTGTTGCTGACTGACTAGTTCACTTCATATAGGACTGAAAGGCGTACACTGATTAACTACTGAGTACTTATCAATGTGTTTTAATATTGATCTAATTCTGTCGATCAAGTGATCACTTGTCAAGGAACTCTACTTGGAACACAGTGTATTTTGAGTTTCGGAAGCTGGCGTAGTCGATAGATAATCTATTCATAGGTAAACATGACATGGATTTCCACTAATCAGCGTTAAATTATAAGTATAAATCATCATATCTATTGTTCACTATCTTTTTTCTCTAGAATTCAAAATGAACTAAGTATACTTTAATCGCGTTCTGCAAGCTGAATATGGATTAATGTTATTTCGTTCTTATTATGCATAGCTAAACACGATTTTTTTTCCTGTTTCTCCCTCTCTCTCTCTCTCTTTCTTTCTTTTCCTTTTGCATCTTATTTCAATACTTCCTTTTTTGCATATTCTACATTAGTTTGCTCAAAATGTTGGAATTCGTTTTCTAACACCAGAACAACTGTGGTTTGATCGATTAGATACGGATAAATTTGAGATGCCTAAATTCAATCCAACTGAATTGTTGACTATTGATCATGAACAAAATAGTAAATTGCCAATAATTGGCAAACCAATTAAACCAGAGCTTATTTTAATGGTAGGATATCCTGCGGGTAAGTAATGATTATATTTTTGTTGTTTACATTGGCTGTTCTTTGAAAATGAATAATTCAAAGCTGATTTTCATCACAGTAGAAGCTTAGAGTTATGTCCTTAGTATGGAGTACATGACAAGCCTCACCATAAGTATAATATATTCCGGCCACTGACGCAAAACCCGATGATTCGTAATTTTATATTTGATCACTCTACAGTCCGATAAATAGATATTTAACCGCTAGTCACTTCTACCTATTTAGAAATCTGAGAAATCCTGTAAAGTTAGCACATTACTATTACTATTTTACTAGGATAATCGTAAGATAACGAAGATTTTCAGCTCATTCCCGTGACTTTGGTGGTGGCGTGTTCTCTCAAATAGTAAGTGGTCATCTAACTACGGAGCGTTCATGGAAATGAAGTCAGTCGAAAAAACAAGATTCAGAATTGGAGAAACCCTAGGAATGCCAGAAATTTTCTAGAATTATGCCAATCAAATCAACTGGCAATTGACAAACGCACTGAAATAGATCTAATCTATCAACGCATGAGAAAAACTCAATCAGTCACATTGTCAGAGACTGACCAATAAACAGTGAACAGCAAAACAGAAACGAATGAAGATAACAAGGCAAAGCTATGAAAACGAACTAATTTAAGACCTACGGAATAATTGAAATAGGAGCTGAATACGTTTACAAAATGGCTACTAAAACGTGGCGGTTAAACTACCCTATTAGAGCTACTACCTTGACGTTTTGGTCGGGCATGTTTATCGCGATGACCAAGCCGAGCTATATTGGCTGTTAACACCTGTTCCTTTAAGTTCTACCATGCCAGGGAGGTTGATTGGAGAATGGTAAGACTTAAGGTCTGAGGGCAAAGTAGAACTGCTGACTATATAGGTGTGTGGTAGTAGTGATGTTTCCCTCGGAGAACCAGCATCTGTATCGATGCTGCTTACTCACAACTGAAGGGACGGGTCATAAAACGTCCATGAAAGACCGTCTGTAACCGACCTCAAGCAGTTGACCCCTAGGTTCTACGGTCATGCTCCCAGGTCTTTCAGACCGACACTAACCCAACTTCCAATAAGAGTTCCTCAGGAAATACCTTTCTGCTGCGAGGAATATATAAATAGATATGTGTTCATAGATGCAAAATTATAAAGCCGATGCCTTACCACAGACATGATACCCTGTAATATAAAATGAAACAAACATCTTGTCAATGATGTATATATATATATATATATATATATATATATATATATATATACATATATATATATATACAATTTATGTGAAAATTATTTAAATATTCTCAGCTATTTTAAATTTTGGATAACCCCAAGGTTTCGTCCAGCTATTTCTTCTCGACTTCTTCAAAGTAATAATATTCAAAATCAAAATTATCAAATAATATATAACGTTTAACAAACAAATCACGTTTACACCAATTGTTTATCAAATCATGATCAAATAAGACAACTGAAGTGAGAGTTATCAATTCCAGTTAGTCAGCTACAGTGTGTAACTCGGTACGTACTGACGTTGATTCAAGTTTCCTTACCACATTAGCACGTATATCGGATTAGTACTGGACGTTTTAACACTTAGCGGCAATCGGGAAGATTAGGAGCTCAACCAGGTAGTGTACACCTAGCGACATCGTTCAGTTCAGTTGTCAGTGACTTCATGTGTGACGTTTTGGTTTTGCCGCCTCTAGCTTTATACCAGCCTTCGCCTCTACAACAGACAATATTGCTCCTCTAGGTGGTCGGTAGTTGGGACATGCATAACACACACATGATCTGCCATCCATACCTTGTGCCTTGCTAAAAACTGCATTGCTTACTCAGTTGTCCCAGGATACACGAACAATGCTGCGAAAACACCCATAATCGAATCCTAGTAGCCTACGAATATCATCTATCCTTAGAGGCTATGTTTCATAGCCATATAGTAGGACGAAACGAACTGCTGCGCAGTAGACTCATCCTCTGTTTAAAAGACGGATATCTTGCTCTCACCACAAATGACACAAGTTGGCAAAAGGTTGCCGAGCCTTCTGTATCCGTACCGATATTTTGTCACACACATACTAGGCTATCAGGACTGGTGAAACTCCTGAGATAAGTGGAGCGGTCAACACGCTCAACTACTTCACTCCCTATCACTAGTTCAGGTGCCTACGCAACCCAATCCTGAAACAACATTGTGCATTTCAACGGGGAGAATCGCATCCCGAACATGCTTGTATTGTTGCTTAGGGTAGTCCGAAGAATCTGCATTTTGTCAGCGTCTTCACCAAATAGAACTATGTCATCGGCATATTCTAAGTCAACAAGTGTCTCCGGGTAAAATTTCAAATCCTGAAAATTCAGACGAAGACAGTGTTTTATCTAAAAGCATGCCTATGACAAAGTTGAATAAAAATGGGGAGAGTGGACAACCGGGGCGAACACCACTTGAAGTAATCAGTTCTGATGACAGTTCGCCATAAGCTCTGATTCAAATAATAGTGTTCGAGTAGAGTCTGAATTAGGATAATGTACTTCTATTGTACACCCTTCAATCAAAAACACTGCCATGGAAACTCAATCAACAGTCAACCCCTACTTCAAGGCGATTGCTCAAGTATGTGTAATACATATCCTCATTGTCTCAGGTCATCCAAGTTCATGTAATAAGCTAACACATGTAACCTTTAATTAGTGCTCTATGCTGGAGCCCCTCTGGGCATACTTCTGGTCCCAAGCACGGATGAAGGAGGAGGGTTGGGCATGGAGTTGACGAACCCATTCGACACAAAAATTAATTCTCTAATAAAACTCTAACAAATAATTCAAACCATTTTAACTCTGCCGTAGGAGGTAGAAAGTCTGTGTTGTAGGACTTGACGAGGTATGAATATTTGGTCTGTACAGCCACGTCTTGGTGGGAAACCAGCCTGGTTTTCTTAAGCCTGCACTTCATGAGCTTTAATTAGGTCTCGAAGTATTATTAAAGCTAATGGTTAATACACTATATTAGTCAAACTGATTCCTCTGTGATTGTCACAAGAAGACTTTTATCCTTTCCTATAGATTGGGACGATCAGTGATTGAGACCAGTCAGATGAGATAACGTCCGATACCTAGATTCAAACTAAGATCTCAGTCAATCTCAGGGGTGAATCTTTGTGGACATTTTGGAGCTGTAAATAATTAAATTAATTGCCATTCGATCAACGTTACATATGAATAAAACATAGTGGATAGAGATGTAATCCAATTACCATGGGATAGCTAGTTCAATACCGTCTTTTCTGCTTATGCTGTTCTATTTGTGCCTGTAAGTACATCACTCTTGCTATCAATCTTTCTTTATGTGTTTGTAAACCCTTTCTAAAATATCTTTGTAGCGTCAAAGTTTATCTTTTGTCCTATTTTTAACACATGTAGCGCTTTTGCCGATTTATTCTCCAATATCTTGAGATCAACTGAAGTTTTGAGAACATTTTAAACAGTGTTTATGTTCCTTCAAACTTACATTGAACTGTCTAGATGTTTCGCTTACATAAACTGCATCGTGGTCTTGATAAATGATCTCATAGACAACATCCGGTTATTCTTCCGTTGATAGCCTATCTTTAACTGTCACTAACGCTTAACCTTTTGCTATTAGTAGCACGAAAATAAACTCGTATACTATGTTTGTTTAGAATCCTCTTAATTTCTTTTGATATTTTCTTACAGTATGGGATGACAACAGCGTTCTTCCATTATTTCTGTATGCACTGTAATCTAGTTTTTCTCTCATTTATGACAATCCTCTTTAAAAGCGCTTTTGGATAATTGTTGGCCTCAAGTGTTGATCAGTAATAAATTCAATTCAGTCTCTTGGTCTTCCTTCTCGTTAATGAGATTATCACTCTTGTTGATTCAATTTTTTTTTACCGCTGTTACCTTCGTAGAGTAAGCATGAGACTATCAGTCATCTAAGTATCTCGTAATGTATTGATTTGCGGAACACAATCATTTCTAATCTATTATTGTATTTTCTTTCGACCAAACAGTTGAGAAACGTTGGTTTGTTGTCTGTGGATGTCAGCATCCTGGTTAGTTTGATACTTTTCGATACATTGTTTACATTTCCAAATATTTCTTCTAAACTATTTTGTCTTTTAATGACAAAAATATCATCTATATACCGCAACCAAATTTTAGGTGGATTTACACATTCCATGTTCTCACTGATTACTGAAGAATGCATAAATATATTCGCTACAATTGGCTAGAGGTTCATTTATTTTTCACATTATGAACTTCACACGTATTTTCTACTTACGAAAGTTAACAACATCTGAATATAATTTGATAAACAATTGGTGTAAACGTGATTTGTTTTGTTAAACGTTATATATTATTTGATAATTTTGATTTTGAATATTATTTACTTTGAAGAAGTCGAAACAAAATAGCTGGACAAGAACCTTGGGGTTATCCAAAATTTAAAATAGCTGAGAATATTTAAATAATTTTCACATAAATTATATATATATATATATATATATATATATATATATATATACATCATTGACGAGATCTTTCTTTTTATACATACCACAGGGTATCATCATGTCTGTTTTCTTTCTGAACATTATTATGGCACTATAATTTTGTATCTGTTTTTTATTCCTTGTGATTTTTTAGTTTCACCTTATCGTTTACCTAATTCATTGACTATTGTAGGTGTTTTTGTTGCCTTTTTTTTCTACAATCTTCTTCTAGCTGGTAAATCGTATTTTTGTAGTCAGGTGTTGATGCCATTGGGTTATAAAGTAATTAGTAGGGTAAGCATTACAATACATATACATATATATGCTGTTTTGTTGTTTTAAATTATCATGTGTATATTATGATTGCCTTATAATGATGTAATCAATAATACAGGAAAGTTGTAAATAATTCTAAGGAAGTAGCTTGTTTTCACAGTATAAATGTTTTTCTTAATAATAGCAAAATTGTTGATTTGATTCATTTCCAATTATTCTATTCACGTACAAATTCATAGTTAGCAATTAATTAGAAATTAAACGCAATATTTTCAGTATAAATAAACAATGAATTATTATGTTTTTGCTTACTGACAGTATGTATAGATAGTGTTATGGAATTGAATAAATTCCAAAATATTTTTTTTCAAATCAAATATATTATATGAATGTACTATTTTTCTTCAGTTCATCAGTTTTTTTCTTTTCATATTTTCAATTAAGGCAAGGTATATTTCCTTTGGTTTAGTGATTGACTTGCAACCTTTACGGTGTAATTGTTTAGCCCAGTTTAAGTTTCATTGTTTTAGTCAGTGAAGTATTACCAACAAGTTTTGTTACACTGTCTGTGCATAATCATCTATTGTTATTTAAAGTGATGCACTACTAAAAAATTATAAACAGTTGTGTTCTGTAATTCTGTTTTAAAGTATTAGCTTTATTAGCCCCAAATAATTTTGGTCACAATAATCTGTCCAATTTAAGTCCCTTATCCCCTAGCAACATAAAGTTAGGCATACAGAAAGCGAGATTGTAATTTGTGTATTCCGTTCAAATTTGAAACGTAAAATCAACCAATGTTACTGAAACACTGATTATTCAAACAAAAAACAAGAATTATAACTCAATACTCACGAACTGAGTTTAGTTAAAAAACTAATGACAACAGTTACATCGTCCTGGTATGAGACTCTTGAGCAGTGCGCTCTCACAATGATGTCAGAGGTCGATCCTATGGACCCCGTGGCGTGCACCTAACTTTCAAATATCAAGTGGCTTGCCTTCACAATTACAATTAATTGCTCGCCATAACTAAAGATCCTAGATTTGTAGATACTTATTGCTGAGGGATCCCTTACTACGGCGCAACAATTATCTAGTGCTTCTTAACTTTCATTGGTTGCTTAACCAAGGTCAGTTTGTGATATGAACTATCAAAAATCAATTATCTCCAGAAATTCTGAACAGTAATCATAATTTTTAAAGTTAATCTTCATCAGAAAACTTATTCACATGCATTCAAACTTGAAATGAGTGTATTAGTGAAAGAGCAATCGTATAACCCCTAGTAGTAGTCTACTTGATGAATCCCCTAAATTCTCTCTGTATTACTTGAATACAAACTTTTAATTAAAGTATGTGTGCATATACATGATGCTGGTGTTATTATTGTTATCATTTTGAAAAATTACCATATTAAAGAGTAAAATTCTATGAATTTTTAAAGAAATCCTAGTTCTTCCAGTTGCTTTAATTCTCTAGATTATTCAGTCTTTTTTTTATCTCTGTCTCTGCGTATGTGTTCACATACATTACGTGTAACTGAATATGCTTGGCTCAATTTTTCTCGCTTAAAACTTTTACTCAAGCTTTTTTTTCTAAGTTTTTCTCTAAATTCTACACTTTGGATGTATAGAACCTTTAATCAAAAAATTAAAATTCAAAATAATAAGGCTGCTTTGTGTAATCTATTCTCATGAAAATTCTTATTTAGAAATTTAGTTAACAAATGAATAGAACGAAGGAACGGCGATATGTATATATTTATATATATATGTCTTCTTTTTAACTAACTAATTGAATAATTAGCTTTTTTGTTTACATCATATTGCAGGATAATGTTGGTTCATGGCAAAAATGTGTGCAAGCTGTTGAACAGGCTATATCTAAAAGCCTTTCAGTTGTAGTCGACAATACAAATATGGATTTAGAATCACGAACACGTTATATTAAAATTGCCAAGGTGTGGGATATACCAGTTCGTTGTTTTATCATGGAGACATCAATTGAACACGCTCAACATAATGAACGTGTAAGAATCTTCAAATGTTTATATGTTCATGTATTCGAATTGTGAAGTTATAGAGTTTACTATTTGATGAGTTCACTTTCCCCCAGTAATACCAAACGCATTCACCCTACGAATTGTACACACTGAATATATTGACGCTAAACTGGTCCATGCAATTTAATTTCTTCTCTTAACCTTTTCATCTACTATTGTGAGATTTGCTAATTGTGGTATAGCAAATTGAATTGATGTATGAACGTTCGAATTTCTACGTTGTAACTGACTGACTTATTGTTTCATGAATTTCGGCTAGGGTCATTGTGTTTATTAAGTGAAGAAATCTTCTCTTGTGCCACTCTTCTATGTTCTTATTCCGTGTCCTGTGAACTGTAGTGGATCGTCATTCTCAAGTATAAGTAATGAGTGATACAGATGTAACAGAAATGAATATTGTTTAAACTTTATATAGAAGTCATTCTTTACTTACTAGAACATGAGAAACATACTGACATAATTTGAATTTATCTCCATAACTTATAGTTGGGTGTTAGTTTAGTGGTTATGGCGTTCAACCACTGGGTTGCGGGTTCAATACCCACTCCACCTACTTTGGTTTGGGCACCACTAGCTCTCACATGTACAATATAGCTCAAAGTTGGGCAGACGAATATTTATCTGACAAATGGCTTACATCGAAATAAATCATAACGTATAGTAAAAAACTATTGAGAGTTTTTCGAGCACTACAATTATTCCAGAGATAAAATCAATAAAAGTTTTGATTTTCTCTATCTATGCTTTCTATTGATTATTGTATAGTTTCGTGTCTTAACCAACTCATCGCATAAACCAATCAGTCAAATGGTTTACAACATGATGAAGTAAGTTCTTGTTTTTTTTCTGTGTACTGCATACTATTCTTACTAACTATTATGTGAATTAGATCCCTTTTATTTATCATTATCTTCACTTAACTTGACTATTGTTTGCATCAAATTTTTTTTGTCTGATGGCCGTGCTGATATCTTCAATTGTTGGTGGTGGGGCCAACATCGATTGGGAGGTCCTTATAATAATAATACCTTTGCAAATTTAAGCTGTTTTCATTTAAGGAAAAGCCTTGAAATATAATGGATTTCATTTTATTCTACAAATTTTGTTTTTCATGCGATCGTTTCGTGTCTTTTGTTCTTTTTATTTGCACACAGATCTAAATACATAACACCGACCATGGAAGAAGGTTATCAAGAAATTGTAACTATCCCGTTCATATTAGATAAGAATATGGAAAATCTTTCGTTATATTGTAAATATTTATTAGAAAAGTAATTAACTGCATTGTTAACTTACATCCATTTTAAAGTGTTTCATTTTCTCTGCATTCGTATACTTGCTCTTTTAGTGATCATTTTCACTTGAACTGTCATCTCTTCCCATGGATGATTGTACGGTTACTGTTTACACATAAAACTAAACAAATACAGATTTTTTTTCAAATATCCATTTTTATATGAAATAAAATATGTATTTATTTCCATGAATCTGTGTTTTCACTATTATTATCATCGTTTATTGTTTCTGTTTTTAAAGTTGGTTAGTTTTGCCAATACATTCAAAGAGTGCCTTCTCTTTGTCATTTTGTGTGCTGTGCTTTTTGTATAGGATAAATAGATTATGTCATTATCTGTGTCATCAACACCAACCATAGGCGCTGCCTCAATAATATCATCCTCACTGACTTATGAGTAGACTTTTGAAATAAGCTAAATTTATTCAGACTAAACTACTATAACAATCCTTCAAGTTTTATTAGTAGTCTATCTGGTTGAGATGAGAAGTCAACAATCGTAATCAGTGACCAGAAATCTTAGGTAAGATAGATCAACGTTATTCACAGTGGCCTAAATACATCCATCCTCCTTTAGTGGCCCGTGTTGAATTCGAAGTAGGACTCACCATTTTAGGGTCGCAAGACTTGACTCCACTTGGACGAATGATCGAGTGTGCAATGAAATAAATCTTCCTTTCCTTTTCCGTATATCATACTTAGGCAAACTCCGTTTGTGCGACGGTGGTAGTAAGAAGCTGAATACGGTTTTGAAGATGAACTCATTTCTTGCTTTCATTTAACCAGACAGACATGATAATGGAAAGCGTCCAAGCAAAGTGAGCCAACTCTCATGCGCTGAAGCAGTGACTAAGTATTTATAATCAGGCAATAATATCCTAGACATGCTATAAACGAGTCAGCATGCACACAATCAAACAATAATCGATACTGTTGTTGAATTACTTCAAATATAAAAAATGGTCGATACAATTATCGAATAATTTGAACGACTAATTATTAGAGTTGGTATGATGAATAAATGGTGAGATGCTACACTCCACCTGCAAAGGAAGCATAAGTCACTCAAAAAACCATTTCAAATTGATTTAAATGCAACCGATATTCTATTATAAGTCTCCTACATACTATGCACAAATATTAAGGAAAGCAGAATAAGTCAGTTGGATGAATCTACAAATCTTTACTATTTTTATTGACCGGGATTTATGAGTGGCCAACAACTTGATTGTGCAGTTTGAAAAAAATAGCCATACGAACTTAATACAATTTGAGAAATTACTCGTCTTCGGTCTAACCACTAGAAAATTTTACACCCTTTGACTGACCCTAAACAGTAGTTGGGCACTTTAAGTTATTGATTCATGGCAAAATTATAACCGTCAGCATCTAGGTCACCAGTCCAATATTTTGTAAATTACTTTAGGCCTCAACTTGACTTCAACCATCTTCCTTATATAGTAAGAGCAATCTACTCATCAAGGCTATTTAACAGTCTGGATGAGTAAAAATTAGCGGATACAGTGGATAGTAATCCATTATACTCCTATCAGTTTCGGTGAAGTCATTAATCGATCAATCTTAGACCGTCGTTAGAAACCTATAAGCACTAGACGGTCGTTTTTTCTAACATGAGATTCATCACCCCGCTCGTAAGAGTCGAACCGAGGACCTTCGGTCTCACGCGTATGCCTAACATCTAAACCACTGATTTCAACTATGAAAATAATGGTTTCTATTGGTGGTCTAACATTAATCAATTCATGATTTCAATAAAAATCAGCTATCTACATCACCTTATAATGATAATTCTATCAATTGTTTGAAATAAATTGAGTGACAAAAGTTACATCTTAGTGATTATCTGTTAAACTCAATTGAAGCTTACAGTCAGCAAACCTCAATCTAATAAATTGTTGGGGACACATTTATGCATGTTTCTTGAATAGTTCTGGTGTTAGCTATTTATAAATTTCAACAAATACGAAGACTCAATAAAGTGAAACATCCCATTGATCGATCCAATCACTAGCACAGTTTGATTAATAGTTGTTTACTAGGAGGAAAGTGTAAACGACCTTTTATGAATCATTAACTGATTCTGAAGACTTTAATACATTCTGACAATGTAAACATCATTCTAAGAATCATTGTTAGACCACCGTTAGGAACGTAGAAGCACTAGACATCCTGAAATGAGACTCATCAGCTACTCTCATGGTTCGGACCTCTGCACCACTGAGACAACATCCAACGCTGTTAATCTTTAACTCTGATCAATCAAAATGTGCTCAGTGGTGACTTACGTCGTGAGGAAATCCTCAGAGTTCTATTGAAAAGACGTGACCAGTTGAGTTCAACCCTGTCAGGTGTAGGCAGTAATCACTGACGAAACGATCGTCCATTAAATTACGAACATAATCTCAAAAACGTTATAGTTGTAGAGCCATTCAGTTTGAGTATAGTTATGTTTAGGTCGTGTTCCGCGCTCTTATTTTATTAAATGACTTCAAGTAATATGGAGCAAAATGAGTACTAGACCAGTTGCCAAAAGCATTTTCGTCTGTGATAAACGCAATGGAGATAAACATATAAGATTTACGGACATGCAAACGTTATTGTTAACAAAATATCGTTCCAGTTAATTGATGTTAGCTGCATAGTACTCATCAATTGAAATATTTTGATTCATGAGGTGATGATATATAATTGTTGAAACTTTGATTTTCTCATGTTAAAAGACCTCGTACCCTGGTTTGTTATGTTGACAGAAGTTAGAAAATGATGAAGACTAGATAACTGTGATAATTTCTAGGGGTTCTGTACAATATGGGTGACTCTTAAATGACCATGGCCAAGGTTTAGTTCTATAGACATGAAATTACCTTACTCCAACCAAACAAACAGTACTGAAGAGAGATATATAACAAAATGCCTGTTCATGTAACTGGTACTTGAATCGATCCATACCCCATCCATTCCTTTAGAATTTTGAAGCCCATGTTCATAGCTAGTATGAAACGAGAGTTTTACGTGTTTCGTCGGTCAGTTATTATAATTTGCCAATCCAGTCCAAGATACGGACATCTGATTTCGACGTTGCATCAGCGATAAAGTTCTCGTCACACGATAAGAATGAATAGAACCTAGGAAAATGTAAAAACTCTTGGCCATACTAGAATGCTTTGAGGAGGGCTATCTCTACTCATGGTAAAGCAGATCACCAAGAGATCTTAGTTACTGGAGTTTGGGCATCTAAGCACAGGAAAGATTGCTTTGATCAACTAAATGAGATGTGTTAGTCAAGAATGAGGTAACAAGTACATCTTCTACAAACTTTTTTCAGATCACAAACCATATTTAGCTAACACTAGTCTCCACATTATTCGACATAAATTATACTAGTTTTCTATTATCTTCTACACTATAACAACACTCATCATTATATTTAGTAATTTTTAATCATACAAGTTCATGGAAGTATAAATTTTCTGCATAAAGTATTCAACTGAAATCTATATTGATTAACTGCTTTTTATATGCTTTAAACCTACTTGTTTCCGCTAGGAGAATTCCTATTCGTTTTCAATTGATCAACCTTTAGCTTCATCAACTCAACAACCTGATACTGATGTTGTTATGGTTCAGTCTACAAATAATAACACCATACTGAAAAAGATCAACAAAGATAATATTGAATCCTTTTATGAAACACAAGAATGGTATTTAAAATATTTTAGTCGTTATTGTGAACAGAGTGAACAACAATGCAATCAAGTTTCCTCTAATGAACAAAATAATCCTAAAACACTTATGTCAAAACATCAACAAGATGAAACGATGGAAAGGGAACAACAACAACAAAATGCATGGGAAACATGGACAGAAGAAACTGACATCAAATTGAAGATACGTTTAGCTGGTTTTGGGCATTTATGCATTTTACGTGGTAAAATGATACTTGAATCATATTTTCTAATTATGTCAAAAAAATGGATGAAGGCAGTAATTGTTGGTAGGATAGCTTTTTTCAATGTTTTAATTTATGATATTATGCTTAAAACAGATAACGTAGTTTCATCCACTTAGAGCGCTTTAATGTTACTCATAATCACTCTCAGTTATGTTCAACTGATAATTATAATTTAAAGGAGAAATGTACTATTATTACCTGCTTTTGATTATTACCAACAGAAATTAATGTAGAGTTATACTTTTAAGCTTCAGTCGCAACTAAAATTGTTGTTTCACTAAAAGTAGCTGTCATTTAAAAAAAACTGTTTGAAAGCAGGCTTTATTTTACTACTGTTTTGTCTTGGCCTAATTATGTTCCATAATACAGATCTACTTCCTGAAGTCTCATGTATTACTGTGGATATAATACTGTTCATCATCCATTGATACATACATATTTCCTAGTTCCAAGCAATTGATGAACACTTTTAACTTAGATGTTTGATCATAGAGTAGGTTTTCTAAAGTTTGCACAAAGCAGTTTTTCCGATAAATTTCTTATTCAACCTTCCTTAGAAACGCTGGCTGAAAAATTACCACAAATCTTACGGAATTAAATAATTATTTCATATTAGTTTTAAAGATGATTATTTCCCTATCCTTGCTGAAGCCCTCCATCAATGTTTTGATTTTGAACTGAATTTAGTTGAACGTGAATACTGGTACTTGTCAATCAAATTACAAGCTTGAACTTGTAAAAAGTCTTTGGTATATGGTTTTTCAACCCATTCTTCAACTGTAAGCTGTTCTCCGTACTATCTACTAAAGAAAAAGAATGACTTAGTAATTGCATCTTTGAATATGAAAATGAGTCAAACGAGTTTGAAAATTGGGCGGGTAATATCGATTTTCTCAAGGTTGTTGGTAATAGCCAATTAACTCTAGAGCTTCTTGTCTATTATCTTTGACCACACAAAGCCAAACTATTTTCACAACGATGTTCAAATTCCTAGCTTAACAATCACATTAAAACCTGGTTGATTTCAATTGATCAGATTTAAATTGACTATAAAATACGATACTGATTACTTAATACATGACTCAATCTTATGTTTATTTGCATTATCTACAGGTGGATATGAGATGATGATTCAAATAAAACAATCCAATCGAATAAAACGATTTCGAATGACATTTCTTAATGAAACTGATGCAATGGATTGTTTTATGAATTTATCCAAATTCGCTACTACTACTAATACCGTTGGTAATCATAATCATAATAATAATAATAATAATAATAATAACCATGATAATTCTACTTTACTCAATAACAATGAATACATGAAAAATGAGAATAATACATCAACAGAAACTATTCTAAATAACATGTTGAATCATTCTATTCAATTACCAGAAAGTTGGTCTACTGAATGGCCAACTCAAAGTCTCGAAGGTCTTATACGACTATGTTTGATTGATCCGAATTTTCCAGGATTTGTAAATCATATTGATAATATCATGAAAAAATTTACATGTACAATGACTGACTGACTAGACTGACTGACCATCATAATGATTATACTGATGGTTATAATCTTTTCTTTTTACCTTTGTTAGTTGATGAGAGAAATTTCGCCGTGTTTTTGTTCCCATCAATTAGGTTGCTAAAATTGAACATTATTATTATTATTATTATGAATATTATTGAATTGTTGGTTTCAATAAATAAACTTTCTAATTGAACAGTTTCGCTTCCGATTTTAAAGACAATTTTCATTTCGAATTAACATCACTGGAAAAAATAAAGAAGTATTGTATCAATGTTTTGTCTTCAGTTAATCAGTTATAACTAATATAGTACAAGTGTATGTTAACATAAGTTGCTTTATTTGTGTCCGAATTGAAATTCTATTTATGCGAGATTCTATATCTAGAATGTTCAAGTGTAATTGTGAGTATAAAGCTGTTTGTTGTTTACTGAATTGTAATCCATTAATTCAAATCTACGATTAACAATTGATTATTGAACATGATTCACTTTCATATTTGAGTATTCGATTATTTTTTTGTAAATTTTTGTAGACACTTTTTATTACACACTGATTAAGCGTCTTTGTCTTATGTCAAATAAGTAACATAAAGCACATAAACACAGGCATTCATCTTATGATATTATTTTCAGATACATACAACAGTAAACTAAACTAATAAAATAACCAATATTTCCAAAATTTGTGTTTAGTTGAAATACTCTACAACACAATACAAAGAAGTCAGTTCAATAAGAGGACGGAGTCAGTAATAAAATAGATTGAGATTAAAGTAGTCATGTTAACCAATTATCGAGATTAATCTGATTAATCTGATTCTGTCATATTAAGAACATGAATTGAATGGACGATAACTCTCAGAACTGATTGGTGAATTATTAGTATATATATAGCTGTATTGTATAATTATGTAGTAACTGCATTATCAAATTTATACATTCACTTTCCCTGTAAGCTTTCTATTATTTCACAAACTATCATCAAATGATTTATATGATTTGTATTTTGTTGCCAGCTTATTATTTACTGCCTCCTCTATTCTTAGACACGTTAAATCATTGATAAAAAATCAATTTTTATTTATTGTGTGATGTGATCAAGTGTATTTGAAATATACGATTCGTATTTGTGGAGACTGGTTACAGACTTCTGAACTCGACGAGTTGGTCGTCGAGAGGACTTTGAATAAATAGAAACTTAGCTGCTGAGTAAAGGTTATTAGCGCGGTCATATATCCCTGTCAGTGGTTCTGTCAATTGTTAAAGATAGAATTTTCCTTGTCTCTAAAATCATCCAAAAGTCCGCCTGCAGCCTTTCTTGGATTACTGCCGGTTTCACGCCCGAATAAAGGAGGAGGGTTTGGCTGAGGTTAATGACCCCATTCCGTTGAAATCCAACTCACTAAAAAAGCTTTGACCAGAAAAAATAACTCTCTGGTTAGTGACCTATGCTCCATTAGGAGTAACAGGTATAAGTAAGTTTAAGAAATGCTAAAATCCTCCAAACACTGATTCCTACTTTGTGAAACAATCGGCTGACCTCTGTTTGTCTAAACAGAAAAAAATGATTAGGAGTCTAATCTTTATCAGTGAACATATCGCAGACTTAATTTTATTTCTATCTAGACAATAACTCATCATTCGAAAAATATCTTCTAGTTAACTCGGTTTCTGCTTCCTAATCCACCTGACCATGCACATCAAATTTAAGTAATAAGTGTACTCCTTTCACATATCCTAATACTACAAGAACAAGGACTTTTGGTTACTTTAATCTAGATCAAAACATCTCGGAATTGGATGATAAAACAAGGTGAAATATTGTGATGAATATCCGGCAGTATCTTTCCAGTCATGTAATATCAGTCCATCACAAGCGATCAATGGCTATGTAACTGTTCCGTCCTACTAAAGAACTCTTCATCAGATAATAGTGGTTGGACAATATTGTTAATTGGTTGAAGTTATACACAAACACCGTTGGATTCTGGCTTATTGATCTAGTGGTTAATTTTTAACACTTAAGACTGAAAGTCTTAGGTTTGATTCTCTGCGATGTTCACCACTATATCAAGCTTACATGACCTGTCCAAACGTTTGGATGAGCTACTTAATCCATTGCTTCTTTAGTCATTAATCACTCGTATTTTGATCCTGTCAGTTATTTTCTTATTACCATGGAGTGTGTGTGTCTCTAGGCGTTGCTTGCTTCACTTATTACATGTCTAGCTTATTTTTGTATGATTCTAAATACTTAGTTATGCTTCATCAAAGTGAATTAACCTATTCGCCTTCTCCGCTTCACTTCGCTTTAACGCTTCTAGTTTTTATTTCGGTCTGCTTACACGAGTGAATGAAATTAATTCATCCAACTAAAACCCTATTGGCTTTTGATTACTGGCGTCGCACAAACGAGGTTCACCTACGAATGATATACAGAAATTAGATGAAAGATTTATTTTATAGCACATTTAATTGTTCGTACGAAGTAGAGTCAGGTCCCGAACCACTAAAATTCTGAGAAGAAACGGCTGCTTGGTTTTCGTTGGTGGTCTAGTTAATGCCAGTTCGTGAAATGAACTGTGAAAACTCTAGAATCGCAGCAAAATCCCCAACAATGACTTTCGAAAGCTCTTTTGAATTGTACTTATGCATTTTTCTCTTTCCTAAATAATGATTATTCATCAGTTTTTATACTCATGGACTCTCAGATAACTGCGTGTGGTGATATTCTCTCAACCTAATTCTCTATACGACTATCAAATGATAAAGATCGTTTGAATCATATCAAAACCGTTTACTCGCTTAAACTAGGCTGATTAGCTGTTTTGAAGCAGTTAGGAATTCTTGAAACACTACAGGTGAAAGTGTGTTTGATATGCGACTACCGGTGAAATGTAGGACACGAATTTCATCCCGAATGGAACTCGTTGGCCGGTGATAACTGTATTCCGACTCCTTGATGCTGACCCTGCAACTCGAAATTTATAGCTCTCGCTTTAAACACCCATTTGCAATCTTCAATATCAACAGTGGGAAATTGCAAACGCGAACTAACTTCCAATGAAAAACGGAAGAACCAATATAAAACGGTTAAAAAGCAGCCGTACAATAATAGTATAAACCTGCTCTGCAAACTATATTAATAACTTTTATCGAGTTTTACAGTATCATGCCTGTTTATCTATACAAAATCAAGCTATTGTTCAAATTTACAAATTTTTTGTGCTTAACTAATTGGTCATTATATCTTTTTAATATCAAATGAAATGACCAATTTAAAACTGAAAAATGTATTAAGTTGTAAGCTTCTTTACACAAGCCATATTTGTGTTGCCAACGAATATGCTCTTAAACCACTTTATGTAATACTATCGAGCTCTACAGAGTTATATTTAAAACCAATACAACCTTATTTTTAATGTTAGAAACATTTAACGATAATATAAGATGTCAACATTTATTCATTTGTAACAGTTATACTTACAAAATGATTATCATGATTACTATCAATCAATGATCAACTATAAAGTGGTCTTACATAGGTTAAAACGAATAGAATGATGAATGTTTTTTTTTCCAAAACGGAATTTATCGGAATATTCAATTTAAATGCATACATAACTAACATACCATTACTCAATCTGTACACATAATCCATCACTGTTTCAATTGTTTTACACTGACTCATTTTATAGCATTAAAATGGAAAAATTCAATAAGTGATTTGACATTTCTTCAGAATTACTAATGACTATCATTGATCGTAAGATTCATTGTTATGATTTTAAAGTACAGTTTATTTCCTGCTGTGTTAATGCTGTAAACACTTTTCCTATTGCATCTGTAAAATTCAATACATCGGCAGTAAACTAAACTACAAAACTAAGATTGAATAATTCATTAACTGTTAACTCTAGATCAATGTTTCCATTTGAATGTCATAGTAACCTTATAAACTGACATTGATAATCTTATATAAACATAATATAATAAATTTTATCAGTATTTTCAAACATGGTTATCATCATCATCATATTAATATCTGCTATGTTTTATCTGATTATTACCCATGTTTAAATAATAGGCATAAATTATCATAATTTTTACAGATTATCTATAACGCACTTGGCTATATTTTTGTTACTATTATTATTATTATTACTATCAATATTATTTTTACTAGATTGAAGATGTTATACATAGTACACTTAATCAATTGTTTCATAAAAATTTGTAATTATTGTACATGTAGGTAAATAACTTGTCAAAAGTAATAATGAATGGAAAATTCACTAATTATATATGTTATCGATGATTGTGCTTCAAATTATTTTTTTTCAAAAATTCATAAATTTTTTTCTCTTGTTTATGTATGTTCAGCTACTGAATTGATTGTAACGGTAATTTGTTAAGCGTCGATATAATTATTTTACAATGAATATTGTTCATTAAAAGAGCAGGAGAATGACTAAACTGGCATAATAATATTAAGACCAACAATCAGTTACTCCGAATAAATGGATCATGGATAGCAGTGGAATTGAAGATGGATATTTTATTCTATACGAGACTCGTAAGCTGGATGTACTTCTATCCCAGTGTCAATCAGCAAACCGAGACTTGAACGCAGGACTTCTCGTTTCAAACAGTCGATGTGTTGTTATCAATAGAGCTTTAAAGTTCAGGTTATCATTAATTTATTCCATAGATTTGATGTTTCTCTATCATTAATAGTTAATAATTTGTGACATAATGGCTATATCATCTACGCACACAAATGTCAACAGTGATTCGTCCTGAATATCAACACGAGGATAAATCAAATATTTCCTATTGATGAAATCAATAATCTGTGTTTGTACAAAAAAATTGTATATACGTTATTCTGTCGCATGGGATTTTCAAATCAATAAAAGTATGCAATCCTACTTACCGAATGGTACTACATTTATCCTCATTTTGAGATACCATAAACTTAACAGACAAACGATTAGTGAAT